TCCCACCACACCAGGTTGCCCAAAGCCCCATCCAGCCTGGCATTGAGCACCTCCAGGGGTGGGGCATCCACAGCTTCTCTGGGCAGCCTGTGCCAGGGCCTCACCACCCTCTGAGGGAAGAAGGTGATCTTGCCAATGGTTAATGGGGCCTGACGTCTGCCACAGACCTGTACCTACACATCCAGGTGGGCATGAAGTGAGAATGTGCTGTGAGTTTTCATCCTCTCTTTGCCCATACTGGTGATTCTTTGAAAGCACCTGCAGGGGGATGCGGTGGGCGTCATCCCCAAATGGATGACAATTTAATTTAGAAATACAGGTCTGGAAAGGGATTCCTGGTCTCTGAATCCAGTCTCCCAGCAACAAACTGTTTATTTTAGTGAATAGCTCAAATTTTTTCTGTCCCTTTGCAAGGGAGTGCCTGCCCCCTTCCTTCAAGGAAGGTCAGCTTGATCTCCAAAAGAGCCAAAAGCCGAGAAAGGAGCAGGAGGCATCATGGCAGCCGAGACATTAACTAAAAGAAACAGCCTGTGTTCACTCAGCAGCAGTGAGAGGGACTGTCCCCAGAGCTTCCTGGCACTTCTCCACAGCAGCAGCCTTCACCCACAGCTCCTGGCCAAGGTCAGCCTCCAAGGACCGCGTGTGCATCTCCCTGCCCTCCACTCCCTCGTGCCACCCGCCCTGTGCCCCTTCACGCCCTGGTGGCCTTATTTTGTCCCTGAGCTGCTGCACACCCAGACGTGCCTTCGCCTGACCCCTGTTCTCTGCCTTTCCTTACCCTTCATGAGCTGTTTGCTCCTGGAAGGCCTCCAGCACCGCCTCGCTGGCACCAGTTCAACTTTTGCTTTCGGCTCAAACCTCTCAAAACTTCGGCACATGGCTCCAGGCCCTGGTGGGATGCAGGGTTTCTGGGGCTGGTTACTTGCTGCTGACTTTAGGCATATTTTTTTCCTTTTTTTTCCTATAAACCTTACTGACTTCATACTGCTCAGCTAGCAGGCTGATGGCCATAACGTGGTTGGCATAGGGGGGTCACCAAAACCAGCTCACCGCTGCCAAATCCCGTTCAGCATCATAGTCTGGCCACTGGAGTGCTCCATATCCCTGCAAATATTGCCCCAAATAAAGAAGTTATCCATCTTGTGCCTTTTTACACTCCTTTATGGTGCACAGGGAATATAAAGGAAGGCGGAAGGCTGGTGGTTTATTTGTTTGGGGATGGGAGGGGGCAAATGTTTGAGATTGGGTGTGGATATAATTTGCTTGGTTGGTTCCTCTTTATAGCAAGAAATTTGAGTTCTGTGTAACCGCCAGGAAGAATTTGAGGGGAGCTCAAAAATTAACATTCACTAGCAAAGGGAAAAGAGATCAGAAATGGGGATTGCTTAAAACACAGTGGCCTTGATTCTGTGAGAATAATTTGGAGATGTGAGAGCTTCATGCACATCATAAGACGTTCACCTGAAGGGGAGAAACTCTTGTTCAAAAGTCCTATAGACAGGAGCTGGAGATCCCAACACTTTCAGCACTAAAGACAACCAGGAGCGTGGTGCTGGAGGGGTGCAGGATCTGTTCTGGTGTCTTGGATCTGTCTGGGCAGCCCCATGTCACCCTCGTGGTGGTGATCCCAGGGCTCCGCCAGCCCCGTGCCACCCCAGCTCCAGGGGCATGGGGAAGTGCCAGCCAAACCCTGCCAAGCAGCACCTATTACACCCACAGATCCTTTGTGATTAATTTACTTATTGATGGCCCTTCATAACTCCGTGGTCATCTTTTTTCTTCCTTTTTTTTTTTTTTTTTTTTGGCGCTGCCATTAATTATTCCTGGAAGCAAATAAAAGGGCCCACCGATATCTCTCCCTCCCTCCCGCCCGCCCGCCGCAGCCAGCTTTTCCTTAGGGAGAAAAAACTTGTCCTCGTTCTGCAGTGGGACAATGCCGACTTTTGAACCTCTAACCACTAAACAAACAAACCTTGCGCTCCGCTCCACAATCCAAACAGGGTTTATTGACAGGCGTATCGCAGCAACCCGCACCGGCTCAGGCAGCAGCCGGGCCCGGGATCGATGCTGCGGGAGAGGCCCCGGGCACCAGAGGGCATCCTCGAAGGGGGACAGCACCCACCTGGAGCCCCCGAGCTCCCTTGAGAGGAAGGAGCAGGGGATGGTGCCCTCAAAGCCCTACAGACTTGGCCATGCTCCCTGGCACAACCGCTCCCTGCACTGGGGGTGCTGCTCCCCACCTCGGTCTCCCCCCATGCATGGGAGACCAGGTTCAGGTCCTCAGGGCTGCTGCCAGCCCGTGCCCAGCCCAAAAAGCTGCAGAAAAAACATTGTGGACAGCTCTCAGGATTTTCCCATCCTCCCTCTGGTACAGAGAGGAGATTCCTGGTCCATGGGGCAAACCCATCCTGCCCGTGCCGTCCTGCAGATCCCACTGGCACGTGGCTTCGGCTGTCAGCAAGGTGAGAAGAGGAAAAACAAAATGCCCAGAATAAGGCAAATTGGGTATTTGGAATGGAGTTAGTGAGAAAACCAGAGCGATGCAGGGCCATGTGCTGGAGAAGTCAGCAATCTGCAGAAATCACCCCAAAACGTGCCCGGGGCTGAGTGGTGCTCCCATTCCCACTAGGGCATGGCCCCATACGAGTGGGTCCCACAGCCAGCCTGGGGCCCTGGTTGATTTGACCAAATCAAGCAGATCTTTCTCCTTTTGTCTCTAGCTGGGTGAGCCTTTCGCATTTCTATCCTGGTCCCCATCATTTAGGAAGAAATTGTGAATGGGCACAACCCATGCAAGGTGAGCTGTGTAAGGGCACGGGGCTCCTCTGTGGGTTTCTGCTCTTGGTGAGGATGCGATGAAGGCAAAGCTGGTAAATCCAAGGAGAGTTTTGAAAACTAACTGGAAAAAAATCCAAGTGAGCCAAGTAACATGAGGGGGCAAGAAAAGAGAAATAATTTAAATTAAAGGACACTACGAGCTGTGCAAAATGGCACCAGACACTTTGCGTTAGCTCTGCACGCACAGACAAGGATCCCCCCTCCAGCACGACTGGACATGATTTGCAGAGACTTCACTCTTTCCAATTTCTCTGCACCGCGGCTAATAAATCTGGCTGGATGACTATCAGCACGGGATTTATGGGCTCTTTTACAAGTGTCTAACATTAAGCAATTCACTTCTGAACGTTTAAACAGCGCCTTATCTTGTCTGCTCTGACCCTTAGGGCAGGATGAACGTTTGGCATATTTATGGTCACGAGAAAAAATAAAATAAAATAAAATATAAAATAAAAAAATGTGCTTTAATTTTTTTTTTCTTCCTGTTAAAATTCATCGTTAACCCGACAACATTGTGAAAACCTTGCGGATCCCTGAGATTCACGGGGGGCAGGCAGGCAGGCAGCGCCCGCGCCCCCCCCCCCCTTTTATCTAACCAACTCCAGGGTAAAAACAATAAAAAAAGAAGGAAAACCGAAAACCATAATAATATAATAATAATAAAGCCACCGCCACGATTCCCCCGGACGACGAGACACGCACACTGTACACTCTGTACAAAAGGCCGGCCCCGCGGGGCGGTGTAGTGCATAGGCGGGGGGGGGCCGCTCCCACCGTGCCACCGAGACCCCCCCCGGCCCCGGCACGGCCCGGCCCGGCTCGGCCCGGCCCCGCTGCGGCCATGCCCTCCAGCAGTCCCTGAGCTGCGGCCCCCCCCGGCCGCTGTCACTGGGGGGCGGCGGGACCCAGCCCGGCGGCTGCTGCCCCCCCTGCGGGACCCTGCAGAGGGGCGCCGGGGCTGAGCGGCTCCGCACCGCCGGGCTGCGCCTGCTGCAGCTTCTTCTTGTTGATCTTCCTCTCCTTCGCCCGCCGGTTCTGGAACCAGATTTTCACCTGCCGAGGGAGAGAGAGGGCAGTTAGAGGGGGTGTCGCCTGCGGCTGTCCCCCCACCACCGCGGGGATCCGTAATGGGAGAGGCGCCGGGAGCCTCCTTGCGCATCCCGGTGTGCGCATCCCTGGTTAGCGCGCATCCTTGCCCCAAGCATCCCTCCCCCGAGCATCCCTGCACTTAAGCCTCTCTGTCCCGAGCATCTATGCCCCGAGCATCCCTGCATCCCGACGTGCGCATCCTGTCCCTGTGCATCCCTTCCTGTGCATCCCGACCCTACACATCCCCACCCTGCACATCCCAACCGTATACATATCAACCCTACACGTCCCAACCCTACACATCCTGACCCTACACGTCCCGACCCTACACGTCCCAAACCTACATGTCCCAAATCTACACGTCCCAAACCTACAGGTCCCAAACCTACAGGTCCCAAACCTACAGGTCCTAACCCTATACGCCCCGACACTACACATCCCAACCCTATACATCCCAACCCCATACATCCCAACCCCATACATCCCAACCCTACACATGCCGACCCTAAACATCCTGACCCTACAAAACCCGACCCTACACAACCCGCGCATCCTGTCCCTGCCCCACAAATCCCGACCCCACACACCCCGACCCCACACTCTGGAGCACACACCTGCCTCTCCGACAGCCCCAGGCTGGAGGCCAGCTCCGCTTTCCTGCGGATGGTGATGTAACGGCTGTAGTGGAACTCCTTCTCCAGCTCCAGCCGCTGGTGGTCGGTGTAGACGACGCGGTACTTGTCTTTCGTCCTGGTTTTAACTGCGGGGAACAAAGCCCGGGTTGGGAAAGCAAAAGCAAAAGCAGCGCGGAGCTGCGCGGCAGCCGCCGCAGGGTGGCTCCCGGAGGGCGCAGGGCGAGCAGGATGAGGCCACCCCGGCTCCCTGCCCGCCTCTCCCTGCACCGGGCTCCCCTGAGAACAGCAAACAGAGGGGAGAGCAGCGGTTAAACCGTCCCTCAGACCTTGGGCACGTGTTGCAAAAGCTGCGGGAATGTCAGTTGCGACAGCGACATGGGCGCGGGCCCTCCGCCACCACCCCCACCCTGCGCTCCGGTGCGCTCCCGGGCGTTTTGCTGGGGACAAATTTATTGCGCGCTTTTGGCCGCCTTGGGGTTTGCTTTGCGTTCCCCATTGGGGACGGGCTTAGGAGGAGAGGGAAAAAAAAAAGGAAAAAAAGGGGGGAAAAAAGGAAGAAGGAGGGAAAAATTGAAAAAAAATGGGGGAAAAGAAAGACTATGGGAAAAAAAGGAAAAATTGGAGAAATTTGAAAAAGGGTGGATAAAGGGTAAAAAAAAAAGGAAAAGGGGAAAAGAAAGGAAAATCCTGCTGAGGGCCCGGCGGCTCGGAGCCCAGCCCAGAGCAGTCCCCCGGGCTCCTGCCCGGCTCCACCGCCCCTCGCCCCGCCGCCGGCGTCGGGCAGGGCCCGAGGGGGCTCCGCGGTGCCCCCGGGTGGGCTCCGTGCGGTTGCAGCCCCCCAAATTGAACAAAACCAAGTCCGAAGGCGAATTTCGGCGAGTGGCCGGCGAGTATATGCATGGCTGCATGGAGTGACCTCCTTTCTTGGGCTCGTTTCTGGTTGAGCTGGTTGGAGCCCCGGCCCTTCTCCTCCTTCCCCAGAGATCTGAGGCGCGGGGAGTTTCTGCCCCCTAGGTGCTTAATGGCTGGCAGGCTGACTTTGTTCAGGTAAACTCTCTGCAAACCACAACAAAAGCACCCTGTAAAGATACAAGCCTGATCAGAGAAAACTCCCCAGAGCCAGTGAATAGGGAACACAATCCCAAACAATGCGGGACAAGGAGATCTTATCAAAGACAAAAAAAAAAAAAAAATCCTTCTCAAAGCCTTAATGACAGCCACATTCTGTTTGAATTACCACTACTGAACAAATGGCGGCAGGCGCTTTCATCCCCCCCCCCCAGCCCCAGCCTCGCGCATTAACATAAACACTGGCTCCAAAGGCAGAATTTGAATGGAGCCAAGGGACCGGCCACCACCGAGCAGCCCCGACCTGTGGGAACACCACGGGCTGCTCTGGGAAGCGCCACGGGCCCCGGGGGAGCTCCTCCAACACCGCCACCGCCACCCGGAGCCAGCGGCGGGGGCACCGGGGCTGCCCCAGAGCCTCGGTCCCCGGGACCCCCCTCCCCGAGCCGTCGGGGAGCCACGCGGAGCTGGGAGAGAGATGCCCCCAAGTCCCTTTTTTGGGTGCTTTTCGGCCGTATATTTATAAATATAAATAAAAAAGAGAGACAATGGCAGCGGAAGGTGTACATCAAAGCGGGAGGCATGCATCTCCCCGTGGCAGATGTAAAGGGGGGGGGAGAGATATAAAAGAGGGGCTGCGGGGGGATTAACATCACAAGGGAGAGCGGCGCCGGGAGCAGCCTCCCCCGGCCTCCCCCAGGCAGCCTCGGCCGCCGGGGGAACGGGGAGGGGGGGGACACAAAGTGGGGGGGGATGCCCTCGCACCTCCCGGCCCCGTTTCGGGGACCGAAGGACACCCGAAATCCCCGCAGGGGTGGCCAGGTCGCGCTAAGGGTTCCTAAAGGGTTAGGCGGCCAGTGAGTCAGAAACAAATGCGGAGCGACACCGGCCGATGATTTATACGCCTGTAATTGGTTATAAAAATCTTTTAAGTGGCTATAAGTGGACGAGCGGAGCGGAGGAGGGAGGAAGAGCGGAGAGCTTGCCCTCGGGATGCCTCCCGAGCCCGCTCCCGGAGCTCCGCGACCCCCCGACGGGGCGCACGGGGAGCCCTCGGGGCTCCGCCGCTGCTCTCCGCCGCAGGCCTCGTACCGGGGAGCGCGGAGCTGCTGTCAGCAGCGCTTTTCCCCCCCGGTGGCCAGCAAGAAAACGCCGCCGAGGAGCAGCTCCCGAGCGGGTTTGTGCCGAGATCCCCCTCCCCGCGCCCCCCGACGGGCGCGGCCCCCCCCCCGCTTCCCCGCCGGGGCGCCCCTTTCCGCGGCTCCCCGGCGGCTCCCCGCTTACCCTGGCTGCTGAGGGGGGGCTGCGCCGGTTTCCTCATCCACTCGCAGAGCCCTCGGCGCTGCCCCCCGGGGGACAGCGGCTCCGGGGCGGCCCCGGCGGCGGCGGCGTTGAGGGGCTGCATGACCCCGGCGGAGCAGTGTGGCGAGGGGCCGGCGTGGTGGTGGGCGTGCGGGTGGTGGTGGTGATATTCGGCGGGGCTGTAGGCCATGGCTGCGGCCGGGGAGCCCCCGTTGAGGCCGTGGACGGCTCCGGCGGCCGGCGGCGCCCCTTGCCCGTAGGCTCCCCAGTCGTCGCGGAGAGGAGCGGCGTAGGGAGCCGGCCAGGCCGTGCCGGGGGACTGGGAGCTGTCGAGGTTCACATGGTAGCCCCCGTAGTCCGCGTACTGGGGGGCGCCCACGAAGTTCTGCGCCGCCAGGTTGAGCCCCCCCGAGTGGCGCACGGGGCCGGGGTACATGGGCCCGTCCTTGTCCAGGAGGTAGCTCACGTACATGCTGGCGGGACCCCGGCGGCGGCTCTCCGCATGCTGCTGGGGCTCTCGGAGCTGCTGGGGCCCGGGGCCGGGCTCCCCCGGGGCGGGGAGGGGGCAGGCGGAGGGGCCGCGGCCCCGCTCTGCCTCGGCGCCGAGCGCTGCTCGCTGCCGGGGCCGGTCCGAAGCCGATGGCCGGCAGCACTTACATGATTAACGATTGTTTACAAGGCCCTATTAGTAATGGCCCAGACACACCAAAGGCAGGTGACGTGGAGAGGCGCTGGGTATATAGCTACTACCCCTAAAAGACGATTTGCATTTAAAAAGATAAGGAGAGGGCAGCGACCTGATCACAGCTAAATATTCAAGCCTTTATTGTTTAAGAGCTTCCTCCTTCCATTGCAACCTGGTGCACTTTAACCTCCAATCACAGGTTCAAAGGATGAAATCAAGAGACTTGCAAAAGACAGAGAGGGAGATCTAAGGGCGAGGGTGGGAAGATGGGAACCGTGTATCGCGGCCGATCTGCGGGCAGCGCTTTAACCAGCTCTTCTCGGGGCTGGGGGGCAAGGAAGGGGCGGAGGAGGAGGGAGTTTTCATTAAAAATCCAACAAGCGATTTTTTTTTTAATTTTTTTTTTCTTTCTCGTGGGTTCTTTTAAGCCACCAAACCCCCACCCCCCCGCCGCCGCGGCCTGCTGCTCTTTCTAGGGCGCTGCCCACTCGGTCACGGGCGATGGAGGCGAGGTAAGAGGAGACCCCCCCTCGGAGGGCACAGCCTCTGTCCCCACGCGTGTGTCCCCGCAGCCTCCAAACCCGGCGCTGTCGGGGCCCCGATGCCCTTGGGGGCTTCCTTTCCCCTCGTCCCCGACGGCCTCGACGTGAGCCCCGTGCCCTGTGCTCGAGCAGCACCCAAAAAGAGCTCCCCAAAAAGAGCTCCCCAAAGCCGGGCTGAGGGGCACCCACGGGGGTACCGAAGGAAGGGCTTTGCCCTCTCCCATCTCCCTCGGGAAAGCCGGGGGGGCCTGGGGGGGCGATGCCCTCGGGGAAAAAGGCGACCTCCCGTCCTGGCACACTCGTATTTTTTATTATTATTTTTTTTTTATTTCCCACCCCGACGCCTTGGGAACCCTCCCCGGAGAGCGGGCGAGCGGCAGCCGGCTTCCCCGAGCCAGCCAGCCCCCTTTGAAGAGGCGCCCCCCCCCCCCCCCACCCTCCCCAACCTCCCCTTTTCTCAGCTCCCCCCGCCGCTTTTATGCTTTAACTTTTCACCCTGAGCCGGGACAATGCCAGAAAACGTTTGCATATTTGCATCTTTTCCCATGACACAGCCAGGGAACCTTTCACCCGCCGAGAAAAGCCCCCCCCCGCTTTCCCAGCACGTCGCACCGGCTTTCCCCGACGGCTCTCCCCGGCCTCCCGGGGGTCTCCGGTGGTCGGTGCCCGGGTGTCCCTTGCCCCGTCGCACGGCTACCGTGCGGAAAACGAGGTTGCCTCAAGCTCACGGCCGTGGTTGCGAGCCCACAAGTCGCGACCCTACAATAACAAGAGCGCAACGCGCGCCAGCAGCCTTCCCCCGAGGTGGCTTCCCTCCCGTTTCCAGCATCGCACCTGGGTGCTGCTGGGGGAACTGGGAGGGGGAGCGGGGCTCGCAGCCCCCATGCCAAGTTGATGATACCACGAATGGAGGAAGGAAGCATCCAAATGACAAAAATCCGAATATATCGTATTAAAACGCACCAAAATCCAGAAAAACCCTAAATCGGCCGGGCACGGCCAGCTCGGGGTGCCCCCTCCCCGATTCCTCCTCTCCTTGGCTTTATCCGTGCCCCCCTGCCCGCACCGGCTCCGGGGACGGCGACACTCCCCTTCCTCTGTCCCCCTTCGTTTCGGCTGGGGCAGGATTTTTGTCACCCCCCCAAAAAAATCGGGGAGAGGGACACCGCCTCCGGCTGCATCTCCACGAGGGTTTTCCCTCTTCAGTCCCCGCGGATCTGGGGACACAAAGGCGACAAGGCTTTGCCGGGGTGGGGGTTCCTGAGCCGGCCCTGGCTGCCGCCCCCTGCTTTGCTGCCACCTTTTTGGGACTTTTTCTGCTCCGGCCAAAGCCCCCGGAGCGGAGCGGGTCCCGTTGGGCAGCTCCATCCCCAGACACAGGGAGCGCAAGAGAGGCCCTGGTCTCTCCCCCCGTGTTTCCTTTATTATTATTATTATTATTATTATTATTATTATTATTATTATTATTATTATTATTATTATTATTATTATTATTATTATTATTATTATTATTATTATTATTATGTTCTTATTTCCCTAGATCCCGAGCTGGACAGAAGCCACTCAATACCTCTAAAACCGACAATTGCCCAATCGGAGAGGCCGGTTGGAGGGAAATATCGCCTGGTGTTACCGTGTTTTGGTTTGTTTCTTTATTATTATTTTATTTTATTTTATTTTATTTTATTTTATTTTATTTTATTTTATTTTATTTTATTTTATTTTATTTTATTTTATTTTATTTCATTTCATTTCATTTCATTATTTCATTTCACTTTATTTCTTTTCATTCTACTTTATTTCTTTTCGTTTTATTTCTTTTCGTTTTACTTTATTTCTTTTCATTTCACATCTTTTCGTTTTATTTTATTTCTTTTCATTTTATTTTACATTGGTTTTAATTTTTTTCCCCCGAGGGGCTCTTTCTCCCAGGGCTTTGGCCCGGCCAGACGCTGCCGTGCCGGGCTCCCCGCTTTCCCCATCGGGCTCCAGGACTCCGGAGCCGTCTCTGCGGGCTCCCCGCTTTCCTCCTTGAGCCCCAAACCTTCCATCTGGAGCCGAAAATCACCATTTTCTAGGGCATCTGCCTGCCCCCGGGGGAGCAGGGTCCTACGGCGAGCCCGGTGCCCGCTGCCGATCCCGGGGGGGCGGCGGTCGGTGCCCAGTGCCGGGCACCCCCCGCCCCAAGCCGCCCCCCTTAAGCCCCGGGAAGGGCCTTGCAGGGCTGCGGGTGCACCTTCTTGGTTCGTACTAAGCGTTTTTGTCTGAAAAACTGGTATTTTTCCATCACTTAGGAGAAGCTTGGGGTGGGGAGATCATCCCTCCCCGTGCCCCCCCGTGTTAACGGCGCGGAACCACCGGGAGCTTTGTTTGCAAGGTAAAAAACAAAAAAAAAAAAAAAAAAAAAAAAGAGCAAAGAAAAAAAAAAAAGCCCTTTGGTGGCCAAGGAGAGCGAAGGGAAGGAGGAATCGTGTGTTAGTTCGTCCGCCCTGTGGAATTTATGGCTCCCCCTAAGCACAGACATGATAAGGACTCAGAAAACATCTTGGATCTTTTCAAGCCGGCAGCCCCCGAGGCTTTGATGTAGATTACGTTGCAGAATAACCCAATACTTTTATCGTGGGGTTGATACCCGGCTTGTTTAAGCACATGCCTCTCGGAGAGGGTTGGATGCTGAGCGCTTGCTCCCCAGCGGGATCCTCGTTGCTGGGAAGGGAGAGGAGCCGGGGGACGGGGGGGAAGGCACGGCACGGCACGGCTCGGCATGGCACTGGCACTGGCATTGGCATGGCACAGAAAGGCATGGCATGGCTCGGCATGGCATGGCATGGCATGGCACAGCACGGTGTGCCAAGCTGTGCCACCGGCTGTGCCCCCCTGCTGCCCCCTCGGACAGGTGCTGTTGGGGCTGAGCTTTGGATGATCCTGGTTCCCCTCCGGGAGCCTAAAGGAAGCGTGGGAGAGAAAACAGGGGGAAAAAAAGTCAAATTAAGCACCGGAGGATTCGGTCAGCCATGGGGTGTTTGGGGCTGTCCCCAGGCTCCCCGCTGAGATGTCACCCTGGTCACGGTGGCCAGGGCTCTGACCACAGCGTGCACCCAATGGTACGGCCCCGACAGGCAGGAGCCCGAGGCCAAGCAGCTATCACTGGCAGCCCTATAGCCCCGGGGGTCACTCCCATAGCCCTCTCAGTCCCTCATGGAGGCTGATGTCTCCCCCCATGCTCCTTGGGCAGCACGGTGTCCCCCAGCCGCAGCCTTCGGCCTCGCACCGTGCAGGATGTGGCCGCAGATGTTGGTGCTGAGTCCTCCCCAAGGACACCACCACACTGCAGCTGTGAGCCCCCGGGCTGTCCCCCCCTGCACCTTGGGGCAATAGAAAGCCCGAGGTCCTTGCTGTCCTCCTAACTCATGGGGGTGTTCAAGGAGAGGTTGGACGTGGTGCTTGGGGACATGGTTTGGTGGGTGACATTGGTGGTAGGAGATGGTTGGGCCAGGTGATCTTGGAGGTCTTGTCCAACCCTAATGATTCTGTGATCCTATTTCCTACTTCTCCTGCCTTTGAAAAGTAACCCTGGCAGGGAGGTGATGCGTGTGGCCGTGCCTCCCTGCACGTCCTACCCATTTACCCCCCCTACCCAAGGCCCTGTACGGCCAGAAGCTCCATGGTGGCTGCCCCACAGCTCCCTTGGCCCCACATTTCTCTTCGAGCCCTATCCAGCAAACCTGTTCAGTCAGCAGAGGCACGGGGTTTGTTGTTTGCGGGGTTGAAGGTTTCGAAGGCGTTAACTGCACGCCTCCTTGCAGGCCCCTGGCCTTTTCTGGGTAATATTTCGTGTTGGGCCCTGTGAGAGCGAGGGGACGCAGGTGCCCAGCTCACTTATGGCCACGCTGCTTCCCAAATAGCCCCCTGGGGTATTTGGGATATTTTGGTGGGTTTTCCTGCCTCCTCCCCGCCTCCTATTCCTGAAAGCAGCGCTGGAGCTGTAAAGAAGGGAGGAGGCCTCTCGTCTTCCAGGGACAAACCCAGGCCCTCCAAACCAAACAAAAACCCCGGTCCTATTGGCTCCGAGGAGGAGCTGCTGTCTGCCCGCCACCTTCTCCTGGTTGCTCCCAGCTGTCGCCTCCCGGTGCCAGCCCGGTGTCACCCCCTGCTCCTGGGCTGGAAAAGCCCCAGGGGTGAGGGCAGGGCCCTGCTCCCAGCCTTGCCTCACACTGCCCTCCTCCGGCTGCTCACCGGTCTCTCCGGTGCAGAGACCCCAAAGGATCTCCCAAAGGCTGTCCTTGTTGGCCTCCTGCAGGTCCTCAGTTCTCCAGGGGGAGCTGGGTGGAAGCCAGAGATGGGCATCTCCTTCCTGGGATCTCAGGACAGGGCTGTCACGGCACTGGTGAAACCACTGGGTTGTGATTAGATGAGACTTCCAGGCTTGCTTCAGAAGATTGGTCTGGGGAAGAGGAGGATCAGGGGAGACCTCATTGCTCTCTGCAGCTACCTGAAAGGAATCTGTGGGGAGCTGGGGTCGGCCTCTGCTCACAGGTAACCAGTGATAGGGCCAGAGGGAACGGCCTCAAGCTGCGCCAGGGGAGGTTCAGGTTGGCAATGAGGAGACATTTCTGCTCAGAAAGAGCAGTCAGGCACTGGGACAGGTTGCCCAGGGAGGTGGTGGAGTCACCGTCCCTGGGGGTGTTCAAGGAGAGGTTGGACGTGGTGCTTGGGGACATGGCTTAGTGGGTGACATTGGTGGTAGGGGATGGTTGGACCAGGTGATCTTGGAGGGCTTGTCCAACCTTGATGATTCTATGAAACAGATAAAGGACAGGGCATGGTACACACACCACAGCTCCTCAACATCTCTCCTTGTCCAAGACCTGATTCATAGCCAAGACCCCTGGTATCCCCCAGTCCTGCCAGGAGTGTTGCTCCTCTACCTAAATATCAGTTGTCCAGCACAGCCCCTTAAATCTGAATCCCTGAGCCGAGCAGCCCCCTTTATGTCTTGTCTACATGAAGCATCTCCAGAAGCATGAATTGGACCAGGTCTTCAAAGGACGCCCAGACCAGTGTCAGGGTGCCCACCCAGGTGGCTCCTCTGCCACCTCTCTTTGAGAGCTCTCTGAACTTCTCCTGGGTGGATCTTTTTGTGCCAGCTTTTTTAAAGCTGTTTTACTTCATGTGGCCTAATTAATTAGCCACTTGGGGACGGGGAAGGAGGCAGTGATACACTGGCACAGCAGCGCTTCCAGCTGGGAGGAGGAAACCCTGTGCCACTGAGCACCTGGTCTGGTTTGGTGGCTGTGAGAAGGGGGCTGAGGTCTGGTGTGCGTGGGGATGCCCTAACCCAGTCATCTCCAGTCTGCTTTGATTTCTGCACTCCCAAAATGTTTCCCAGCAGAAGTACACCCTCATCAAAGATGGCATAAATGCAAATTGGCTCAGTGGCAAAGCTGACCTTGGATTCCTTCATCACTTGTCACAGGTCCCTCCATGAACCAGTTTTCTTAACACAAGCCCCTGCCGTCCTGCACAACTCCTGATCTCCCATTCTGATGTAACACACGATTTTACTCCCAGCCTCTACCACAGAGCCCATTCCAGGTATCCCAAACCTGGTGGTTACACCTGTGTTGGAAGACCATATCCAGATCTAGAAACAGAAGAAGGGCTGCATTATTATTATTATTATTATTATTATTATTATTATTATTATTATTATTATTATTATTATTATTATTATTATTATTATTATGTGAGTACTTTCTGTGATGCAGGACCTTTCCTTTCCTTTCCTTTCCTTTCCTTTCCTTTCCTTTCCTTTCCTTTCCTTTCCTTTCCTTTCCTTTCCTTTCCTTTCCTTTCCTTTCCTTTCCTTTCCTTTCCTTTCCTTTCCTTTCCTTTCCTTTCCTTTCCTTTCCTTTCCTTTCCTTTCCTTTCCTTTCCTTTCCTTTCCTTTCCTTTCCTTTCCTTTCCTTTCCTTTCCTGTGGGGAGGCAGAACACAGCTGTAGGGAGTTGCCCGGTCGGCTCCCATCCATCCCATCCCATCCCATCCCATCCCATCCCATCCCATCCCATCCCATCCATCCCATCCCATCCCATCCCTGAGCCGTGTCTCCTCGCAGCGCGGTGCCGGAGCTCCCCCTAGTGCCTCTTCTCCTTGTCTCGGTGGTTGTAGAAGCTTTGCCAGCCTTTGCCTGCCTGAAAGCATCTGGCTTGGGGTAATGGCACCGCAGTTGGAGGCTTGCACACACCTCATGAGTGCACTAACACCCTGCTGAGTTGTGTTGGAAGCATCCTGGAAAGAAGACGTGCTCCAAAAAGATAGTATTTGCCACTGAATTCCTCCTGCAACTTTATTCCACCCCTGCCTGCCCTGCAGAGAAGCAGACACGACCCTCCGTGTGTCCACCCCTTACAGGAGGGTTTTTCTCCTCGTCGTGCTTCCTCACAGGGTGCAGTGTTGTCTGAGCTGCCTTTCCACATGTGCATCACGGGCAGTTAGTGTTAGCTCTGTGCTTCTCCACTTGCCTTTATACCCCTGTGCCTCAGCTCAGGAGTGAGGACAATGAGATCTCCATCCACATCTTTTTGAATACTGTGGAGAAACGTTGGATGCAAGTCCCTGGCTTGTTTTAAAGGACATGGGATTCCCATCTGCTCCTCATCTTGGCTAATGAGCCTGCTTCACATCTGCTCAGGCTCCAGGGCCAGCTGAACGTGGATGCAACCAGCTCAGCCCTTGCTCCTCTAGCTCTGACAGCTCCTGTGTGTGAGCAGTGCCAAACCATCATATCTTTTTGCTGAACGCTTTAAAATTGCGTGTTAAAAGCCATCTATATTTTCTACAACATACAAAGTTAAAGTTTTATTTCTGTCTTCATACTTCCAAACTATTCTCTGGCAGTCTGATTAAAATAATTGATGTTTCTTTGCTAATTCCAAAATGTTAGCCAAAATATACAATTTGTAATTGCTGTAATAAAACATTAATTATTTTCAGACAATGTTAGTAAAGAACAGCTCGATTTATGAGATAGCACATTCCATCCAAACACGTTGATTTACAACACTTGCCACTGGAAATCCTAATTGCAGATAGCATTTTGTAAAATGTAACAGAAGAAAATATTACCCAGGATCTCCTCATCTTGATTCACTGGGCTGTAGATAAATGTATCCCATTAGTCCTTATGAAAGGCATGTCTACAAATCCCAAAACCTCACCATGAAAATAGTGTCTCTTTTCATCTGTATTAAAAAAAACATCAAGTCTCTGGTTATTGTCCTGGGAGTCTGAGAGAAAGTTAAAGAGATGCACGCTCATTTAATTGCAGCAGGGTTTATACAGACAGGAAGACTTCTGGGAATTGGCAGTGATGATATTATGCTCCTAAATTGCTTCACAGGATAATTTATTCAGAATTAATAATTTTTATTTGATATTAAAATACACAAAGCTCAGAGAATGGGATTAGCCATAACTCAGTGGAAGTGAGACTTGCAGCTGGAGCCAGTCATCTGGATTTTCTAGAGCAGGGAGAAGGAAGGTCATCTCCTGCCCTCTTCTGTTTGTTTTGGATGCTTATTTTAGGTAGAAGGAATCACTATCTCTAAGTGCTTATTTCTCATCAGCAAGCACAGAGCTGGATGGCTGGAGCCCATGTGAAAGCCTAAAGCTTAATGAACTCACCTGAACTGTATTTGGGAACTTTATAGTGATTGAGATACTCAGGATGAGGCACTTGTACATGTTCAGATATACAGTTCCTTGTAAGGCTGATATTTTAAAATTCAGGCATTTAAATTTGGCTATTTTGGTGGCTTTTTTTCCAACACTCACTGGCCTCTGGAGACCAAGATGCGTGTAGCACTTCTGGAAATCACACCAGTTCTCTTTCGATCGTAGTCCATGCTTGAAAACGTTAACTAAAAACCATGGATTTCCTTGTGTTTGCTTGCAGTATGGCAAGAACAGTCTGAATTCTGATGTATTGATTAGACACTGTACATATAGCCAGGAAAAACGATATCCAGTTGTAGAAAACCAGCAAAAAGACAACTGCTCCTGTCTAGGGACAGATGCGTTTGCTGAATTCAGAGAAAAAAATTGTGTCTTCTCCTCAAAGTAACATAAATATGGAGTAGCCCATAGGAAATGTGAATAGAGCAGCAGTCAGTAACATCTTCTTTTTCTAGTGGTGATGTAAAGCATTTATGCTACATGGAGTTGAGGAAAATACTGAGATCTAGACCCAGATTATTTTTTAACTTGAGAGTCTTCATGCTGGAGCAGAGCTGAGGACTGAAAAGATTCCTCATCTTTGCTTACACGTGGCTTAGTTTTGGCATTGGATTTGTGCGTAGAAACGTTTCTTTTCATGTTCTGGTAAACCTAGCAATCGAGAAGAGGAAACAAATGATAACTTCTGTTATTATTTACTGTACTTGGAGCACAGCTTTTCTCCTGATGATGCAGGTACTGGGTGAGACATCCCTGTACACCATGGGGAGAGCCACCCTCAGGTCTGCTACTTCCCACTGACTCCAAAGGGAGTCCAGACAACTGCCTAGGGGAGTTGGATCTTATCTGGCCAAAAAGAGCTGGGCTGAGGAAGGGCACTGGGCTGCAAAGGACTTTTTTCCTGCTATAGAGCTTTGGAGTTGCTCATTGCAGCCCTTGGTGTTACCTTTGGCAGTAGGGGTGGGCATACATGACACCAAAAGTGTCATGCGTGTCTGTTGTGGGTGAGAGAAGGAAAAGGGACCTCTCCATCTGGCACCTTCTGCCAGGCTAGCAGCATGCAGAGAGGTTCAGGGCTGCAATGGTAAATCTCACCCACAGCCCCCCACATCCCAAAAGGCTGGTAAGAACGCTGGATATGGGGAAATAGCGTGTCAAGCTCAGAGTGGCTATCCAGGTAGGAATCAGTAGTTTTGCTGCACTGGTTTCTGCACAGGGGAAATGAATTTCTGTAACACAGGCTGAGTGAGTAACTTCCCTGGGGAATAGCTCCCGAGCACAGTGGCACATGAGAATAAAAACTATAAGACTGTTTCAGACCATTATGGTCTGTGGGGCTCAAAAATAAATAAATAAATAAAAATCAATCAATCAAACAAACAAAAACCCTATAAGCATGTTTTCTTCTTTCTGTGCTTACTTACTGCTCCCTCTGCCTCAGCCAGCTGACAGGAAAGAGAAGAAACAAGCCTGGAAAAAGAAGGTCTTCTTCTGGTGTCCAGTGCCCAACAGGACTGCATCACGCAGTAGCTGCAGAGCAAGGAGGTGACACAGACAATATATGAGCTTTTGGAGCTATGAGCTAAGGGACTACATGGAAATACTGCAGTTGCATGGGAATCACAGGGCACCAACGTGATTTTGTGAAAAGAGGCTGGATTTGAGCATGGTCACATCAGAGAAAAACATACAGAGAGATGGGGAACAGGGGAGAAATTAAAAGCACAGCTTTACTGGAGTCCTGAGCAAAATCCTCCTCACGGGACTGGGGCCCTGGCTGACATGTGCTGGCATGCTAAGCTTATTTTCCAGATTCCAGACAGAAAATGGTAAGAGGACAACTCCTCTCTGACTCTGGGGACGAATCTGCTACTCTGTAGGACTGAAGGCAGTTTTTCCAGTGAGTCTTTTTTATGTATTTTTGTGTCTTTCTGAATTTTAAAGACCACTTTAAAGATTTTGCAGCTTCAACAGGGTCTAGTACACTGTGTATTTGCTAAAGTCTCTTGCAAATAGCTTTCTTGGTATTTATGGATCCCACAGCAACCTTTCATGGCTGAATCTGTCAGATTCACCTGTACCTTTAATGCCATTGTTGTCTCTACATGGAGAGGATGAGAAAGGTACCTAGCAAGGTCTCAGAGCTCCCTGCCACCTTCTCCTCCTCTTGTCCCCTGGGGGCTGCCTGCAGGCAGCCTGAATCTTTCGAAGCACAGAGGCACTGGCTGAAAAACATGAGGTGCGAGCACAGGAACAGCAGCTCCCACTAGCTCTTCCCTAGCAGGGTTTTTCTCTAAGAGGTTCTTTGGCTTCCTGGAACAGAGTCAAATATGCTAATGTTTTATTAAAATAATAATAAAAAATATTACCAAAGATTTAGCCAATATCCAAATGAATACAGTAGAACTTTTCTTTTGCAACAAGAAAAAAAGAAAGAGAGAAAAGAAACCCACTCTGATCTGAGAAGAGGAAGTTAACTGGGTAAGGAAGGCACAGCTCAACACAGATCATAAATTTGTCCTTTCAAACACACATAACCTCTAGTGTTGATCACTTGTGCTTTAGGACAAAATTTGCATGATCAAGAAACCTTTTACAGGGTTAGAGAAAGATCTCACCTTTTGCAACTTTTCTGAACAGGGTGCAGTGTGCAATGAATTAAAGGTCATACAGATGGTGACCTAGTAAGTATAAATCCCCATGCTGTGCATCACTCATAAAGGACACTTACACATCTTTTGTAGCATAATACGGTCGGTCCATTTTAAATCCATTTTGGATTAATTTGTAGAAGTTGGCATCAACCTGAATGCCAGGGTAGGGATTTACACCTGGGAACACAATGGAGAATACACGTTGACTCAGAAGCCACCAGAGAAAAGCAGTGCTCTTCCATCACATTACAGAACATACCCAAAGAGAATATTTCCCACAGTAATATTCCATAAGACCAGACATCACTCTTCATGGTGTACGTCCCCTCGAATAAGCTTTCAGGAGCCATCCATTTAACTGGTAAGCGAGCCTGTACAGACAGGGGGAAAGGAGGCCAGGTCATGCCATGACACGGGTTTTCTAGATGACTTGCTGCAGCTCTCAATTCTCAACCAGAATCAATTCATGTCTGCTAGGTGAAAAGCTCAACTTCTCCCAGTAATCTCTTTATATCTACTTTATAGACAGGAATAGGCACTTCCAACGAGCCACTTCATCTCACCTGTTTTAGATGACTGCTGAAGGTACTGCACTCTGCCCTGGAAAAGCCTTTTTCTTTTCCCTGGCTGCCACAATGGGTGGCTCAGATGGAGATGTCCACCCTGTACTTCTTCATTTACCCACGGGACCTGGTGTACCTCACACATATGCTGTTGACCCTGTGCTATTATTGTCCGTAAAAATGAACAGTTCCCTCCACTTCCCTCCAACAGGTTTCAGTAAGCTTGTGAAAGGACATGGGTGTCATTTCCCTTATAGTACTATCACTACCTTGATTTGGCTAATTATAAGCTGAGAATCTGCATTTGCCAAGGGCAGAAAAAGTGAGATTTCTACACTGTCTATACAGTTATTTATAATGCTAGCAGGGAATTTGAAGAATAAAAGCTTTTCTTTCTTGGTTCACTATCATTTCTCAATGATACAAAAAATAGAGAGCACTCAGGAACTTACATTGCCTCGGACAATGTAGTTGGAGTCATTCACGACATCTCTGGCAAGGCCAAAGTCACATATTTTCACTACTTTTCCATGGGTCACTAGTATATTCCGGGCAGCGAGGTCTCTGTGGATGCACTTAGAGGGACAGGATGGGTTAACACTCCGCAGCACTTGGTAGCAAAAGGAAAGAATTCACACAGGGCTCTGTGAATTGCTGCCTCCTTCCTCTCCAACCGTTTGGAGGATGAGCAAGCTGGGTAGTCCCTGGTTGCTCATGGCCATGGCCAGGGCCAGGGTCAGAGCAGGCAGAAGTGCGCAGTGCAGCCACTGCTTCTTACTCAGGGACATGCCTGAAAGTGCAGTCCAGTCTTTGCCATAAAGCTGGGGAAGGAGGTATAATTCAAGCCTGCCACTGTGTGGCTCTGTTTTACAGTCTGCCTTTACATAGACAGACCAATTTTTGCTCTTTTTTCTATCTAAACTGTTTGCTAGCCTTCACCATACCGATTTGGACTCCAGAAACTCCATTCCTTTGGCAACTTGGTAAGAGAAGCAAAGAAGGTCTTCGAAAGTGAGCACATTAAAATCCTCTTCTTCATCCATCTGCCTGCTTATATGCTTAATATCATCTGTAAAAAACAACCAGGAATGTTAATTTTCCATGGGCTTCATCACTCTCTGATTAATTCTATTGACTGTTGTAAGGATTATTCTCTTTCCCAATGAGAAAATCATGAAGAACATTTGCTTTTCGCATCCTTTGCTCAGACACAAAGGAAAAGGTATTTCATACTCAAATACCACGTATATTATGAACAGAAGCATAACTCTGAGGTCTTAAATATTATTGAATTCTTCTCCAGCAAAATTTCTGCTAGGAGGAAAGAGAGGCATACAGCAGAAAGGGTCCTGCTGTGTCACTGAATTTGTCTAGCTGGATCAATAAATAAAATAATAACAGTTAGAATTGATAGAGATAACACCAGTTAATCTTTTACCTTCCTCAGAAAACGGCACAATCCCATTTGGTCCAGGTGTCATATTTATGTTTTGGCTTGTTTGTGCGATTTCAAATTCGTCCTCTCCGCACAGACTCGTGTTCACACCATACTTCAGGTGGGTTCTCATCCTGGAGGGGGTGACACATTTTCAAAGGTTACACACAGCGGAGAACATAATCTGCTAAATGCAAACTGTTTTACATAGAAAAAATAGGATCAGTTGTTGATATTAAAAATCTGTGCATAGGCATGGGTCTTCTCAAAACTGGAAACTGAAACAAGAGATTTCTCATCTTTTGCAGTACAGTGAAAAGCAAACATCATAACAAGAATCAAATCTCAGTTCCTCCCAAGGCCTTGTTTGTTAAAATATGCAAATTCTCAATAATTCATTAATTATACCTGCTTACAGCACAACTGAGAATGCATCTGTAAAGAGATGAGAGTTTTACAAAGTATTAAATTGTTTCTGAATGTCTTACCTGGAATTTTGGTCCAAATGGAAGTTGTGGTAGAAGCTGAAGTTGTGCTGTTTAAATATATCTGTCAGTGTCCAGTAAAATTTTTCTCTTTTGCTCCTTAAGTAGTTCAGAAGGTCACCGTAGCAACAGTATTCAAATATCAAGTAGATTGGCCCTGAAATAGTTGGAAATGTAAATGCCTTCTGCTATCCACAGCAGTCTTCTCATTGAAACCTTAAGGATGCCCCATCTTCTCCCAGGATAAATCTATATAAGACACCCCAAGCATTTCCCCTTCCCAGGCAGATCAACTGTAGGTAGGCTGGTGGAAAGCCTCTTTGGATAATGTACGTAGCTGAATTTCCCTGTGGTACATCTCCCAGTGTGAATGGCAAATCCCTACAAAGACATGAGGACCTTTCCCTACAACAAAGGCACTGACTGGGTTGGGGAGCACAGGCTATAAAGATGCAACAAACTGTCTAAATGGCTCAAGCAAAAGTGACTCTCTACTCCTTGTCTTGATAGCATGAATTGATTTATGGCCTTTCATTTATCTGCAAAGAAAGGAAAAACACCTTAAATCTCTGTCCCAGGCTGGCCTAGAGGAAAGCCATAGGAAGGTTGCTGGAGGAGGTTGAACATCCCATGGATTGCTTGGAGTGGTCACAGCACACTCCTGCAGTCTTACACTGGCATCACCATTTCTGGCTCAGAAAGACCAACTATGAACTTGTGGACATTTCTACCAGGACTTTCTGTCAAGCAAGGGAGGCCACACAAACAAAAAACCACTAAGTATCACTCAGGGGAAGACTGCAAAAGTCTGGGGAGCCTGGTAAAGGCTTCCAAACGCTGCATTTGTATGCTGCTGCAATTTTTCCTTCCCCTGTCCTGCCAGATGAAGCAGGTCTTCTCTGTAGCTCTCCCGTCTGCACTGCCACATCTTGCAGAGCACTCCTGAAGGTAGTGTCTGCCACTGCCTGGAAATCTGCTGTAGAGCTTCAAATCAACTAAAGCCACTGGCAGTGATCTATTTGTCTGCTTTCTTCATATGCCTCAAATGCCTTTGCATGACTGTGTTGCCATTGATGTGAACCGGGGTAAAAAGGGTTAACTGTTATCTCTGATCCTTTCAACTTAATACATGTCTGTGGTAGAAAATTCATCGGTATTTTTCACAGGCAGGTGTTACAATTAATTATATGGGTAAACACTGGGTAAAATCCTGCCCTTTCCCTGAGGTGATTTGGTCCTCAGCCCTTTTTCACCCACTCCTGTTGACCACTGAACTGGCCAGATTGGGACTTCTTGGGACAGCAATATCCTCAGTAACAGTCACACAATAATTAATTAATGATAAAGTCTTGCTACTTAGTCCATCTTCGCTTAGTTTTTTCCATCTTCAGTTTATTTTTACATTAAGTCCCTCACAACAGACATGTTTTTCCTTTTCTCTGAATAAACTGGCCCATATCGGTGCCATCACTGCTGTTACAAGACAACCTCTTCTATAGAAGGGCTATTGTATCACTTCATGAAAGTACAGTTAGAAAGAACACATTTCTGTACACATGCAAGCCCTTAACTTTGCTTTCAGTTCATCTTTATTTTATTTTGGGGCCACACAGAGCAGCAAATTTGGTTGGGGAAGGGAAAGCAAAGTCAGGACTCAGGGGCAAAGAGGGAAAGAGCAGCCTGAGGAATAGGCAGCTAACTATGGCTTGATGATTTAACACTGCTGCCAATGATCAATTTTTAATATTTCTGTTCAGGAGTCCTCGTTAGTCTGCTTGTTATAATTGGTGCCTTTCCACAAGTGCAAGTTACCTGACACAGTGCAAGCTCCTAGTAGGTTCACGATATTTTCATGGCTTCCAATGTGAGTCATCATTTTCAGCTCAGACATCAGAGCATCTTTTTCTGAAGTGTCAGACTTTTCTGAAAAAGTACACGCATTTGGAAACCTCATCAAAACAACACAAAATGGTTGTGATGCTTTGTCGCATTCAAACCTTAATTTCAAATGACTGATGGCACATTTGGGAACATTCTGAAAAAATGTATGATGCAGCTAAGCGGGCTATCCTGTGCTTCAGTACTAGCCTTTGGCTTGCTTTTCAGCAAGCATTCACCCCTTGTGGTGTCAGTGAATCAGAGACATGATCCAAAACGATTCAGATGGACTTCCATAAAGAAAACTGCCAAGCAGCAGACCAAGGAAGTGCAAAGCTGATGCACATGAGCAAACAGGGGATGATGAGCTGGGAGGAAGGGTCTGTGCAGGCACACAGGTGAGCAGGGCGCAGCTGCTGATGTGGAGCTCCAGCCCTCCTGCTCTGCTTGCTGCTGGGGAGGCTCACGTCTGGGCACTGCTCTTCTGGGAGGTGAAGGCAGCTGGGAAAGAAGCCAGAGCAAAGCAGCAAGGAGGATTAGAGCTTTATGAAGCCTGACCCATAAGGAAGGACAGAAGGAAACTGTTTTGTGCCACCCTTCAAGAGCAGGAAGATGTGCTGGAAGCTTCACAAACAAGCTAGCTCAGACACTGGAGGCAAGGTGCATGCAACAACTCAGCAGCACTACAAGAAAAAGGGACCTCACACCCAAATTCCCAGAGTCACCAATGTAAACAGCAGGCTAAATTACGCTATGAATTTACAGACATCATCTTTGGAGCAGAGCAGCTCCATCCTTCCCCACACAACACAGATCTTCTCTGGCACTTAGGACAAAATGCAGCACTCTGCAGGAAGAAGGCACTTCAGCAATAACTTTCAAAACCAAAACATGATTTGGAAAGTAATATGAAAGTGTTTTGGAACTAAGCATCTGTGAGGTCTAACTACTAAAAGTCTGCATTTAAAGGGATTTCTGTCACTTTTTCTGCTTTGGGGTCACTAGAATATATCACTGCTTGCAAAAAGCTCCCAGAGGTTATTGTACCTTTTAGCATTTTGACTGCAACCTGGACTGAGTCTCCTGCCTTGTTAATTCCATAAGCTGTTGCATTCACCACTTTCCCAAAAGCCCCAGATCCAAGCACCTGTCCTGCAAGACATAATATGCCAATATTATTTGTGGCCAGTACAGCACAGGCTGCTGCTCCAGTGTTGTGGTTTGCCTTGTGGACTGCTCACCAAATTCCAAATTTTCCCTGGGAAATTCCCATTTGAGATCGTATTCAAATTCACGGAAGTCAATGTAGGTATACTCGTTATCCAACGATCCAATCATCTGTATCATTTGCAACTGGCCTTCATATCTAAATTGCTTTGGAAGAAGAAAAGAAGTGGAAAAAGGTTTAGAGGAGAAGAAAAAGGCTGGTATGAACAAAAGAAGAAGGGGCAGGTAATTATGTTTGCTTTTACCTTTTTGTATTTATGGCAAATGAGTAGAGACAAAAAAAAGATCAATAGGAAGATAAATCCAGCAAAGACATAGAATGCAGTGTTGTCCGGTGGGGAAGAAACTGCTCCTGCAACTTTAAAAGAGACATGTTACTACCCACTGATTTAGAGCTTGGGCTTATAGATGAAGGTACAGGGAGAGTTGGTGGCAACTTTGTTGATTTTGCAATTTGGAGCTGTTTCACATCTTAGCCTCCTCTGCGTGGGGTGTGCAATGGGAGGTTCACTGCTGGGTAATTCTCAGCTATTTTCATTAAAAAAAAAAAAGTTACACAAATTAATAAATCTCAGGGCACTGAGGTGTTGGTATCTTCAATTGATTGGACTCGGTGAGCATAAACAGGAGTAATCAATTCCTCTTCTGATCTTTCCTCCTCTCTCCCTGCATCTTCCCCCAAGCAATGTAGTTAGACACCAAAGCACCAGAATCAGTGGATGGACTGCACAAAACCTGCTACAGGAATTGTTCTGCTGTGCAGCACGGAACTTCTTACATAGCCAAGGCCAATCAATAAAGTGCTTCTGGGTGAGGAAATGCTACATGAGGTGTGTCCTCATATTCTGATAATTTCTAAGAGCAAAATAATTATGTTTACTTTTTACTGCAATTTCAACATAAATGCTCAAACTCTATTAGCAATCACAGCTTTTGTCAGCTGTAGTCAAGAGCAGCAAACAGCTCGTTTGTTCGTGATGAAGGAAATCACAGAATCACAGAACTGTAGGGGTTGGAAGGGACCTCAAGAGATCATTGGGACCAACCCCCCTGCCAAAGCAGGTTCCCTAGAGCAGGCTGCCCAGGTAGGCGTCCAGATGGGCCTTGAATATCTCCAGAGAAGGAGACTCCACAACTTCCCTGGACAGCCTGTCCCAGTGCTCCATCACCCTCACCGAGAAGAAATTCTTTCGCATGTTGGTGCGGAACTTCCTGGGCTCCATCTTGTGGCCACTGCCTCTTGTCCTGTCCCCACAAACCACTGAAGAGAGGTTGGCCAAATCCCTCTGTCTCCCACACTTAAGACATTTGTAAATGTTAATAAGATCCCCTTTCAGTCTTCTCTTCTCAAGGCTGAGCAGACCCAGGTCTCTCAGTCATTCTTCACAGGGAAGATGCTCCAGGTCCCATATCATCTTTGTTGCCCTCCACTGGACTCTTTCCAGGAGAAAGCTTCATACTACAAGTAACTGGGTACTTCAAAACACTTCCCAGGAATCACAGCATGCTTCCTGGGATGGAAACATTTTGCCCTACGGGATGTATATGGAGTACCAAATATAAAATGCATTGGTAAATACCCACAGCAAATTTCTTGCTTGACAAGGAAAAACTTCCTTATGGTCCCTACAAGAAGAGAGACCACACAGCAGTTCCCAGACCAGGGGTCTGTCCATTGTGTGGGTCTGATAGCAAAGAGAGCTCCTGTGAGCACTGCTGGCAGCTCTGCAGTGACCCGTGGAGCCAATACCTGCCACCAGCTACCAGAGCTGCTTCAGTTCTTCCCCAAACTGATGCTTCCAGGTTCCAGGGGGGGATTATGAAGAGGAAACAGAAAATCAGACACTGTATTGCCATAGCTCCATCCTACACTATTTTTGTGACATTTTTGCCCATTTTAGTGAAGGAAGCCCCTGCTTTGGAACTAGGGAAGAGACACGTGCCCCCTATCCACTCAACACTCCCCACACTGAATGCACACAGTGCTTGTGTTTTACCTGTAGTGCCATTGCATTGCCAGCCATTTAGATAAATAAATAAAATTAAAAAAGCCACTAATTCTACCATGCCAGCTTTAATTAAGCTGAGAAAACCTGCAATAAAACACTGATTAATGGTACCTGACAGGTTAATGAAGCTCTTTTCGCAGGCTGAGCCAACTGAATTGCTTGCACAGCACTCAACAGAGAAGGTTGTTGCTGTCTCCTTCACATCTAAAACACTGCTTGAAATCCACGACCCAAGGGATCTCCTCTCTGGCAAGAAGCTCTGGATCCCCTCAGTGATTTTTTCCGTGCAGCTGGAAAACAAAGGAGACCAATTCTGATCTTTGGCTCACATTGGCATTTCCCAGGGGAGAAGGTGAGATGTTTCAAAACAGGCCTTACATCTGTGTTGGAAGGGAGGAAGCAAAAGATAGACGGGTTGTTTTTTTATTTGGCACTGTTAGAGAGAGGCTTCAGAGTAGCTGCCAGTGTCATATACAGACATGGCAGGGCAGGCAGGGGATGAAATAGGCTCTCTACCTCTCACCCTGAGCTCACTCTCGCTTTCTACCAGTGTCCAGCCCCCTACTGCAACCATTTCCACTGCTTTTACCTTTACCTCATCATTTCAGTCACTGAGCAGCTTCAGATGAGCTGCTACTAAAACAATAAATACAGCATGAACCCAGAGTAAAAGTTCTGACTCCTTCCATTGCAGGGATGTGATTTCAGCCATAAAGTTTCTCTCCCTTAAGGCCTAAGATGGAAAGCATCCACCCTACATGAGTGGCTTATTTCAGACCTCATATGTGGAAATACAGAATGTTGTACACTAGGGAAAGGAAGCCCACAAAGAGATAACTTTGACTTTTTGCTTTTCTATCTTTCATCAACTTGCTGCTTAACTTGCTGTCCACATAAATAAATTAGTAGGTGAGTAAATAAATTAAAATTCATTCAGCACTGCACATAGCATTAGCTTGTATGTGTGGAAGTTTCCAGCAAAGAAATAATCACAGCATTTCCTTTTCCAGAAATCTGTTTTAAGGAGAAATTGAAACTTGCTAGCTGGATGTTTTCTTCACTCTTCAGTTTCTGCACAAACGCACAGATGTTAGGAAGCCTTCTCAGAGGTATGGATAAGAAAATTGATTAGATATCTTTTTCATGTCTATTTGAAATACTCAGAGCTTTATCCATAATCTTCCAAATGATAATTTGACCTGGTGCTCTTCTACAGCTGTGGGATTATTAGTTTTTTGGCATTTCTACAATAAAAGCTGCAGAATTCATAAAGCGGTCGCAGCTTCTCATGAAATTTTGGGGCCTGACTCATTGCCCTGCATAAATAGAGGAAATGGAAACATTCTCCTTGACTTTACTGGAAACACTCTCACTGACTTTAGTGCCTTTGGGTCATTGTAACAGCTATATTAACCAAAGCTTAACCAATTAGTCAAGTCCATATTAAACAATGCATTCCCTGAATAGCCCACAACTTTGACAGGCAAAGAGAAAAACTTAGATTGGACTTTTTACCTACCTAACTGTAGATATAAACCCAGATGTGTTACTTGAGTGTAAAGAGCCTGAGATACACATCTTTCCAGATTTATTTTGATGCCAACAAAAATATTGATTACTCTTCCTAGTTTTGGTGATTCCTGTTCCCCTGGAGTGGGCCACAATATACCATTTCCCAAATGGTCACAAGTGCAGTTTGCACTCAGTTTGTGCAGGACAGTCTTCATATAATCAAGGATAGCTCAGATATGGTCTTCACAAGGAGTCAAAAAGAGATAAAACTATTTACTTGGATGAGTTCAGATCAGGACAGTTTCTCCAAACCCAGGATGAGGCCGGGTAGCTGTCAGCGATGCACGAGATCTGCTTGAACAACAACTGCATTGTTACTTCAGGCTTTCCTGCAACAAGGTGACACAAGACAATTTCTGTCAACACTTCGGTGGCCAAAACCTTTGCGTTTTCATGGTAACCCTACATCTGGCCAGACCACGAGCTGCCTCTGTGGGTGCCAAACAACCCATCCGCGTGTCACTGTGGGAGCTGGCTGCAGGCCTCAGCCCTCCTCCTTCCTCCATGCCCCACACCTTGGGGCTGTGGGCGAGTTGAGGGGAGCAGCCACTTCTCTGTATAGGCACGGACAGACCAAAACAGTGAAAGGGCCGAAATTGGAAGTCTTGACTTCTGCTTTTCTGCCTGACAGCAAGGATTTGGCCTGGTTGCTTGGCTCACTTGGCTGCTCATGTACCTGAAGCAACAGGCAGATGCCATAGCCACGTGGCAGCACAGAGACAACCGAGAGCACCAGCCAAGCCCACGGGCAGGGGTAGCCCACACAGATATGTTGCACACCAGACAGCCCCCAGACGAACTGCACTAGCTCACAAATAGCATCAGGAAAAAACAAAAACAAAAAAAAGACACAGACCACAAAAAACTACTACCTAATGGGTGTGTTTCCTGTCACTGTGTCGCTACAGTAGTCACACATATTCTGGCTCCGTGGAGTTAGAGTGCAGCCACTGTATTTAACAGGGCTTCCAGGCCTTGTGGTTTTCTTTAGAAGTGTTAATTCCTTCAGTATATGACTAAGTTCTTTTACTCTGTTCCCCCTGTTGATGGTAAACTATGAGGAGGAGAAAAAAAACTAACAACTTCCTCCTCCAGTTTGATAAGCGGAGACTTCCTTGGTATTCCCCACCTCATTTCCATATCTTTTTTTGCTAAAAATGGAAGGACACAAGGCAAAAATGTGATTCTCTTCACACAACACAGTGTTAAAGAAATCCAGGCGCGGGGTCTGGAGAAGGATGTGTTTGTGGGTTGTGTTACTTGTGTTGGTCCGAGATAGAGGGCAGGCCTTCCATCTGCTATAGAGCCAAGGCTGGGACTGAACGAGCCCCACACTGGATGTCCTCTCACCAGCCATGCGTGGCAGCTGGACCTCAACATTTCTTGCTGGGAGTCACCCCTTACTATATTAATTGTAGGGACTTTCCCAGTGGTCCAGTTGTACCCATTTAATTAGGACTCAGGCTACCTTGCTGCACTCTGCTGAGGTGTACAGGAGGTCAAAAATGCTCCCAGATAGCTGTTACAGAGAACATGAGACTTCATTATTAAAGGTAAAAACATCTAAATCAAAGTGCCTAAATAAGAGATGTTAGGAAGGAGCCTAGCAGTTGGTGAAATCAGATATTCAAATGCGTAGTCAGATACTCAAGTGTATTGATTTCCTTGAAAAATCAAGGGCAGTTTAATTCAATATCTAGTCAGAGATCACTCTGGAATTTAAGCCTCCTGAGCCCCAAATGGATGGAGAAAATGAATACTCAATTACATCTCCTCTTCTGTACAACACAATGAAAGGGGAAAACAGCAAATAAGCTCCATTTACATCAATAGCAAAATCTTAAGTAAGAGATCAAGATTATCCCTCCCAGACTTAGCCACATCTTTACAGGGATTGTTTTCTCACTTACTTCTCACGTACAAAGTGAATCTTTTTGTCATGACTGTATCATCATTTTCAGCATAAAATATATATATGCCAGACTGGTGCTGATGGTTGCAGAACTTTGATGAAATGCTGTGGAGCAAAGAAAAGGAAGGAAAAAGACAAAAGAAAGTATTAAAAACAAAATATTTTAGATGTAGTTAAGACTCATATATATGTTTGAAACAATTCAGTATCTTCTAATGATTAATTCAGACTAAATTATTTTATTAAACATTAATTCAGACAAAATGTAACTGTCTTAATAAGAGGATTTTTTTTTCCTACAGTATTGATTTTATCCTGCAGTTTTTCTGTAACTTTCAATAGTTTGTGGAGTGCATACAGGCTGTAGGGTTGTGATTTTGTTACCAACCCATTGGAAGACAGGGTATATAATGCATTCTGGTTCAGATGCTAAGACCAGCAAAGGATTGTGGTCTACTGTGGTCAAACTGTCTACTCTCTGAAGGATTCCAGTGTTTATTTCTGGTTGGTATGAACAAATGTATTAGGAAATAACAATGAGATGGTAGGATCATGCAAGAGAAACCTCTCCAGATCAGAAGGTCTGACGGAACTCAGAAATGAGATCATCATCAGAAGCTCAATGTCATTGAGACAAAGCACCAACCATCAAGACAGTTCTGCAGGAGGAAGGGCAGCCTTCTACCAGCCCCTATTCCTTTGGCCCAAAGGATAGAAATAAAGCAAGACTCTAACCCTGCTTGTGATGATGGAAATGGGGACTGCAGAGGACTGATGCAGGACTGACCTGTTGAGCCAGGAATAGACAGAAGGAAGGGAATATATCATCTTTACAAAGTTGGCATACCGTTTCTGTACTTTTGGCTAGGTCAGGATGGTTGTCAGACTTAAATGGGAGATTTGCAGTTCAGCACTAGAAGAGCACTTCAGAAAAATTCATTTTAGCTTTAGTTATTGACATTTTACATGCACACATTTTGGCTGAATGCTAACAAAAACTGAGTAGCAGACATCCACTCAATTTTAGTATGAAATGCAAGCAGTCATATCAGGGAGTTTTAAATAGACAGAAAAAAAGACAGTCTATACTAGCAATTGCAAAATAACAGAAAGCAATAACGAGCTTGGAAGAAATCTAGAGAATTAAAACCAGGGTGTTTCTCATTAAGCAAGATACTTTTAAATGAACTAAGACACCAAGTATCGCCATGCAATTAAAAATCAAGAAAAATCACATAGAAGCCACTGGGAATTTTGCCTTCTGACCAAGATAGCATCTCCATATCAAGTTACTCACTTTTGAGTGTCTTTATCTGAAATGACCTTAAAGATGTCCCTGAAATCAGGGATTTAAAAAAAAAAAAGATTAAAAAAAGATGGCTTTTATGTTGCCTCAAAATAGATGCCAAAGGAAAGGGAAACCACAAATCACTTGCTGTTTTGAAAACCTAGGCATTTCATTTCTCATGAAATAATGAGAAAATCATTAAAAAAGAATGTCTTAGGTACCTGAAAATGTAAGAGGATGTGAGATAAATAATATAAATTTACCAGAGATCATTCTGTATATGAAAACTCATTTGATCTTAGGAGGGAAGTGAAATTCTGCAGTGTTATAAAACACAGAGACAACAAAAGCAAATATAAAATGGAAATTTTGAAACAATCTCTGAAAACACAGAAGAGCACTGACAGGAATGATGAATCACTGAAACTTGAAATCAAAAGCCAAAGAGGAGGGCAGAGTTAATTAATAAAACTTATTATGATCTTTAGGAGGAACAGTTTGATAAGGAAATGGCAGAAATCAAAAAAGGGAAAAACAGGAAATGAAAAAGGATATGAAAGGAATAAAGTAGAAGTGTTGGGAGATAGGATTACACAGAAGTGAACTAAAATATGCAAAGATAGAATAAGGTTTGTGTTGACCTTTTTTGTGTTGTTTTGAGAAATATGCTTTAAAATCATGTTTGGATCTGCAGTGCTACAGCTTGTAGGCACAATCCCTTCACTCCACTCCCCCTTGCTGCTTCTGTGGAAAACTAAGCTAAATTAAACATTTGTCCCTTCCCATTCAAGCTCTGGGACGGTGGTGGGGCTCTCCCCTGTCCAGCAGGAGGGGATCGTCTCCTCTGGGCTGCAGAAGCTATCCGAAGTGACTCACACATTCCAGGACAGCTGCACCTTACTGATTAATGGGGTTACCTAAGCTGTGTCAAGAGCTCTCAACATTGTTATTCTTGGCCCAGTCCGTAGCACCTTCTTCTTATCTGTATTGAATTTACACCAGCTGCCCAATTGTCCGAGCAAAACTGACTCCTGCTCTTACCAGCAGTCAGGAGACAGTCTATGACGACTGCAAAGCAAATAAACTTGGCATTATCAGGCAAGGATGAGCAACTGCTCATGGTGGTCCCAGGAGACCTCATTTCCAAAATCAGTCTTGACCACAAAGAACAGACCTGCCGAGCCCACATCAGGCATGCAGATTAGTCACCAGCACCCACCCAGCACTATCAAAGTTTGATGACAGCCCTCACTTTATCAGCAGGGACAGAGTTCCTGTGGCCATTGCCAGGAGATGACAATTTACTGATCTGAACTGAGCTGTCTCTGAAGCATGCAGAGGTCTGACTTCAATACTCCATCTGATGCGGATGAAAAGGCCAGGCTGTTGCAAAGACGACTCAACAAGCTAGTGGATAAAATCAAGTGTACTAAAATACTATGAAAAGAAGCTAAAGAAGTGCAATCAAAGCTATAACACAGGTTTAAGAAGATGATGAGAGATTTTAAGAATATGAGAAGAAATCAGTGCGGGCACATTAACTCCTGCCTAGCTCTTGCTTCATGTTAAAGATAAAACTTCACAAGAGCAGCTTGGCTTTTTTTTCACTAAGGTGAATAAGAGCTGTTACCTTGAAAGCCATGGGACTACTCTGAAAGAAACTCTGAAGGAAATTAGATAATGTTATCAAGAATTTAGAAAGCCTAGGGAATGGAGAAAACATTAGCCTTAAACAGGACTCATGCCAGAACTTCATTTTAGGAAATAACAGAAAAGGTAGATAACTAACAGGTTTATTCAAAACATGTTTTGCAACAGCGAAAGAATACATGACCTGGGTAATTAGCAGAACGGTATGTTTCTGTGGCACAGGCAGAGCCAAATAGATCTAAGCCTGGGAAACTACAGGGCCCTGGGTTTGGTTTGAGCAATAGCAAAGATACTGGGAACATCATCAAGAACAGGATGACAAAAGGGGAACATGAGATCCAGTGTGAAAACTGCAAAGGAGCTGTAATTGAGTAATTATATCAAAGAGAATGGGAATGGCAAATTTCATATAACCTAAAGGGTTGCTGGATGTATAACTTACAAAAGGGTTTATTCTGAGGTGGAGAATAAAGTGATTCTATAAGCTATCTACACAAACTGCTGCTGAAAGCCAAACTAATGTTTGAGTAGCTTTTGTTAACATGTCTATCACCTGGCTCATCCACGTATTAAAAAATACAGAGAGCATGAAATATGGAAAATAATCAGTTCAAATGAGACACTAAGAGGAAAGATTTGGAATTATAACAAAATATTCCAGTACCTGCGTCCATCTGCACTGTAACTTTGCTTACATGGAAACATTTTTTGGGAAAATAGCCACATGCATCTAACTGGTGGATATGCTGTAAAGTTAACTTCGAAGCAAAAATCTTCTTCACCAATTTCAAAATCTTCTCTAGAGTCAGTTATATTTATAAATCCCTTTTCTGAAAAAGAGAGAGTATTGATATTGTGATAAAAAGGCTGGATTGCTTAATGAATGAATTTTGACATCTGTATGTTTTTCATTTTGGTTATCACACACACACACAAAAGGCACCATATTACATCACAAAAGGCATCCTTTTAATCAAAAGATAGTGCTTCAAAAATAGTATTGCAATGATGTCTCTCTGTTCAGCTCCAGACAACTGGTCTGGGTCTGTGTGATATCTGCTAGAGCTGTGTTTTCTGTCAGACCGGAGCACTTCCAAAACCCTCTGACACTTTTTCCCCACCCACCCTACAGAACCACCTGACCAAGTCCATGAGTTTTTTGTTTTGTTTTATGTGTGTTTTCTGGGTGTTAACAGCTACGTCTAACAGGGAAAAAAGAACATGTGGAACCACCAGCTTAATCAGATGTTGATATTCATTCTTTCTCCTTCCCTGAAATGAGCTAACGATTTTGCAGATCAGCCTTACAGCTGCTCGTTTGTTTCTCCATCTCATTAGAAGTATTTGATGAAAGACAACAAGAATGTGAAAAAGCATTCTGAAGGTGTGGGTGAACCCTGTGCTGTTGCTACTTTCCCTGCTAGGGTGGGACTGGTTTCACCTAGTGGACCTGTCTGAGGTTCAGTGACCCACCTAAGTTACCTGTTTGGACCTCAGTGGAATAAGATAGGCAAGTCCAGATATATCCTATAGTGATATAAAAGATAACAAAGATGTACTGAAATGCTCTTTGGAAATACCTGCCTCATGCCACTGGCAGCTGGAAGGACGTGAATCATTCCTGGGGCTAGATGTCTCATGAGGTGAAATGAATCCCAACCAAAGAGACTGAACTACACTTGTAGGAGGACATGGTCCATCGAGGCATCAGCAGAGCTAAGGATCAGCTCCAAAAAAAATAACAGAATCATACATGTTGGAAGTGACCTCTGGAGATGTCTAGTCCAGCTCCTGCCTAAGGCAGGTCCAACTAGATGAGGAGCCATTTCCAGTTGAGTTTGGGTGTCTTCAAGGAAGCAGATGCTAGAACCTCTAGGAAATTTGTGACAGTGTTTAATCAGGCACGTGGTGAGAAAAAAAAACAAACACCTGCACTGTAGAAATATGAGTGGACTGAGATTTCTCTTTAGAGTGTTTTTCTTTTGGTTGTAACACTATATTGTGTTTGGCGTGTTTTGTGTCTAGCTTCACTGGTTTAAAAAATGCAATCTGGAAACTCCCATGCAAACCACAAAAATATCAGTATTTTAAAACAAGAAGCAATTCCTTTCATGACTGTTCTCCTCCTTTTTAATATTAAGGGTTTACTTGCTTTATAGATTGTACCTTTGTCTTTTCAATGCTCTTTTGGACCTCATCTTTCCAAGTACAAGGTCATTGGTACGCGTGCTGTTAACAGCACAGCTGGCCAAGAGTAAAGGCTTTCTCCAGAGTGCACACAGGGATCTTGGAGCAGGGCATGACATTTCTTTGGAAAAGAACTCAGAAAATGGAGGTTTTTTTTTTTGTTGTTTTGTTTTTTTCCCCTTGGCTTACAATTTTTTGGGCATGTTTAAGCATATTTCTGCCAAAGAAATAGTGAACATTATTTAGTAATAACAGAGAGGTGAGCTGAAATTCTTGAGACTGAAACCAAAGTTTCCAAGTTTCTGTATTTAGTTTATTTGTTTATTTGTTTGCTTTAAACCTAATATGTGTTGGAAAATAGCTTGCATATTCCTGAATCTAGATTTCACAGTGCTAATAATTCTTTATTCAACACCGGTGGAGATTGAACATAAGACCTGCAGAAACAAAGAGCCTTGCAGCTGCAGTTGTTGGCATAATCACTGCTATGCTTTAAAGTGACCTAAACATCCCTGCTTGATCTGACCAACTGCACAAGATGAGATAAGTTGGTGAATTATCAAGCAGCAAAGAGCAAACCAGAGCTGTCTTGCTGCAAGAGGTTATTAGAGCATAGAAGACCACCTGCCAGTGTAGTCATGCTAGCCAAGCTCCCCAGGCAATGCAGAGTATCCCAAAGAAATCAGGCTTTTTCTTGGTAAAGTTACATCATGACCATTCCCGGTGTAGCTATGGGATGCTGATCATTTCTGATATTGCTACTCTGTGACATGGCCGTCAGAATTAAGTTCCTATATATATCACTGTTGGAATTGAACCTCAAGTGATAGCACAGATCCACACCAGCAATGGTTGCCATTAATAAATTAGGCTAAAAGTTGTGGTGGATCAGAAGTATTGCACACGATGTCCCTATATAACCTTGGACAGAGAAACACAGCTGATAGCAAGGTATGGCAACAGCCCCCCACTTTAATTCACCACAAAAGTAAACAAAAAGATTTCTTCATCAGAAAAACCAAGGAGTCCCCAGAGGTTTTGTTGGCCTAAGGGGATTAAAGAGAGTACATCTACCACAGTTTGATGTACCCCAGTCAAAAATGCAATGAAAACAATATTTCAATTAAAAATGGCATCACTCTGAAAGACAACCTTCCATGGAGAGTAACTCAAGTATCCCTGGTCAATATGATGCTTACTCAGACCTGAGAGTTAAGGGACCCAAGAAGCCAGTATTTCTGAAGTGGGCACTAGTACTAAGAAAGAAGGTCTCACCCTACCTCTACACTGTCCTCCTCACCCCTACTTTACTGTTTACTAAGAAGTTATGTCTAAAAAAACATGCCCAGGTATCCTGCTCAGTTCCTGTAAACCCTTACAGAACTTCCTGCTCAGAAGTAGGCAGAAGCTGAAAAGAGGATATTGCACAGGGAAACTCATTTCTGAAGAGACCGGGGTAAGTGTTCTCACTTCCTACCATCCCCGGCTTAGGTGTTGTCAACTCTGAGAGCAACTGCATCTAAAGTCAGCCCCATGGTCACTGCTTCAGAAAGCCTTGTCCCTGGGGCTGGAGATCCCAGCTCCATGCATGTCGATCAGAAAATGTATCCCAATACATACTTCAGCAGCATGTCTATAGCTTTTTTTTTTTTTTTTTTCTTTTTCCTTATTTCCAATTCTATTCCTATTTAGCGTATTATTTCCACCAAATTATTTCCACCAAATCAAGCTTTGCTGCTGAGGCTCTTCTGGGCTAGCTGTAAGGCTACTGGCTTTTAAATGGACATGTTGCCTAAGTAGGATGATGTTTCCTTTGGTATGCATTAGATTTTCTGAATTTTCAGACCTTGTGTAGCTTGGTGCTAGGAGGATGGTTCGTTTCAGTACCTGGAAAATAGGAGACAGGTAGACCAGCCAGTAACACTGCAGAAGTTGTCTCTGTAGCTTCAGGTTTTTCGTCCTATCCATCGTGGCTGCAGCAGCATTCCTGCATGGCAGTTTGCCAGCTCTGTCATCACGAGCTGTTCATGGGATCTCTGTGCTTACATTCACAAATCATGCAAAAGATTTCATTCTGCTACCAGTTCCACAGGTTACGGAGCTAAAATTCTTCCCCAGGTTTACTTTTCCCTAAATTATTGGCAAGCTCAAATGGCCACTTGTCAGTCACTCCCTTGCCATAAGATGAAGCAAAGGTCCTCTCTCTTTTGTCCTGCATTTTGGGTGATAAAGCCCACCACCAAGAGCCTTGCAGTTGTTTGATTGCTTCCCAGTGGACCCAGATCAGACCTGATATAGATTTTCTGTGTTGTTTTCTCTTCTTTTCTTTTCCTTTTTCTTTTTCTTTTTCTTTTTCTTTTTCTTTTTCTTTTCTTTTCTTTTTCTGTTTCGTTTTTCTTTTCTTTTTCTTTTCTTTTTCTTTTCTTTTCTTTTCTTTCTTTTTCTTTTTCTTTTCTTTTTCTTTTTCTTGTCTTTTTCGTTTTCTTTTTCTTTTTCTTTTTCTTTTCTTTCTTTTCTTTTCTTTTTCTTTTCTTTTCTTTTTCTTTTTCTTTTTCTTTTTCTTTTTCCTTTTCTTTTTCTTTTTCCTTTTCCTTTTCTTTTTCCTTTTCCTTTTTCTGTACTACAGCAATGAGTGCCTGAAGAGACCGTGCTCATAGGTGGGGTGGGGATTCCCTATGTGGGTTATAGGGAGGTGTAGTGGGAGGACGTGCTGAGGAGAAGACCAAGGTGATGACTACAACATCCTAAAGCCCATGGTGGAACCACAGCAAGACATTTCTGCCTCACAGCAGTTGAGACCAGCCACTGGTCATTCCAGACTCTGGCCAGGCTAATACACAGAGCACTAAGAGCTAAACATGGGGCGGGTCATACGTTTTATATTCTTGGCCAGCTCCAGAAATGGTGTTTTCTGCAGGGCTTTACCTCCAATTTTTTGTATCTGCTCTGCAGATGCGTACATCTGAGGTGATGGCATAGGGGTTCCCCTGCCCAGGAACATCAAGGCATGGCTCCCTGTTGCTTTGTGTCCCCAAAGCTGTTGTGGCTTTGTGTCGTGCTGGCTGGGAGTCACCTACAACAACACGAGCCAAATCCCAGCCTGTGCTTTGAGAAATAACACTGAAACAATCGTGTGGGCTAGACCTCCAAACAGTGCCAGTTCATTTCACCTCTAAAAGCACTTTAATCCTAATGTAATGGGAATTATTTGGAAAGCAATATATATTAAAAAAAAAAAAAAGTTCATTATTTTCAGATACCTGCATGACTCAGTTCAGACTAATCTCTTGGCTTTCCTAGGCTGCCAGTAAGTGCAGACAGGATTTTTCCTGAGAAATCACTACAAATACATGCTGCACACCTGCGAGCAAAGATCTGCCATATAGAAAACAAAGCAAAGCAACCAGCCAAGGGACAGAATTAACACCAGGGATGGAATTACCTAAAACTGTAACCAGAGCAGTTTGGTTCGGATGTGCTGTAGAGGAGCAGGTATAACGTCCACTGTCACCTCGTTCTGCTGCTGAAGCAAACACGTACTGGATCCGGATAGCTGAGTGGTCTGTCAGATACTCTAACCCATCAAACCTACGATCCTGGTGTTTAACAGAGATTTCCAATTATGCCATTGATAGTGCACAGTATTACCCATTTTTTAAAAGTCCCCTTTTTTTCTTACCTGCTGCACTTCTTTGTTTTCAAAAGACAAATTTATCCTGAATTTATAGTTACGATAAAGAGCTCTGCATCTGATCAGCAATGGTTCCCCGACTTTGAGGAGTAATTCAGGTAGAGGTGCTGCTTGTCTTTCATTTAAATCTACAAAGCAAAACATAGGCACTGAAACAACAGCTGTCACGCTGCCTAGAACAATGCTCATTTAAATCAATATTTGTTCTTCTAATACTTTACAGACATCCATTATTATATTGTAATGACAATTAAAATTTGAGGAAATTACTCATTAACCATGAAATCAGTAAATTTGATGGATTTAGATGTCTCTACCCAAATGTTTGTCATAATCTACAAGCTATGTTAGGGCACAGTTTAGCACAGAATTTAGTTCAAGTCAGCTTTATTTAAAAACAACAGATAAACAAAACAAAATTTATACGTTTTAAGAATGTTTTGAAGTACATTTCACTACGACAGACTCCTAAAAGCATGCAGAAATGAATGATAGCTGTTTAGAAAGCATAGAAGGGCAAGACATTTTTTACAGAGACCACAGATAGCTGTTAGAATTTCGGGTTAAACACAACCCAGAGCAATCACAGGCACTGTTAGATTTGTTCCAGTGGTTATGAACAAATAGCTGAGTCCAGAAACTGTACTCGGATGAGCTCCAGTGGCAGGGTCCAGCTCACGCATGAATATACTCTAGAGGGTAGTTACCTATAGTAAACAGGCTGGTGCATTCTCTGCCCAGGTCATTAGCTGCACAGCACCATATATAACTTTGGAATAGTCCTCTCTGACTTAATTCATGTTGTACCTTCTGTATGCCATCTTTTCCTCTATTTCCTTCATGCACTTTATTAAGGCAACTGCAATTAAAAGCACAATTATTCATTGACTCATTTGGTTAACCTCAAGCAAATAAATCTGATAAATCTCCACACCATGAGAATATGCAAACAATAGTGGGAAAATTGGATCTTACATGGCAGAATAAAAAGGAACTAAGAAAGGCAAAGATAAGAAAATAAAAATGTCACAGTCTAGGCAGAAAAATGAGCTGAAATGACCTGAATATGCTCAAACCGGTGCATAAACAGGTAATTCTATGACTAAAATCTGGGCAATAGTGAAATGATAGAGGTTGGGCTTTCACACCACATCTCTGAATTCCTGCTGGCAGAAGTTGCTGCAAATCCAGCAACCTTTATGAAACCCAGATCCCAAACTGCCACACAGGAGAGCAAGGCATTGCCTGTGGCCATTGCACAAAACACACTGTTTCCTTTGAGCTTATTTGAACACAATCCCACAGTTAATAGAATTAATCATATATGTTAATAGAATGGAAAACATCATTTAGATAGGAAAAATATGATTCCTTATAACATCTCCCCAGCTTCAATGAGAACACACTTCCAAAAAATGTGAAAAGCTAGAGGGAAAGGAGATATTTCTGATCTCTTTTGGTGACATCAGAATACCAGAATCTGGAACAGCATTTCCAGGCCAACAGCTGGAAGTTTCCAAAAGAGCACAACAGCCAACATTTCTAAGAAAAATGTGCTGCAACGCTCCAAGAGTGAGTCATGCAGACACATGGATGTGCAAACCAGCAGAGCCCACTGCATTCTCCTGCAAACATGCTGACCCTAAAGCTCTTCTTCAATAATCCAACCAACCTGCCAGGAACACTAAACAATACAGAGTCTCTGCCCTTCTCGTCAGAAGATGGTAAACTTCCAGCCTAGAGGTTCAGTATGTGTATAAACATATGCTGTACCTCCTGTCGGGTGTTTTGCAAAACATCCACTGCACAGATGGCGGGGGGTAGCTCTCCGATATGCACTCTATAGCATCCAGTTTTCCACTCCTCTTGAAATAGGGTTTGCCTGGTTTATCTGTTAAAAATAATGCAAATGTTTAAAAATGCTGACTTTTTTTTTTTTTTTAAACAGACAGTGCTTTGCTCTTTTCACAGCACATGAAGTCACAGGATTGTAATTTGCTTCGCGAGCTTTCAGTGCTAAGGGAAAATAAAATGATTCTGCCCTGGGGATATCAAGGGTTGGTCTCACAAGCTTTTCAGTCTTGATTGGTAAATGCACAGCGTCCCTGCTATCAAAAACCTGCTTCTACACACCAGAGGATGATCCTGAGGCTGATACCGAGGTGTTAACTTGCTGTGGCTGCTATTCACCTCACAGGACAGGAGCACAGACACCTTCCACAATCACATCACAAGCCCCTGGCCCTTGGTGGAACAGCTGTTGAAACTACAAAGTCTCTGCTCCAGATAGGATTGTCGAGTGTTGTTCCATCAGGTCAGACACACAATGGAGGACCATCGGGGGGGTGATGACTTCTGACCACCCGCAGGCTCCTCCACTGCACATCTGGAACCTAGCGGGAAAGTTTCCAGGCAGCTCCAGTCCCCGGAACCTGTCAGGGTCAGACTTGGTCTAAGTATAAAAAAATTAATGCATTAAAACTCTTTAAAATTTGACTCAAAAGGACAAATGCCAAGTTTTAGCTCATCTTACAATGAAATTAAAACTTCCACACAAAAGACTAACATTTTCTTTAGAGTCACTTTCGTTTCCAGCAAAGCAACATGATAAAATGAAACTAATATTTTGCCTTTTTACTTTCCTTGTTCATTTCTCTCTTACAAGCTGAGCCTAGAAGGCTTTTTTTCACCTATAGAGATTCACATCTCAGTTGAAGGGTTCACAACTAGCCTGAAGGATTTTATGAGATGTAATTATGACATTAGATCCACAAGAGCAGAGAAGGCAACCCAAGTAATTGATATGGAGAAGATCTTTATCGAGGCTGTTTTGAACTGCTCTTGCTTGCACAAGTAATAACATTTTTTAACCTCTAAAGCCTATTACTATGGAAGTGAAGGTAAATTTTAATCAAATATTTAATAGCCTGCCCCCTCAATGAAGCTGTTAGAATTATAATTGGGACATGCAATAGGTCTTTAAATTAAATAAGGAGAAATTGGAGGTGTCACTTCTGACACCTGAGGGAGAAAAGAGTCCATCAGAAGAAATACTCCAAAAACAAATAATGAAGGGTTAAAAATGTTGATTAAGCAGTGATTAGTCACAGTTTTGTTTTGTTTCTTAAATCAAGTAATAATGCTTCTTGTTAAATCTGTCTCTAGAAGGGCTTGGTCCTATCAACTTTGCCAGACTTTCAGCTCTTTGGATTGATTTTTTTTCCTTTGACTCTTCTTTAAAATTTTCAAAATTTATATATAAATGTGGCCCTTTGCAGACAAAATAATGTTATTCTCCTTCTGTTAAAAACCATGTCAACATAGGTCGTTAAAAATAATATTCCTTGGACAGCCCTACTTATAAATGGAAAATTGAACTTGGTTGCAATAGTTGCCTTCTCCCCAGGGATATCCCCTGCGTGGTCCTTGAGGAAATTCACCCAAATCTGCTCCCCCTGTGAGCCTTTCAAGAAGTTGCACCTTGTGTATGTGCTCTGCCATGTCTTGCTGAGCTCAGCAGCTGCAATGCCAGCTTCTCATGCAACCATGTGTGAGCAGCTGCAGCACTGCTGTGTTTTACCCTGGAGCCATCGGAGAATTAATAGGTTAAGACACAAGTAAACAAGTCCAGCCCGCGAGCTTTGGGAGTACACAAAAGCCACTCTTGGTCTGTCCCTTTTGGCACAGGAGGAAATCTCTCGAAGGGGAGAAGAGGGCTGGTGCACATTTACATCTTTATTTGTTCATTTGCATGTTTTATTGACTAGTGAAAGCTGGCTCGCATGCGGTAACGCAGTCTGTGGTTTTGACTTCAGCCTCTGAAGACAGCTCTGAGTCCTATGAATATCTAGGAGGGCTCTTGAAACACAGCATGTGAGAAAACTGGCACACAGCATGAGGCTCAACAGGCGACGAGAAGTGTTTGGGAAAGAGAGATGCTTCACGAAGAAAAGTGGGAGCTCACAGCTTTAGGTGAACTTGAGCCTCTCCCCTTGGACCTACTGATGGAGCGACTCCTTTCATCTAAGCCATACTTACTGCGGATGAAAACAGGAACAATTATGGTGTAATTGCTGTTTTTACTTATGACTGAGAGAGTGTATTTTCCAGCCTGTGTTTCTCTTATTTGGGAAAAAGCCAAAGAAGTAACATATCTGTAAAAGAGAAAATAAAGTTGCATTTATTATGTGGAAGGTAATAGGCAGCAGACACAATAAAAGCATCTGCTCCATTAGTTCTGTATTTTGTGTGCAAAAACTATTCAGAGATGCTGGTGCTCATTATTTACACAGCACCCTGTGACCTGAAGTGTTTTCATGTATCTTCCTACACAAGAAGGACATAGGACCTCACAGCCACAGGTACCCAAGCACATACCTAACGCTGAGCATTGGGAAGGATGAGCTTCCTGAGCTTAGGACAGCTGTGGAGGTCCTCAGGGAAATGCTTTACCTACAATCCCATCCCACATATCCTGCAATGGGAGGCAATAACCTGGGCTCGGTTTCCACCCCCAGTTTGGCTGTAAGAATTGAGAAGCTGGTGCTGGCACTGTTCCTGGTCTGCACCGTGACCTTAACAAATCACAGACCCCTCCATGCCTCAGTTGCTTTAACTATAAAATCAAAACCTTTTCCTCACATGAACACTGCAAACCTCAAACTGATCAGTGTCAGAAAGTTCCTGGAGACCCCCATGCATGATGCTGTACAAATTAAAAGACTGAATTTATTTCTAATGATTCTGAGTTTAAGATTCTTAAGTACATATGCTGTGGATACATCAACAATCAGCAGCATGCTGACTGGTGACAACATTTAAGAAAGATGAGAAGATTAAAAAAATGCATAACATGAAATTATTATTATACACAAGAAAAGTCACACAGAAAATATTCCATTTGCATCCTGAAAGAAATGATCCCTCAGATGTTCTTTGATCCAGAACATCCTTTGACTTACCTGTTCTCCGAGTCCAATGAAGGTTTACAAGCTTGGCTCTCTTTAAAAAACCAAAGGCATGAAATGATCTCTGAAATGTTCATTATCACTCTTAACTCAATATCTTCAAACACGTTGACTTCCACATTTTTAGTTGGTGCATAGATGTTCTCTGTTCCTTGAGAATTCAAATAGCACCCGAGATCTTCCAAAATATTAGAAATCTGCAATGCGAGAGAACAGATTGTTATGTATGTAGTCACAATTAGCTTCATTTGCTTTTTCATATTCAAATATTTTAAAAGGGTGTTCTTCTGGAAAAAGCTTTCATAAATTAATAATGCCTCCTAATTGCCAAATATGAATAGAAATTACACGAAAGTAACACCTTCAACATACTTTCATTTTCTTTTCTAGTGTCAAACATCCATAAATATGTTAAATTCTACTGCACAAGGGAACATGATAGGATCCCTGTTGCTTTAGTTAATTTTTCTCTCTAGACAGACATCACATAACAACTTCAGCCAGAAACATGATAATTTCCCTTAGTGGTTATTCTTTACTCTCATTTTTGCTTCCTTTCATGTAGAACTGTAGGAAGACAGAGAAGAACTATAATAACATCTTTCTGTTTGAGACCTCAGTGCAAAGGCAGGGCTAGATAAATATATATATTTTTTTCTTTAGCATTCCACTGCTTGTCATCACAGCATCTGCCTAGACTGCTCCTCAGCTCCTTGTGGGCTTTACTGGGCAGAGAAGGTTTGGGCTGGGTACCTTCACACCTTCCATTTCCTCACCGTTGTCTACATCCAAAGGAGAACTGCAGCCAGAAGGAAAATGTTCTACAGGCATGCAGCAAACTGATGGTGGATTAATGAGTCTCTAAGCTTAGCTGCAGCAAAAGGTGGCAATTAAATAGCTCCACATGAACAGTAGCCCTAAAATGTCTCCATTACTGTGTCAGGTGAAGTTTATCCAATTAAGACAGGGTTTGCTGCCTCCTCTGCCACACACTGTGCTTGGCCAGGCACCCTGGGCAGTGAGTGGGAGGTGGAAAAGATGTGGTTATGCTCATTCCTTGCTCCTTCTTTTTCCCTTTTCTTGATCTGAGAGGTATCTAGAGATAACAGCCATATTCTGCCTCCTCAGATACGAGGACAGCACAGCTTTGGCTGGTGTACTAAACAGAAATGACACATTAGGAATTTTGTGGTGGGAAAGTGAGAAAGTACTTTATATGATCAAGATCATGAAAGCTGATGAAATACTGCATGAAGCACCATACCTGTAATAGAAGGGATTTCATCTAAAATGACTGAATGATTATTGAGACCAGAGAAAGCCAGAAGATGTTCACTTATCTGGCTGTGATAGGAGAGACTACATCAGACTCTTTCATTTAAAAGACCACCACTACAGTTTGGGGGACAGGTGTCAGCACCTTTCACTTGTTAGTCTGCTTCTCACCTATTTGAATTATTGATTTTTTTTTTTCCCAGGAATAAAAAAGATTTCACAAGCCTGTCTTGAAACAAGAATCCTCAGGAAGTACTTTAATCGTAGTTCTCAGCTGCTTTATAACTTAGTAGCACACCATCTCTTACTGACCTCCTGCCATTTAGAAACTTGGAGGCAGAAAACTTAGAGGCAGAAAAGAAGGAAAAGGTTTCATATTTGATTCCCTATCTAGCTTTGGGCTCTCAGGCAAGGGTTAGACCAGATAAGGATTTATGAGCTTTGGTGGTGGGAGAGGGTTCAGCTTCCCCACCAGTCCTAGCAGCTGAGGCACACGTGTTGGTGTTCAGCTATGGCTGTGTGTGATCACTGCTTCACATCATGGCCTTGCCAATCCCCACAGACCATTTTTCCCATGAGGGCACGTAGCTTTTTAAATTGATTTCCAGCAGTATTCAGGCAAGCTGATGAGAGATAGCTTCAAGGCAGCAGTTAATGACTTGGTTTTAGAGAAAAATTGTACTTACCTATTTACAGTTTCAAAGAATGAATTGTGATATGTATTTCCCTTTAACTTTCTGTAGCATTTTTTTTCCTAACTCTCTCTATTTTGACTGTGACATCCCCACAGGCTAAAGGGTTAGGGTGTTGTAAGCTTCTGGGAAGGTATTTCTGGAATGGACAGGAATATTTTATAAGCAACTTGTTCTCTGTTAGATTACCTTAGAAGATACTGATGACTTCGGTGTTCTTGAACCTTCATCCTTCTGGCTGATAAATACACATGTAATCTCAGATATATTTTGATTCGTTGCAGAAGTGAAAGTTATTGCTGTCATAACAAGAACTGTAAAACAGAAATAGGAAACAAACGTAATCCTGTCTATCTTTCTGCCAGGGATAACCATTTTAATAAAAATAAAAATAAAATGCAGCAAAACTGTAGAAAGATTGCATCTTTTTTATTAAAAGGCAGAAGAAATACACAGATATATCCTGTATTTGCAAACTCTGCCTTTGTGTATCAAAACTGAGTGAAAAAGCTATTTGGAAAACCTTTCAAAAGTACTGATACATCACACTTTAGAAGTATGACCCCAGATATTGTAGAATATCTTCTCCCTCCTGCCCATTGGGAAGGTCAGGTCAGAGATATCCTCCAAGCACTCCTTGTGCCTGCCCAGGGCAATGGCAAAATGAAGCTCTCCATCTGCTTTTAGAGCCTGCCCTCAGCTCACCCAAGGACCCAACCTCTGGTCTTTCCTTTTTCCTTCTCTTCAGGACTGTACTTCATCTGTCAAACTCGTTGGAGACCCTCCTGAGCCTTCCTGGTTTAGTTCTGCATCCCAGAATCTTGTGAGGGAGGGACAGGGTAGATGCATCTTCCCTTGAGACACACTTGCCCCTCCAGGAAGCAAACAAGGCACAAATTCCCAGTCTTTTGACAAAAGTGGATGCAGAAATTGAAGGCAGAAGGACAAGGAAGGACCATTTTTTTTTTTTTTCCTGACTTATTCCAATGGCTCTGTATCAACTCAGGAGCCTACAGACCCTGGGCAGCTCCCAGATGGGGCAGCATGGAAAAGTTTCTAGTGCCTCAACAGCATGATCTGTCCGGAATGCTTCATATGAGCCTTTCTCCAGGGTCTGCAGCTTGAAATCTCACTATTTAGCCTTAAAGGAGTGATAGAGTAATGACAGCCCCATTGCTGCACAAAACAAAAGAGAAGAAAAACAGAAGTAGGACTGCTGGGTGAAATGTGTCTGATTCCCACCGGTCCCTAAAGCCAGCCCTTAACAGTACAAATAAGCAGTGAATCACAAAATAACATCTCTCAGCTGATGACTTGGGAGATTTATGTCCTCGGGTCTTGGCTTTGTTTTGTTTTATTCTCATTTTATTTTATTTTCTTTGTTTCTTTCCTCAGCTCCTGAGATGGTTGAGCTTAGAGCAAGGTGCAGGGCTGAAAGGAAGATAAAAGTAAACAAATCACAAAGCTCTTGAACATATCTACACCAAGCATACTGATTCCCCACCATACACACACCTCTGCAAGCCAGGTTTCCAGCCCTCCCACTGGAGGATGATGGAAAGCAGCCTATGCCCGGCAGAAAACTGCACTCCCTGTCCTGTTAACTGCTAGAGCTTGTTGCTTCTATCCTCTACCTTTATCCTGTGTGAATCCAGGAAAGTTTTTAGGCTGAGAAAGGATATTTTGGACTGAGATGGTTCCAACTGTTGTATAGTAAGAAAAAAAAAAAAAAAAAGAATGATATGCTAGAAGTATTTATATGAGATGAGAAAGGGTGGCTTAAACTTGTGCAGGTCTTAGAGAAATATATTACTTTGACATAACAGAAAATAAAAGCATGAATGAGCCTTCCAGCAGAAGCAGAATCAAGAAAACAAATATTGGGAAAATGGCAACACTCCGATTTTCCATCTTGGCTTTCCAGCTGCTAGCTGGCCTGTGCAGAGATTGGTGCTATGGGCTGCAAAGCAGTCATCCTCCCCAAAGTCCAAAGCAAGAGCTGCAGAGACTGAGAGCACTGGGTAAGGAGTATCAAATATGCAGTATGCACAATCATGCCTTGCATTGCCAAACTGTACTGAAACTGGAATGGAGAAAAATTGCTGCTCTGAACAATGTTTGTTTATGCCTGCTTTCCATCTTCATTTTCTTTTTATGGGTTATACGAAAATAAATGCAGTAGGAGAAATCTTGCTCTCACTGAGTCAGACAAACCTCTAGTTGTTATAAACTGAGTCAGGATTTCATCAGGATGTGTAGGCACATACACGGGGAAATGCCAGTACAAGTGATTGTCCCCTTGTACATGGCACTGGTGAGACCACACCTGAATGTTGTGTTCAGCTCTGTGTCTCTCACTTCAAGAAGGACATCGAGGTGCTTGAGTGTGTGCAGAGAAGAGCAATGAAGCTGGTGAAGGGACCAGAAAGCAAGACATAAGAGGAGAAAATAAGGGAATTGGGGTTGTTTATTCTGGAGAAGAGGTTTAGGTTGGGCATCCAGACGAATTTCTTCACAGAGGTGGCCAAGCCTTGGAACGGGCTGCCCAGGAAGTGGTGGGGTCCCCACCCCTGGAGGCATTTAAGAGATGTGTGGATGTGGCAACAAGGTTTAGTGGTGGGACTTGATGGGTCAGGTTAATGGTTGGATTTGTTAATCCTGAAGGTCTTATCCCACCTAGATGACTCTATGATTTTACAATTATAAGTCAAAATGCAGGCTCCCATGGAAAGTTGCTGAGAATGAAGGCTTGACTCTACTGGCCAGATATCAGCCGAAGATGCTGTATCCAGATGGTTGACCTAAAAGAACTACTTCGGAGATTTATGCTCAGATGGGGGATGACTAAAGCTGCCTGCCAAAAACTGGGGAAGCCAGCCACGCTCTGGCTCAACCTTCCCAAATTTTCTCCCTGAGTAGGGAAGGCAGCAAGCCGAAGCCTTTCGTCTTAAACAGCTACCAGCTGCAGCAGAGATGTGTTCAGCCTGGGGCCCCTCGCTACAAGGAGGACATCGAGGTGCTCAAATGTGTGCAGAGAAGAGCAATGAAGTTGGTTTAAAGGGACTAAAACGCCAGACAGAAGAGGAGCAGCTGAAGGAATTGGGGGCTGCATGACCGCGAGGGGGAGCCCTCGAAGCAGCGCTCCGAGAACCTAAAAAAAAAAGCTCTCGACATCCGAAGAAGAAAAAAGAAATTTGCTCAGACTGCCTCAGGAGCATCGCTGCCAAGCCCAGCTGACTCCACTGGTGTTTGCCGAGTGCAGCAAGTGAGATTTTGTCCAAAAATTAATTTTCCACCTTAACTTTTCTCAGCCCCCCATTTTCAGGTCCCAGATGAAAACAGCTGCAATGAAGACAAAATTACTCTTCCCCATTCTTTTATACCTAATCACTTCTCTCTCTGGCCATAATTTCCAAGAATTTGTCCTTTGCCTTGTTATGACTTAACAAATTTTTGGTACTGATCTGAGCAAACTTCCCCTTTGGGATAAAACTTTGCCTTTTAATGCTGCCACCTTTCTCCTTAGAGGAGGACAGGTAGCAGCTCTGTATATGGCTTATTGCAGCCAGCTTGTAAATTATGCAGAAATTTTAATAAAGAATAATTCAGATAGCTGAAGATTTCAAGTCAGATGTCACACCAGTGATGTATTTTACACTTCTTTGTCAGGAAAACAGAAAAAAAACCTTTTCTAACAGACCAGGCAGTTGGAGTCAGCAGAGCCAATCCCACTTTTTTACTGATTACTTACAAATCTGTTTGCTTTGGTGCCTTATGTAGTAAAAATAAGCAAATGATGACCTGAAGCAGGGTTATATTTTTCACAACATGATTACACATCCAACTTTATTGACTACTTCTGCCATTAACTTTATTGCAGACAAATCATGCTCGGTGATTTGTCTTTTCATCATTCATTTATGCCAGAATGAATCACAATCCAGTTTGATATATATTTCTATCAGGTTTCAGATTTTCTAATCATATACTTGCCCTCCTGAGTATGTGAAACCTTCTGTTCCTCTGGGAATAAGTTGCTTTTATTGTGGGATTGTGCACATTTATGAACAGCCCAACCCCTATAGCTGTTGCAGGTTACTTTCATGATTACTAGCTGGTACTACCATCATGTACCCCCTTAATTTATAGATTTGCTTTGAAATCACTTCTTTGAGTCCTTGGTCTATGTCGGTAAATTGTGGTTTGTGTCTGAAAATAGTTATCTCCTTAGCATGAAACAAATGCTGGAGACTGAATCTAGCACGACATCTGCCTCCCTTTTACCTCTCTGTCCTGCCTCTTCTGTTTTGTGGTTACCTCGTCTTGGGCAAGGAAGAAGAACTGCAGGGTTGTATTCAAACCCTTATTTGCCTTTCATTTCACTAAGATAACTTTCCATCTACCTTCCCTGTGAGTTGGAGATAAACCCCCTGCTCCAGCTGGGCTGTTATTTTGCTTGCTGTTATTCATTTTGCCTGCTTTGCATGGGACTAGCTGAGTGAATGACAGCCCTTCCACCCCGAAGGACAGCAACAGGTCCCCGGGACCCATTGAAATCTCTGCTGTCCTACCCACAGTCTGTGCCATTCTGCCACTTCTGGTCCAGTTTACAAAGAATAACTGGGACTGCTGAGGATACCCCTTTTGGGGAAGTGGCTGGAAAGTGGCCGAAAAGGCAGCAAACCTCAGCTGCCATGGCAACCTCACTCTCTGAGGAAGAGCCCATATCGTGACTGGTTCTTTTCTGCTTCTCACACACATCCCTCATCCCCTCAAGGGAGCTTCTTCTTGGCTCCCACATCACCCAGATCTTTCTGCCCCACTAGGCACAGTGAACAATGATATTCAGGACTGTATAAGGGGTGTTGCCAGCAGGCCAAGGTCCTTCTCCTCTGCCCAGCCCTGGAGCAGAGGCCTCATCTGGAGTGCTGCATCCAGTTCTGGGACCCCAGTACAAGAGACACCTGCACATACTGCAGCTGGGAGAGCTGGGGCTGCTCAGCCTGGAGAAGAGGAGGCTCAGGAGGATCTCATCCATGTCCCTAAACCCCTGAGGAGAGGGTGCAGAGAGGGCGGAGCCAGGCTCTGCTCAGTGGTGCCCAGTGCCAGGACAGGAGGCCATGGGCACAGCCGGGCACCCAGGAGGCTCCCTCTGAGCACCAGGCAGCACTGCTGTGCTGGGCGGGTGACGGAGCCCTGGCACAGGCTGCCCAGAGAGGCTGTGGGGTCTCCTCCTTGGGGAGCTCCAAAAGCCGCCTGGACGTGGGCCTGGGCAGCCTGCTCTGGGTGTCCCTGCTTGGGCAGGGGGGGCACCAGGGGCCTTCAGGGGTCCTGCCAGCCCCAGCCCTTCTGTGGTTCTGTGAATAAAGGGATAATTATGTAGGTAAAGATGAACCAGATTAATGCCACCACGTAAGCCCTCCATTAATCAGAAAGTAGCATTGGGCTGTTCTTGCTCTTGAATATCCTCTACAGGATGTTTGTTCGTGGGGATGGCACATATTTATGCCATTAGAAAGCTGGATAGACAGCCCTGAAGCAAAGCAAACAGACATATCTCATCTAATGGCATAAGTAAGCTTGCTTTGTTTAACTCTTTTTAACCTACTCTGTTTAAGCACTCCAGACTCATTACCTGACACATTACAGCACTTCAACTGACATTAATGGAATTATTAACCTCCTGCAAGCAAGAGCTGCTTTAGTTAAGTACCCAAAGGTAGAGGCATGAGATTCCCGGCACCTCATCAACAAGGAGAAAAGGATCTGCCCAAAAGAGAAGTGAAAACAAGACTGTAAATAGTGAAATTACACTACTTGTCATCCTAGTATTGTAAAACTTCCCTTTTTGAATGAAAACAACAGCTTCCACAACTGACTATAGTATGTCGTCCTCTTCCTGGATGGGGGTGAGGGAGGGAACAGAGCTTAGAGTGAGGATGGGAGAAGGAAGGACAGCAAGAGAAAGAGCTGGAGAGAAGGGCTCTGCTACAAAACCTGAAAAGATAAAAATGAAGCAAAGGAATTTGGTTTAAATGGTCATTGGTATTCAGTACCAAATTTGGCAAAAATGAACAAAACAGATACCAGTTGGTGTTATTTATATCACCAACCGGTGGTACGTTACTTATGAGGTTAGGGTTAAAAGACAATTGCAGTTCCCCAGTGGTTGGTTGTACCGATGTAAGATCTAACATACTGCTGGTAACAATAAGGTGCTTTTCAAACCAGCTCTTGCACCTCACCCACTGGAAACCTTCATACACAATCAACCTAGACTATAGAAAAGGGAATGCCACTTGCTTTTACAACAGTAATGGAGCTAAATATCCATGCCACAAGCTAGCCTTTCTGTATGTTTAAACTGCTCAGTTTTTCAGCAGTTTTTAAGGAAATATCCTAGAAAAATGAGGGAGCTGTTTCATCCTCTGAGTGGGAAGTGCACACAACATTTATCCAGATGTCAGTCTATTTTTTTATCTTACTTCTCATGGAAGACAGAGAAAAAAAGAAGAGTCTACTCTTCAGTCACACCAGCAAATTTTAGGGTATTGTCTGCGTTTCAACGTTTACAGATTCCTAAGGAAGCATTTGGCTTCATACTTCTGTTCAGATTCCTAAAGCATCTTCTTAAATGTATTTCTCTCAACAAGAATAGGGTTGATCCATATGGGAAATATGGTATTTCCCCTCTCCTCCCCTCCATTTGAGAAATGATGTTCTTTGTTGGTTATGAACTGATTTTCTGGTCCCTACTTTCCTTTTAAAAGTCTACGATCATTGGGTTTAAGCAATCTTTGTGCTTTTTGAGTGCTGCTATATAAAACTGAAATTGCTTTCTGTCTTCATCGGTCATCTGTTCCTGTTCTTCTACTTTTTTTGCTCTGTAAATGTTTTACTCTCCAATCTCATTTCCACTGGTGTTTGCTGTAGTTTTTCACCCATGCCTTTTGCAATGAATGTCTCTATGAAAAATTTCAGGAAAGCTAACTCAGCTCGATGACCCCAAATAGCTTCTCAGTTTAACAGCACAGAAACCTACATGTGAGGGAGTTTATGCCATGAAGCTTTTGAAAGCTGCATTTTCAGAAGCTCAAGAACAAGAGGACGAGGGGGAGTTTGGATTCAGCTCTGTGCCGTACTATGTTGGGGCCCTGATGGGAAGGGCTGTAGAAGGGGATGCTGCAGAAGGACATGATGCCCGCAGCTCTGCTCCATTGAGCACAATCACACAGCACCCACCAATGCACTGACGGGTAGAAACTGACTACTGGGTAAATGGAAAGTTGGGTAAGCTGAGGAACTTTCTGGGGAAGAGAGGGAAAAAGCAAATGGGGCCAAACCTCAAAAGAAATAAAACACCAATAGTTTTAAGTTGCATTTTCTGGAAAATAACCCTCCCCCCAAGCAATCCCTTCACCTTCAGGAATCATCTCTTCGAAGAGATGCCTTATCCTCTGATCCATGAAATCCATGGTGAGAGATGACAACGAAAATACGTTCTGCTGGGCATGACTGTGTTTTCCTGAGTAAGCAGACCACGCACTGGCCTTATCCAGCATTCACAGCTGTCTTGCACCAAGGTTTCTGCAAGCTTCGTGAAAGAGATTGCAGTCAGGATCAAACTTGATTCCCCCTGGGGTTCTCATTGATTTCACCTTTCTGCTGGTGGCAGGGCTCGGTGCCTGGACATGCTTTGCAGTGCTCATCAGCTGGGGTGCTGGAAAGCACTGGGTGTATTGCTGGGAGGTGGACACATCCTGACAGCTGCTGGGTCCCAGCCTCTTCTGGCCCATCTTGTGTTTTTCTGGTTCTCTGCCATAGGGATGTAACAGACACCTGTGTGTCCTGCGAGGGGTTTTTCAACATATAAAACTCCCAGAGTTTTTGTGCAATCGGACCCAGCATAAAGTAATCCAGAGCTTGTTAGGGCCTGAGTTTGCAGCCCTTGCTCGTATAAAATTTCCCCTCATTTGTCAGCCACGCTGAGATCTTAGTCAGCAGCTCCGAGCTTCGTTTCTCTCAGGTGCCCTGGAACTGCAAAAGCAATCCCATGAACAGCTCTCAGCAGGAGCGGGCACAACATGAATAAAAGGAACGAGAGCAGCTAAAGGAAAGCTTGCTCCAATGAGAAAGGTCACCCAAAGTCTCTGTTTGTCACACAATTCTCCAACTTGTGAAACATGAAATTACATTACTGCCTCAGTTGCCAGTCCTCATCCACCTTCCCACCTCATTCACTAATGCCAGGCTAATTGCATGCTAGATCATGCTATCATTAACCACAAGCTCTTGCTTAGGATGACCAGAAAACGTTAAGAAGGTGAGAAACTGAAGTAATGATTTTAATGCACGTAACTGTATTTACATACATATTGTGTTGTATATATTGTTTTCTGAAATTATTGGGATTACATTCCTTGCTGCTGGGTATCATTTATTCCAGCAAATAACACTGACAAGATGCTTTTTCTTTCCTGCAGCTTTTGCAGTTCTGAGCCTGTAATTTAAAGACAGACCTGGTGCCTTAATTCTGCATGTACTGGTGAGATTTTCCTCTAGCAGTTACTACAGACTGGCTTTCCTTTCTCTGCCTAAGTGTCGCAATTTCTGATGATTCCGGTTCATCATACAGATACAGGCTGTGAGTCTGCCCAATTTATTACTAGGTCTTACCTCGAGACAATACATGGAGTTTTACGGGGAACACACCCGTCTTTAAGAAATGACATATAATTCATTAAACACTTAACAGTTTTCCATCAACATTGCTTTTAAAGAGTCATCTGCTAGAGAGAGAGTCATGGAGCTGGCAATTCTCAGGATTTCTGCTGTCAGCTACATCTCAGAACTTTCAGCTCCTACCCAGCTTGCATGTCCCAAAGCATTTTCGTTTTTTTTTTTTTTTTTTTTTTTTTTTTCCTTTTTTTTTTTTTTTTCCCCTGTATCTGCTGGCCTTACAAGAAGCATTACTGCCTCCCTACATACCTTGCCTTGACTAAGTAGTATCTCAACCCAACGAGCAGCAGTCCTCATGGACGATAATCGATAATCGCACCTCATGCTCCTCTGGATCTTGCTCCCTCCTCAGAGCCATCTCTCAGCCGTGCTGAGGTCTGTTCTTCACAGACGCCTTCGGGCACTATCACATCCCAGATGCTAATCACTTTTGTTTACCCTGTTATACAGCCTGCAAGACTAGCAGAGCTCAGACAAGAAGAAAACACAGAAATCCATCCTCAACAGGGTTTGCTTAGTAGTAGTAGTATCAGCAATCATGCAAAGCAGGAGATCATGAAATACTCATTTTCATTTTTACTCCACCTTGCCTTCTATCTCGGGTAGACTTTCCAACATGAATGAATAATACCTAAACAATTGCTCTTTGAAGTAAATATTATTGTTCCCGTATATGGAGCTGAAAATGAACCTCAGGTTGTAAAATGACTTTCCCAGGCACGCATCAGAACTGAGTTGATCAGAAAAACAACAACAAAAAAACAACACTCTCTTGTTGTTTGGGTCCTGGATTTTGAATCAGCAAGATCATCTCTGATAGGAGCAAGCCACAGAGCCAGAGAAAAATAGTTGCAGGCATCTGAGATGGAAGAAAATATTTGTTTTTCTTTTAACAGTTAAAATGTTGGCATGACTTCACTCTGACAAAACAGATAAACTTTCTAGATATTAATATTGTGCTTTCTTCTGTTTAGGTTGTTCAACAACAACAAAACCTGGTAAGATACAGACGCACTGCTAAATTTCATTCTATCAACATATCTCACTCTCAGATTGTTTACTTAGGAAAATGCAGACGTATTGTTTAAGATGATCAGGTGAAGCTGATATTAATGCATTTATGTCAGGAAAAATAAGAAAAAATAAGTATTTTTAGGTACTTTTTGCCTTGTGCATGAAATGTGTCAGGTGCGCTAGAGCAACAGCCTGGCTGGGACACCAGGGTGATGGCACAGAAAAGGGGACACCCAGAAAAGAGAAGAAAAACAGGATGGAAAATAAAAGATGCAGGAGAAAACAAACAGATAAGAAGCCAGAGGTGAAAGAAAGGAAAGATGTGAAGGGATGCGGTGAGATAACGGGAAACAGGGAGGAAAGTGTCCAAGGAGCAGGTTGAGGAGGCCTTACCTGGTAGCCAAAGCGGGGTCCCCGAGGGGTGGGCAGCGGGTGGGCACAGTGCCATGGCTGGCGATGCCCTGCCGTCCTCAGCCCGAGTGCGTGAAACCCGGCTGTGCAGGTGGCTGTCTTCAGGGTGCACGTCACTGCCCGCAACGAAACCACTTCTTCAAAAGCCTGGGCCCCAGACCTGAGCCTGAAGGAAACGGCTGAGTGTGGGCGAGCAGAGGGGCCTCTCTTGGGCTGAGGGATATTTCCAGCGGCGGGTGAGAAGCCAGAACCTGGTGGCAGTGGAGCTGTTGTGTGCCCCTGCCAGGCAGGGGAAGCAGCTGCCCAGCGCGGGGACCATGCCCGGTGGGGCAGCGCGGCTGTGGCGTGGGTCTGTGTTTAGCCCCAGAGGGAACAGGGAACTAGCGCTGCCCGCAGGAGGGTGCAGACAGAGCTACAGCTGCTCTGAGGCCATTTCACAGATGATTTGTCAAAGGGATAAAAATAAAGGCCTCTGGGGTCACCCACAGAGGCAACCGTCTGGGGACATTGCGGCCTTGCCCAGTGTGCAGCACTCCAGCATCTGCCTTCTCCTTGCTTCTTGTTCATGGGGTACAGAGGGTCCAAGTAGCACAACTAGCCCAGATTTACTCACCCCTGGTTTATATCAAGACCAGACACTTCAGAAGGGCAGGCAGAAGTTCCTGTCTGCTTCAGCCATGCATCGCGTCCCCCTGACAGAAAGCGGCTCCATTTCTGTCGGCTAAGCTCATGCATCACCCCCAGCTTCATCCCTGCTATTCCCTCAATTGTTATACATATTTTTTTATTGTTAGAGACTAAGAACCCATTCTGCAACAGAGCTAAACAATCTCTGTCCAAAGAGCTTGCATGTAAGCAAATAAACTCAGTGTCAGTAAGATGTTCTTAGCATTGTGCCAGAGATTATATCTTGAATGGATTTGTTTTTTGGTACTGATACATAGTAAATAATTTATTTGGCATTAGGGGAGATTAAATAAAAATGTAGATGAAGCAGAGCTAGACAGGTATATTGCACATAAAAGCCATAGAAGACATCCCAAAGATAACCATAGGAGAAATGGAGAAACAGCATTGAGGCCAGCATTGTTAGAGGAGGTGAGCACTTGGTCTCTCACAAGACTGCCTCAGGAATACAGACTGAAGCAATAACACTGTACTCAGGTGATGAAGACAAGTTTGAGTTTGATGCAGTGCATAGGAAGGAGCTGAAGTGATTTGCAAACTAGGGAGGGACATATTTGCATGGACTCAAAAACTGGGAAAGGAAGCACAGGATTCCATAGGCCTTAAAGAAATCATTGCAAACTGGAAAATACCATGCTGGGAACAAGCTTTCAGAGGTCTTACTATGTCTTTGGCTTGCAGGTGGCCTTTTCTTTGTACACAGCCACAGCGCAGACGAGGTTGGAAGACAACTTTAGAGATCATCTAGTCCAACCCCTGCCCAAAGCAGGGTCAGCTAGAACAGGCTGCCCCAGGCCACATCCAGCTGAGTTTTAAACATCTCCAAGGAGGAAGTCTTCGCAACTCCAGGCAATCTATTCCAGTGTTCAGCCACCTGCATAGCACAGAAGCACTTCCCTATGTTCAGAGGGAGCCTCCTGTCTTCCAGTTTGTGTCCACTGCCTCTTGTCCTGGCACTGGGCTCCACAGAATTTGGCTCCGTCTTCATTACTCTTCCCCATCAGGTATTTATACATGCTGATAAAATCCCCCCTGAGGCCTCTCTTCTCCAGGCTGTGATTCTGGCCCTTTCAGCCCCATCTCATCTGTCAGATACCCCAAACCTGTAATGGTCCTTCACTGGACCTGCTCCAGGAAGCCCATAACTTTCTTGTATGTTCTTGCACATCCCTTTCAATGGCGCACCTACATAGAGGTTTTGCCCTCAGAAACCAGGGTGCAGACGGTTTGTGCTTCTGTTCTGAAACCACCAGACATCTGCCCCAGTCACTGACTTCTTGTGGGGTCAGGTGGCACAGCAGTGACCTGTCTGAACACCCACATGTGTACCAAAACAGTGGTTGCCTGCCCTTTGTTTTAAAATTTGCAAGTGTGCAAAGTGCTTTGTTTTCTCTTCCACCTGATGCATCACTGGAAACTACGGGGATTTTATTAAAGACATTGTGAGAAAAATCTCACCAAAAAAATTGCCTTTTCATGATTTCAATGGGTATAAAATGACATTAACTTTCTTAATCGGAACTTATTAGAACCTGCATTTAAGTAACAGAACCTGTCACTGGTGATGCAGCTGTTCTGGTATCAGAAGTCTCGATATACATGTCTTGTTTTCACTTTAAAAGCTTCTGCAAAAGATGTCAGTAGCTAAAATAGTTGATATCTACTGAATGTAGACAAAATAAATATATAATATCCAGTATATTTAGTCCTGAAGATACTGGCAGAGGAGGTTCAAAAATGTCATACATGTGCAAATGACCATTAAGTACTCTTTTGAGTCAGCAAGTTTCTGTTTTTCCCCTCATGGGACGGTGGCTTCTGTTACCAAGGATTTTATCCAAGATATGTCACATTATGGCATGGCCTTCACTGCAACAGTTAGATAAAGCCAGCTCTGGTGGGAGTAGCCACATGGTAAAAAAACTCCCTAGCTAAACCATGTGAATGGGTTACCAGCAGCGTGAAACTAGGCTAACATTTTATTGCTTGTACTAATATGAACTCTAGCCCAAGGCTAGACCTCCCCCCATACATTATTAACTTAGGTGTTGGCATACATTATTAACGTAGGTGTTAGCAGGAGCACTTCAGGGTCAGCTCCTGACTTGCTACTTGATTTGAATTCAAAACTTCACTGAGTTGGCACGAATTTGGGTTTGCATGTGAATGGGAATCTGGCTAGCAGCAACATTTGGTTTCTTCCTTCTACTGCTAGCAAAGACAGCTCCCTTGTCAAGGACCCGTAGGAACTGTCACAGCAGGTTGGCCCACTCATTACTCAGTCCAACATCCTGGCTGCCCTATTATTTAGTCTCAAACACTTCAAAGGGAGATTTAAAAAAAATATAATTTTGTGGAATAATCGCAAGAGTGGCAGTTTCCCCTAGAATTCAGACACCAGTTGGTTTATATTCTGAGCTATCAGGCTTCATTGCTCTTCCTTCAAAAAATAAATCAACAAATGCTAAATTCTTGTCTAATATTACTGTGGACTCTGATCATGCTTGTATGTTTGCAAATCTTGCTAACAATTTTTTCCTATTTATATACTATGTTAGACTATAAAGGTTAAAGTTGGATTATGTAAAAACATTTTAAAAAAATATTTCTCTTGATCTGTTTCAAAAACATTAAGGAAAGACAGTTTTTTAAGTAGAGATAATATCTCCTAATATACCAACTGGTACTGCTGAAAAGAAAACAGTGCTTTTCCCAACTACTTGGTGGTTTAACAAGCTTCCTACCTACAAAACTTGTCTTGCCTATGCTGTAAAAAAAAAAAAGAAAAAAAAGAAAGAACTACTATAACACCATCACTCAAAAAGTATTGTTATTCATTTGTATTATTTGATGCTAGCATGCACTTCAGGATCTGTTTCCACATGATTTACTGAACATGTCAATTTTGGGTCAACACAAAGAGAAACTGTCACTCTCAATAGCAGACGCAGCATTCTCAACACTGAATCTAATGTTAGGGGAGAGCTATTTGGCACTTGCAACCTGATTTGGCTGGGGAAAAGATCTCTTGGCAAGGCTTTCCTTCTCAAGGATTCCCTCCCCCCCTTTTTTGTTAATCTCATATTTTGTTCTCTCACAATAGCTCTGTCACTTGGCTATGCCTGTATGCATGCATACAGGAGTATTTCCCCCTTTCTGGGTCAAAAAGCACACCGCTTTATGACTTGACTACAAACTGGGACAAGACCCAGGGGCATCTATCTGTTCATCCTTTTCTTTCTCCCTGGATCTTGTGCAAGGTAAATCTGGGTATGTGCCCAAGAGAGGAGCTGCAGTGTTCCCTGGAGAGGTGCCGGCTTCAATAAACAGGGGACTTCTTTTGCAAAAAAAAAAAAAAAAAAAAATTAACATCATCAGTCACTGGTCTGCAGGAATGCCCAGTAAATCTCTGTGGACTGCACATGGCAGTGGAGCAGGTTCAAAGACACCGAATGGCTGATGGGATACCCTTGGCATTCTGGCTGGCCAGCAGGAACAGGCAATGGAAATAAAATTCTGGAGGGGGACACGAAGTTACAATTAATGAGAAAGTGTCAGGGTCCCACGTGGACACTCAATAGTTGCAGTTCAGCCTTCAGGTCAAGGCCTTACCAGAATTAAGGGACAGAAGAGGTGAGAGCTTGCCAGGGCCAGAAAAAGAGACTTGTGCAATCTTCAGCCTCTTCCTGTTATTGGCACTGCTCTGCTGGCCAAGAAAAGACAAAGGACACTTCCAAGCTGATTTAATGTTTGGTAGGGATTTGATGCTCACTTCCATCGATGGGGGGGGGGGGGGGGGGGGGGGGGGGAAGAAGAACTCAGACACCCATTGCTCCGTACCACATAACTCATTGCTACCTGTGCACCCTCGCTGGCAGAATCAGGTGCCACTGCCCAGTCCACTGCTTCAACTCTTTTTGCATCCAGGGTGAACGTTTCCAGCCTGAACCACAGCATGCAGACAGAAAAATGTGGGTCTTGTATAAAGTAACCTCACTGTGTATGTGCAGTATTAGACATATGCATGGATCAGCAAAAGAGCTGTGGGAAAAGCAGATTCACAAGGTTGAAAACACAGGTTAGAATACACTTCAGTGATGGGAGCGGCTACACAATTGAAGTCTTTGCTTGGAAGTATTTATTTCATGCTCAACCAGTTTACCCAGAAAAGGCATTTCCCTATGTGTATCATGAAATCTCTTGTAAGATAACTTGATACCATTAAATCCACCGTACTAAAGCCCTGGATAAAAGATTCACAGGTCTTGGAAAAGCTCTGGGTGAAAGCTGAAATTCTTCTTCTCCCTTTATTAACATCTTTCTGGTACCCCTTCCAGCCTCCTCACTCGCATCTATAACTTGGCCTCTCAGTCTGATCTTTCTGGAGGGCAGGAGCTTTTTACAGGGGACGTCATTCTTGGAATGAGGTATGATAAAGAAACTGCTGACAATAGGACTTCAGCTGCAGGTGATATTGGGTTCCTCTCGCTCCCCACACCTGGCGCTACCTCAGCACAGCACCTTCTGCTTCCCATTCCCCTCTGCAAAACCCCAAACTTGCAAAAGCCTCAATTGCCTGAAAATTCTGCCCTTCTCTAGTACCTTCCCAGGGCATGGATGAGCAGGATAAAGGGAGTAAACAATGCACTAATGTACTTCCAGCCCTCCCTTTAGCCACGGCAAGAGCTGAGGGACGTGTCACCCACACCTGCAATGCCTCCTCGTGCAACCAAGTCCTTGGCTTCATCCCTCAGAGGCATAATGCTAATGACAGTGGTCTGAGTGATACACAGCTAAGCACTGCTAAGCAAAGCTGCTGGGACTGCCTCTGATTTGTGTACTAAAGCAAACTGCTTTTGGTTATCTAAGAAGGTGCAAGTTGTGACTGAAACATTTCTCATAGTCGAGGCCTTTACGAGGGCTCTCTTCGCTTTGGAACCTGCTGTGGTTTGTATCTGAGCTCCTTCTGAGACATTTTAATGGAGAAACTAACAGGACCTTCCCTCCCTTTTGCCTACGTTTCTAAACGTGTAGGAACATAGTACCTGTGGCACCATTGCCATATACAGTTGAAGGAAGCAAAAGGCTGAAAATTGTTAGGGAACAACAGAGAGATGACGCCCTTTGTATTATTTTCTTGGGATGCCAGGCTAGCATCGGAGGTTAACTCTCGTTACCTTGCTCTGCTCCAGTTTTCTGTCAAATCTTTCTGCAAAGAAACAGCTTTTTTCCTCAGCTGGTTTGTAAGCCTGGAGAAGCCAGTCTGTAAGCAGGAGAAGCCGTCCTCCTGACTGAAAAAATTGATGGCTTTGAGATTTCAGCTTAAGGCACCAGTACTTCTTGAAGACTTTGCATGTGGAAGAAAGCTTCCAGTGTAACATTTCAAAGCTCACTTATTATTTCTATTCTCACACAGACTCTGGAGGCAGATTGACTTTTTACTTCGAGAGAGGACACAACGAAAGGACAACAACGCGCTCTCACCCCCACACCGAACAACTTTATTTCCCAAACTTGACAGCTGCTCCCCCCCAGCGTGCGTACAACACTCGGACAACGGCACTTTGAGGAAAAAAAAAAATATAAAAATAAATAAACGGAGAACTCGGAGCCGCTGAGGGCAACCGGCCGGGCGCTACCCGGCATGCCCCGCTCCGGCGCAGGCGCGGCCGCTGAAGGAAGAGGAAAATGGCATAAACAACCCGCGGCCGCCCAGCAGCCGCCGCCGCCCCCGGCCGCGCTGAGAGGAGCGGAGCCACCGGAGGCTCCCCCCGCCCCCTCACCTTCCTCCTCCCCCCTTTTCCTCCTCCTTCTCCTCCTCCGAGCCGCAGCCCGGGGTGCCGGCGGTTCCCCGCGCCCCTTTTTTTCTCCCCGCCCCTCTCCCCTCTCCTCTCCCTCCCTCCCTCCCTCCTTCCCCATGGTGCCGACCCCGGCGGCGGGGCGGGTGCCATGAACAGCAGCGGCCTGCCCTGCTCCTCGCCCTCGCCGGTGGTGGGGCCGGTGGCGGCGGGGACCGGTGGTGGCGGTGTGAACAGTAGCACCAGCGGGGCCGTGAAGCTCAAGTTCTGCCGCTACTACGCCAAGGACAAGACCTGCTTCTACGGCGAGGAGTGCCAGTTCCTGCATGAGGAGCCCGGCGCCGCTGCCGCCGCTGCTGCTCCTCCCCTCAGCGGGCTCCCCCTCGGCATCCCCCCGGCGGCCAGCGCCGGGCCCGGGTACTCGCCTCACGGGGCCAGCCCGGGCCCGGCGGCGGCGGCGGTGGCGGTGGTGGGGCCTAAGAAAGCCGAGCTGGGGGCGGGAGGCGGCGGAGGAGGAGGAGGAGGAGGTGGAGGAAGCAGCAACGGTGGAGGAGGAGGAGGAGGAGGAGGCGGCGGGGGGCTGGACGGCCCGCGGCTGGCGAGTGAGTGGGGCTGGGGTTGTGTGGGGAGGGAGGTTGTGGGGGGGGAGCCCCGGTCCCGCCTTGGGAAGCGGCTCCCGAGCGTGCTGTGGTGCTACCGGAAACAAATAACAGCCATGGTGGCGGCGGGGCCGCTCCCTGCCCTCCCCCGGGCCTCCCCGCCCGCCTGTCGGCATCCCCGGGGGGGTTTTTTGGGGGTTCCCCCCCCCCCCCCCCCGCCCTTTCCTGGATGAGGTGCCTCCATCTTAGCCCCGTCCGCCAGGGGCAGGCGGAAAGGGAGAGGGGACGGGTGTGGGGAGAAAGGGAAGGAGACCCCCCTGGAAAGGGGATGCTGGAGGGGGGTGCCCTCCTGTCCCCCTCCTGGGGGGCTCCTGGGCAGTGGTTGCCCCGGTGCTGGGTTTGGGGTGTCTTTAGGTAGCCCCCCCCCCCCAGCTGGGGAGCAGCTCTTTGCAGGGTGCAGCTGCTGCCTGGTGTGCTCCTCCAGGCAGCCCCAGTTGGGTCTCAGCTGTTGGAAGTTTTGAGCCTTCAGCCTTGAAATATTGCTACATTGCAGGCGCGTGTCACTTTGTAAATGCTGAAGCTGTAACAATGTAGATGTATGCAAAGTATCTGCTGCTATAAGGAGAAATCGCTTCTGATTTTTTTTTCTGACTTTCTACAGCCTTCATTCCCTCCCCGGTAGGAGTTTGGGGTGCTTGCGTGCCTTGCAGGACAGTTGCTGGTCAGTTTTGTGGTGGCTGAATAGATGCTGATTGTAGCAAGCTGGTTTTAAGAACAGTTCGGTGTGTAGCGCAAGCAGCAGCAGCACTTGGAACAACAAAGTCCAGCAAGCTTATAAAGCTTCTTCAGAAAAGTCATGCTCTAAATGAATACATTAAGCTTGGTTGCATTATTGATTTCTGTCATAAACCTGGTATTTGTTTACATGAAGTGACTCAACTGCTAAATGGTCACAGCCATGCTTTTGCTGAAATTAAGGTGCAACCACGTTGAACATCCTGTGTATAGCTCTCAGCACTCGATATGTTTCAGGAACCTGTAACTGCTTTTTCACCAGGTGTAGTGGGCTCGTGCCATTGAGCGATATTGTCTGTGGAGCTGGTAGCTGGACAGTGCCTTGTATTAGTACAGCACTGTCATGTTTGCTCTTCCAGGACGACCCTAAAACATAGAATTGCTTAACGCTTTCTATTAAAAGATACAATTTTTGATAGTTTTATCAGACTTCAGTTGTTCAAAGTGAAGTCTATGCTGCTTTTTTTTTTTTTTTTTTTTTTACAGGTAGATGGGAAAGATCTAGCAGTGATCATTTGATCTCTGCTTGTTTTCCTTTTGAACAGAATTACCTGTGAGATGTATAGGTGAATAAAGATGTAAAAGTAAATAGTTAAAATCTGCTAATCTAGTGTATCCAGGCTTGTGGAGAGGGTTTATAAGCTGACTTGGGGATAAAAGCTTCTATCTAAGGATTTTTTTTCTTTATTCTTGTACGAAAGAACTCTAAAAGTTGCTCAAGTCCTAAACCTAAGAAAAAAACTTAAGAATTTGTGTGCTCAGTGGTTGATATTGCTGAGCAGTTAAACTATTTGGAAACCATGTGTCTGAGTATGTATCAGCCAGTCAGAGGTTTAAAACTGCATGGGGCTCCCAGCGGTAGCCCCTGTTGTGAGGGCACCAAGATGGGCAAACTCCCTGCAGAGTTATCAGTGATGCCCTGCAGGGATAGACACCCTGCTTGAAGTTACAGGAGGCAAAGGCCTGGACTAGTAGAGGGGCGTCTTATATCAAGGAGTCTAGCTGGGAAAGAAGAGTAAGGAAAGGAAGGAGAGACAAATTAAGCAAAGAGCCTTAGAGTGGGCCCAGTCTTGCTTCTAAGCTTCCTCGCTTCAGTATGCAGTTGTGAAAGAAATAAGGAAGATATTTGTTCAAAATCTGGAGGTGATCAGTATAGCTACTGACAAGTTCATCTCTGTAATTCTCACTTTGCTGATGGCTCATGGTGTTACCAGGACGATTTCCAAGTGGATGGAATGAAAGCTTTATTCTTTGTGGATGTAGGAAGCTATACATCAACCCTTATTGAACAGTAAAGTTCAGAAGTAAAGAATGTGGAATTAGGAAGTGCCAAAAGGTATCCTGCCTGTGCAGTCTCACTGCCAGTCTTCCCTAATGCAGAAGTATCGGGGTGGCCTCCAGTTAGGCACCTGCGTGTGCTGCCTTCTCTCCCTTCTTCCTCACTGGACCCCAGCATCATTCAGTGTGCGGAGCAGATAATGCTCATTGAGTAATTAACTGTGCAGCCCTATTTATTGTTAAAAGTGGGTCAGCGCCTCATTCTAACATGCGTGTTACTCTAATCCTGCTCTGAGTACAGGATTATTAATTTACTTATAGGTTTTTCTATAGTAATCACAAAGACTCCCCAAATACTGACTTCTTTTCAGAACACTGGTGATGGGAACATTGAATGATAAGGAGAAGGACAGTGAAAATGCAAGAAATATTCCAGGGCAGAAATATTCCAGTACAAGAGTATTAAGTGAAACAAGCAGGTGACATGTCCAGAGCTAACCAACAGAGATTTCTTCACGTGACGTGTGGTTAAACTGTTCTGTGACAGAGATGGTTTAGATACTAACATCTGACAGGGGTTCAAAAAGTCATCAGATATTATTGGAATAAACTCCACCTTAGACAATGAAATGTGAAAAAAAATCATTTCTGAGTCAAGCTCATTTTCTACTATGTATAGCTGAGAGCCTCCAGGGAAGCCCTGCCTCATCCTCACCTTGAGCTTATGTTTTTGTCTACACGCCCACTGTGGTCCAGCCTCGGAGGTGATGCAGAAGGCTAAATGTGTCTTTGGCCTGACTGCTGTGGCTTTTTATGTTCTTGGGAATGAGACTGACTATGCTGATGAACTCCATTCACTTTCAGAAGGTAGCACCCCTGTCCCTAAAGCACTTGATGTTTGAAGCATGCATTTTCAAAGCACTGTTCCTGCTCTTTTGGTGCTGAGAGCGCTCGGCCTTCTGGGCGCAAAGTGTCCAGCTGCCCGTCTGCAAAATAAGAAGTGCAGCTGCGAACTGCCTCACCAACATTTGATTTTAGAAAGAAGTCCTTTTCACATAACAAAAAAGGAAGGAGAAAATATCAGAAAAAAGTTTCCTTGAGTTTTGTTAGTGGCCAAAATCTGTGCACAGTGGTCTTCTGCTAGCCACAAGTCCTGAGTGGCAGCCCAGGTACCGGGCAGAGTAGCAGTGGTACCTAGCTTAAGAGGAGTGTAGAAGGAGTGGAAATAGGGAAAATTACCATTCCTTGGCATTTAGGAGGGAGGATATGACCGGCAGGGTTTTAAGGAGCAGCTCAGGAAAGGATAGGTGAGAGGCATGAGAAATTTCTCCTCGTGTGTCTGCCCTCTGTTCCGTTTGGACCTTTACAACTTGTGTAACGAGCAGGTTGGCAGCCTGTGCTACCGCCTGCTGATGGCTCGTTCCCAGAGCACTTGGTGCCATGCGAGGGAGGGTCTGAAGAAAATTGTCACTGTTACTGAAATCTGACACATCTGTATGTAAGCTGGACAAGTTAAAGCTGTACAGACAACTGCAGCTGTTAAATTACTGGAAAGTTAATGAATACAAATGTAATACTCTTCAGCACATGAGCCTCACAAACACTGTATTACACCAATAGAAGCGTTTACTGCTTGCTACAGTGTTTTTTTTTTTTTTTTTTTTTTTTTTCTGTGAAGCACCCGATACGCAGCAGTTACTGTCAGTGCTCGCTCTTTAGCCTGGTGCCTGACTCGGTCTGAGCGCAGCCCCGGAGGAGGGCTGATGGGCTGAGCACTGCGCTCAGCTCTGCCGCAGCGGGCTCCGGTGCTGCTGTCCACCGAGGAGCATGCAGGAGCTGGCCACGGGCACGGTGCTGCTGCTGCCTCTCCTTCCCAGCTTTCCGAGTCTTGTTCTCTTCCCAAAAGCCTTCCTCTAGGAAAACTGTGTTCAAACCAGGCCCCTATTTCCACAGCGTGCCCGCAGTGCTGCTCTGTTTTTCCACAGCTGCTGAGGAAACCTGTCTAGGTAGGCTTTGTCCGTGAGGGGGTGGAAAGGAGGACGACGAAGGCTTGGTTTGCGTTGGGTTAGCCTCATAAAAGCGTGATTGCTGTTTTCACAGCCCACAAGCTGTGTGTTAGAAGGCCAGTCATAGCTGCAGTGGGTATTGACGGCCGCTGTAGCAGCTCTGTGTGCAATCACTTGGCACTTAGCTAAGCAAGAATTAGGGCTTAGGTTTTGGTAAATCCATAAATAGGCTAGGCTTGGGGTGGGAAGACCCATACATTTGTATGCTTTTTTTTTTTTAAGGTGTTTAAGTCTCTTCCAGCCCATTCTTCTTCAAACTAAATGGAATAGCGGATATAGAGAAAATGGGAAGATAAGCCATTCAGCAAAATAGATATTAAAGGTAATCTGTTGGATTACGCTTCTTAACACAATGAAACAATGGTCAGGATTTTTGTATGTATGTAATACTTTTCTAAGTATGGATTTTTTTTATCGTCTCTGGTAGTGTTTGAGTATTTACAGCTCGAAATATATAGAAGCAGGTATCAAACTTTTAATGTAAATACATTTGTGGTGTGCCATACGCTAGTTGCTTTTTCCCTGGGTTTGTTTCTTCTTTGCCTGGATGCAGAAGACAGGTATTGTAGTCAGGAAAGAGGGTTGAGAGTTCCTTCTCCAGACCTGTTTGTGCTTTCTGCAGGTGATGCTGTATTAGTTGTCATATACCTGTGCTCTCTTATTAGAGAGGTGCCTCAAATTTTAATATTCCTGATGCCTTTTCCAGGATTAGATAGAGGATACAATTTTTACGTTTTCCTCAATTTTTTTTAAAGACATAGGAGACAAGTCTGAGAATTGATGAGACATTTGGGACAGCTGGAGACTGTTAAACGGTTGAGAATCAAAGACTTAAAAACAATAAGTTAGGAGATGCATGGGAGTAAACGAAAATGACTGAATTCACTTAATCGCCTCTTGTTTCATACATCAACAGCAGAAATTGAGAAATGATAGGCATGGATTTTTCTCTCACGTTTGTGATTCATGTGGAAATGGGGAAGAAACGGAAAACTTATTGGAGGGGTTAATGAGAAGAGGAAAAACTTTTACATCTGCAAAGTTATTTGGGATATATAAGGGGGCAGTTCTAGCATGTAAAACTTCCAGGAAAAAATACAACGTGCCATGGTGCTTGAAACTGATTTTCCTGTATTTATATACTTTGGGGGGGGGGTTTCTTTATTGGGTAAGAAAACATTCAAGCCCAAATATTGCACAGAAATCACAGATCCCTTGGGAGTATGGGTACTTATTTGTTTCTGGTAGTACCTACCACGTGTTGGGTATCAAAGTACATGACAATGGCATTATTACTGTTCTGATTGTTTTCCTCTTTCAAAGACAAAGATAAAACTGTGTGTTTGGGGTGGGGGGATAGTTATAGATATCTTATGAGCAAACTCAAAGGTGATATTTGCTATAATAATTTGAAGTTTTGATGATGTTTTTTTAAGATACTGAGCATCCCCATTTAGTTTCTGTCTAGCAGTTATTAGATAACTGATTTTTTGTAGGTATCACTGTAGGAGTGGGCCTGCAGGAAGGATTTGAATGCACAGAAAATAGTGACCTTGGGGACCAGCTCAGAAAGAGTTCCCTGTGTAAGGAACCACCTAGAAGCAAATTTAGACTGCTGCGGGAAAAATGGACGAATGGTAAGTGAGGGTGGGGTGAGAAACGCAGGGAGGAGCAGTTCTGTAGGACCTTGGAAGCTGAAAAAACTCTTGGTCTCAAGGCAGCTGATGGAAAGGGGGTCAGTGGAGGGATTTAGATAGTAAGCTGATGTGGCTGATGTTTTCCTTATCTGTTGTTTTCTGGTAATGATGTAATACGTTACACTGCCTTTAAACATGGTACAGTGAATCGCTGTGTGTTGAAGATGAGTCGGTGCCGATCACACTCCGTGCATGTCCGTGTTCCATCAGTCTCTTGGGAGTTAAGTTCTGGTGGTGTGATTGTTTTGTCTGGTCTTCAAAGACATTTTGTGTTTAGATCTTATTTGTATTATTTTATTTGCTTCCTTATGGCCTTTTATTTTTATTTATTTATTTTTTTCCCCCTCTGAGAATTGAGATTCAGAAACAAAATACTTGAATTCTAAAGTGGTGGTAGAAACACGAGTTGTTGTAGATGTTGTAGTGAGGTGGGATAAGAGATAAGAAATCCCCTTAGCCCATGGGTAGACTCCCTCTGTGTCAATTGTTCTAATGCTTGTGAAACTGGGAAGATCTTCCCTTTCTTCTGTTTTCTCCCTCCCACTCCCGTAAGAAATAACCTGGATAGGTCATTGGGACATCTTCATCCTTTTCATACAACTATTTTCATATAAGAAGTTGAGTTTTATGTACAGGGAGGAGGCTGTTAAGAAACAAATGTGTGTTTTGAAAAAAATGAATGTGGTATATTGAAAAATTTGATGCAATACATCAGGAATTGTGAAGTGTTTTGGAGAAGGATTATTCTGAAAGCTTTGCTATTAAGTGATTTCCATAGCTGGAATTGCTGTCTCTGATAAGGAGTACTTCTGATGGCTCTTCTGAAAAAGTATCATTTTTAATTCGTTTTATCACTGTGCTTTTGGACTCGGTCCATGAAGAGGAGTCCTGCTGCTCTGGATGCCATACAAAGATTTTTACAGAGCAAAAGGATGGCAGCTGTACTTTTTGGGGGGGTTTATCGGATGCTTGTATAATATGCGAGATAAAATTTAAAAAAAAAAAAAAAAGCAGCCCAGTCACTTAATATTATGGTAAGGATTGCTGTTTTCCTTTGCTTGCCCATGAATATCTCATCACTTAGTGGGAGTGTTTGTAAATAAGGCAGCGTTTCCCAAACTGTTTTGCTTCCTGTCTGCCTTTCAGCCAACTTGGTTCGTTTGTGCTGTCTGCCCTCCAACTGCACTTCCATTCTCAGCATCCTAGCGCAGCGGTGTGCTCCTGCTCCTCATGCCTGGGGGATTAGCTCAGGTTCTCTGTCAGCTGCCCCTGTTTCAGTGATTCCTAGGCTGGTTTTGGGAAATGCTGCATTAAATGAGAGAGGTAAAATAAGACCAGAGATTTTACTTTCCCTAGCAAACAGTAAAAATAGTAGTGATGCAGTAGGGAAAGCAACACCAAAATGCACCTGGTAGTATGTATAGTGCTCATGAAGTACACAGCAGGGCTAACACCTCAAGCACCTGTTTCCTGACAAAAAACCTATCAGTACAAAGCAAAATAGGACAAGCATAAGTTCCTCTGACACCGCAGTGCTTCTAGAGCACTAAAACCACTTTTCTAAGTCTTAAGTGACTTGCCATACGTAGGCTTTGTATAAAAGTTTTATTGTTTTAGTCTCAGTGTTACAGTGGCTATCTCAGTGTAAAATTCCACTGGAGATATAAAGCAGTAAAAACTCCAGTGCCATATCTAGTTGAGATAACACCTTGTTCTTTGTGTGCATGTGTACAGCGAACATATGATTAAGTTTACCAAGCTGTGTTGAGGTGAAAAGTGCCTGTATTTGTGGCTACTCTGGGAGCTGAAATCAAGATTACCTCTATAAATATAAGCTTTTTTCCCCAGCATAAAATAATTATAGTACAGCTTGGTAGGCAGTGATAGTAGCAAAATGGATTATTTCAATCTGTTTGATTATATTGCCAGAAATCTTTAAATAGTTGTTTTGAAGACTGTCAACAAAAATCTATTGTCATCTTACTTCAGCCCACTCATTTTTGGGCCAGTAACCATTCTGTTACTGTAAAAGATCCTTTTTTAATATTAAGAATGATTTCCTAGATGATCAGTGCTAATGCCAAGTTCATAAAGAAGCCATTTAAGAGAGTGCAGGATTGGTTTACTGTCCAGAGTGAAAATATTAGAAATGCCACCTTTTCAGATACTGTTAGTATTTAGTGCTAGTATGACAAGATGAGCATTAAACCGAAACCAACCGAAAACCCACTGAAACATCTGTTGAAACATTTGTGTCGAGTTCATCACAGCAGTACTCAAGTACCTAAGCTGCGGTGAGATCCTTTGTACCTGAAAAAATTCTTTGAAAAAAAGTAAGGCAAAAATAACCATCTGTTTCTTTTCCCCTCCTCTTTGGTGCCTGCATCTGAAGGGAAGCCTACTTTCTGCTAAATTTCTGTGGGTGATGAATTATATAAGACGATATTTATTTTTAATTGCAGTTGTCACATTAAGCTGCAGTGTTACTCATCAAGCAAAAAATTATTAGATAATGTGGATGTAAAATGTAGAAAGCACCTTCTGAATTTCTCAAGATGTTTAAATTTCTTTCCAGAATTGCAGGGATGTAACTTCTGGCTTTAATATCGATGTTGTTTAGAAGTTTCTTCTTGTTCTGATGTATGTGCTTACCTAATGTGTCAGCATGTATTTTACCACTGGATTCTCAGTTTGCATAATCATTTGCATAATGTGATGCCTCCTGAAAAAGGAGACAACGCTTTCTGTTCCTTCATACATCCATTTTTTTTCTCACATCTGCCTAGTCAAGCCTTCTATTTTTATAAGAAAGCTGTTACTTCTCTCCTGGGAGGAGTCCATTGAAAACTTATCGGACTTTGACAGGTGGATAGTACTGTTACAAAACAAAGGCATGTTCCTTTGGCAAGAACTGCCAATTCCAGATTTTCTTTAAATTATTGTCTGAACTTACTTACCCGCAGTTATAGCGGATTTTTAAAGACGAAAAAAAATACAAACCTCAGTGTTGCATTTGTCATTCTAACAGCATTATGTGAAACATGTTTGGAAAGGTGTTCTTATGGTAAGAGAAATGTGGACAGAAATCAAATGCGGGTTCTAATGTAAATGAATCGAATGAATAAACGCATGAGAACAAAAACTTCTCAAGGACTAAAATCTTCTTTCCTGGTTTGGACTTTTTCTCTGTTTTGTTCTTAATACCACACCATGTGTGTGGTGAAGTTTATGCTTCCTTGAAGATCTCCTGTAGGTTACTAATGATAAATCGCTTTTTGCCTATGCTCTCAACTGCCTTGGTCTTCCAGAAGCAAGTGAGAATTTATGATTTGCCAAATCATAAGATAAGTGCTTTCTATTTCTCCCAGAGAAGGCCAGGTGCCAAGTACAGTACAGCTGCCTGTGCTGTTCAGGTATTTGCTGAACTTTCGTTGCTGTAACTGCTGAACGGCCCTCCTTTGAGCAGAGATGGAGTACATGGCCTTGTTTGTTCTTACAGGCAATGCAGGGATTGCTTATTCCTTTCTACCTATATAAGTTTTGTCTTTTCTGCTAGCCTTAATATTCTTTCTTCTTGCTATAGGGAAATTAAATTTAAGGAAGCTAGAGCTGAGTTTTCCTTTGAAGGCAATCGTTACACACATCGCTTCTGGAGAACTCTATTCTAACTACAAGTTATTGCTAAGAAAACTGCCCTCTGCTCTTGTGAGCTTTACTTTTTGATTTTATTTTTTCCAGTGGAATGTATTCTTGAAGTCTTGGTCCTTTAGCTAGAGGTATTCCAGACTCTTGGGAAGTTTATTCACATCATTAGGTTAGTGCAGCAGGTGGAGCATCAGCAGAGTTCAGCGGTACAAAGGTGGATCAGCGCTCAAGCACAGCAATTTGTGGTAACCCTGCAAGGAGGCCATCAGCACAGCCAAACCACTGGACTTGAGAGTCTTCACACAGCTGGATAACAGAAAATGCTGTGGAGTAGCTTTTCCTGTCTGAAGAGCCCAGTTATAAATCAGTGTGTCAACAAGAAACCTAAAGCATAGTTCAGAGCAGCTTTGAGTGGCGTGAATTAGCTCATGCGGCAAATGCTGCTGCTTTCCCACTGCTGGCACTTGAGCAGTGTTGAGGAATGCTGTTGTGCTGCATGGCAGCATCCTCTGCAGTGCTCAGCCCTGGGAGTGCTGTGGGAAGCCTGCTGGTCCTCTCAGCCTGAGCTGCGTGGCACTGCGGGTACCTCCTCTTGACAAGAAGAGCATCTGGTCCTGCTGGCCTGTTTTTGCCCTAGTGAGGCTACCTGCGCTGGCTCCAGTGATTTATTTGGATGCAATAGGGTAACTGCAGCTGTACCAGCTGTCTTGGCTTACTGGAGCTGACCTGGGAGGTTTATTTCATGCAACTGAAGCTCTCACTTTGTTGCACGTGGTGAGATAACCACTTGAAAGTTTTCTTTCCTTTTTCCAGTTTTGATGATTTTGCATATTAGCTGTATTTGTCCAAGGGAAATCAAGCTAAATGGATTCTTGCATTGACTCCGGTGTAGTGAGGAGCAGTGGGAGAAGTTGAAACAATTGGCTGTCTGTTAATTGTTCATCAGACTGAAGGATTTGAGAACTGGTCGTGTAATCTAAGGGAGTCACTATAGTTTGTGTAAAGATTGGATGTAATCTGAGGTTTGACAGAATGATGAAATGGCAGATATACCGCTGTACTGATACAGTGTACCTTGAAATGATTTTTTTTCCTGAAAATTAAAGCTTTTCATAGTCTTTTACAGTCAAGAATGTAGTATCAAAACTGCAGCAGCTCCTGATAATGGCTGAAATGCAGTCAGGGAAAGCTAGATAGGAAACGCATTAAAAAAAAAAGTATTAAAAAAATGCAGTGTGGACTCTAAATTTCTGGGCAGACGAGGCTGCAGCTACTCATTACACATGGATCTGCTATTTTTCAGTTTTCTCCTGAGAGAAATCTTAGCACTTTTTCATGATGCTAGAAAATGATTGTGTTGAAATGCCAACCTTCACATGATGAGTTAGGGCCTGAAAGTAGCAGATAGAAGACAGTAACTGGTGTTACTACAGGCATTATTAATTTTCCTGATACAACAGTTCAATCACAGACTACTATTTTTTTTTTCTAGTCTTCAGCTTCATTTCGGGAATTTAAGTTCAACAAGTGATGCCTTAACCTGAAGAACAGCTTTGTCTTTTTTAGGGCTAAAGTGAGAGGACTTCTGGAATTTCTATATGGCTGTTTCTTTGAAATTCTGGAGGAGTATCCAGTGCATGGATGGTGGAGACAGTTTTATTGTCTGATTTTCTCAGCTGTTTTAAAACTTTTTTGAAAATCTTCATGTTGTACTTCATTAGTAATTAAGCATCTTTAAAGTTCCTTAGGTGTCTCTCTCAAACCTGCAGAGTACACAAACAACGTTCTGGATTTGGCAGTGCTACTTCAAGGATTTTTTCAACTGCAAAGCCGATCTGCCTGCAGTACGGATGCTGCTAGTGATCCTGGCTTCCAGTCCTTCCTATGACTGCATGTGGCTGTAGTTCTTTTGCTGTCTTCTGCACATACAGCATAGAAACAGCTTCCCAGGTTGCATAGTCTCGGTTTTTGGAGTGGAAGTTCCCATTCTGGTGAGACCTTCGGGGTTACAATTTGCATGCCATTAGCTCTGCTACAGAGTTCCACTTTATTTCCCTTGAGGATTTGGGACAGGAAGCTGTTTCAGTGTGTCACCAGCTGGCTGGAAGTCCATGCAGAAGTTCAAGTTGGATAGTTTGGTACAGGATGTTCTTCTGAGTTGGATGTGTGCCTTCCTACCTTAGAGCTACCAATTACTCATGTCTGTTGGCTTGCAGTGGCCTGGCCATACCGATTAGTGTCTTTATAATTTGCTGTGGGTGTTTTTGCGGAAGCTTAATTTGAATTGCAACGTGTGTACAGCTGTAAAGTCTTTTTTGTTATCTAAGTAATACCTGCTTGAATGTTTCGTGTTAATTATGACTGCTGCTGGTTGTTCTCTGTAGTCTCATAGAAGTGAATTCATTTATTTGTGCTTGTATGTTGAGGCCATTACTCCCAGGCACGCAATTTCGTGGGATTAATTTCTTCAGTTACATCCTTCACACTTGCTTTCATTCCAAAGGAGGTTTTGGCCACTCTTCATAAAACTGTTGCCACTTCAGTGTAGTACAAGATAATGAAAATAGCAGTAGGCTCTTAAGGAAGCTTTTAAAGTATTTCTGCATTGTATGGGAGGACTTGAGATATTTTTAAATGTATGTTTTGTGCGTTACCCTTTAAAAGAACAAGTATATCCCCTTAGAAACTTTACTTGACACATATTTTTCTAAGATATAGGCTTTCTTTGTTTGCCTTTTATTTTTTTTAGTTGGTTGGTTATTTGTTTTGATATCCATTACCTGTCTTGTTACCCTTTGTAAAGTTCAAACTCATCATCATTTCCCTCAAAACCTTTCACTTTTCTGCCACTTTCTGCATTTGTGTTGTAAATCCATGCTCCATATGCTGTCATTTAGCAACCTCGTTCTTGATATTTATGCATGTATGGTTTTAGCTGCTTTGATGAGAAGTTAGACTTGAAGAGTAGGACTACCAAACTTCTATTTCACACTGTCCCCACCCCCCAGCCAAAAAATGATAGAAGATCTCAGCAAATGAATCCATGGTGAACTACATTTGTCTGAAATGTTTTTCTTTTTTTTTCCTTTTAGTTCCCGGAATAGATGGCGGTGGGTTAGCTGATGCTAGTCTCACAGATTCCTACTTTAGCACCAGCTTCATTGGCGTTAATGGATTTGGAAGTCCTGCTGAAACCAAGTATCCCATGATGCAGGTAATGGCAGTGAATTGTGTGGTGTTCCATTAATTTTTGGCTGGCGTTACACCAAGAAGGGAAAACTGTCCAAGGGTCAGGGAAAATGCAGCTCTCTGGTATGTGGCATCTTGCAGGGTATCCTGAGCCTACATGCTTTAATCTTGCTAATGGAAATGAAACAATATCATTGCTTTACAATTAGCCTGGTTTTGTTGGCACTTATTTCAGCTGCTGGATTAGGCATTGCTGCGTCCATTAACGTTGTGCTTCTAGATATCTTTTTATGTTCATATCTAGTTTTGATAGCCTTTTACTAAGTATATAAGTATTAGATTTTGAAATGAAGACCAAAAGTCACTAAAGCAAAAAGTGAACTGTTGAACCAGTAAATTAGCAGGGGGAAAAAAAAAAATCAGAATTTATAAGCTCAGTCTCTGGTAGCGTTCAGTGATATAGGTTACATATTTAAGTCCTATTTTTTTCTATTTATACTGCTCTGTGGATGTAGGCATCAGTTTCCATGAGGTGGAATTATGGTGTAGGTAGTAGTATGCAAAGATTTACAGCAAAAGGCTGTTATTTAAAACCTAAATGAGTTTCTGTTGAAGCAGCACACGCGATACTATAATAATTCCCTCAAAGTTACGCTGCTTAAAAGCAGAGATGGTCTCTCCCTGTACTCAAAGTTTTAACAAACCAGTGTCTGGTAAATGAAAGAGAGTGCAAGTCAAATAGCTCCCACTGAGTCCTGACAACAGCTGTCTTTTATATCAAGGAAACTCTCCTTATGAGCTTACTTTGATCTCAATTGTGGCTGTATTATGGATTGAAAAATAACTCAGCAAAAGGTGGGAAATAATTAAGGGTGTTCTGTTTTTGTTTCTTAATGCATGTTTTCAATAAGGCTGGATTTTTTTTTTCTCATTCAGCAGAATCGTAAAACTATGGAGATGTTTACTACTGATAGTGATGCATGTTTTAAAAAGAACTTTTTAACCTCTGATCCCACAGAGGGTACTGTTGAAGCTGGAAGTTAGGTTATGTTATTGTTTGTACAGTTACAGATTTTGGTATCACAGAGATCATATTGTATCCTTTTAGTGCAAAGTTGTTACATTTTGTATCTTTAAAGCCTGTTCTGCAGCAGCACTGGTGTCTTTCTAAACACAACATTTTAATTATAACTTTTTTTTTTTGTAGTAATGTTATAAGGAATGCATCTAGCATGAATGTTCAAGGGATTTAAAAATACTGATGCCTGTGAGATCACAGTCAAAGCACTGTTTCTTTTTGAGAAAACAGAAGAAATTGATGTGCTGCTTACCCACTGGAGGCTAAAGAAAAGAACTTCTGATGATGGGTTTCATTATTTTTGGAAAGTGCTTAGGGGCATTGAACTGCAGTTTAAAAACCGTTCTTATTTTTTTTCTGTTTCTTTTTATTTATTTGAATCATGTAATTCAGGTTCTTATTTACATAGGTAAAGCTGGTAACATTGTCTGTTTTGAGTGTCAGTCAGTTGCTTAATTCACACCCTAGCGATACATTTTATCCACTTGTAGCATGGCTTTCCATGTCACCTAGCTCTTTGGAGAACAAGGTGAGGGAAGAATCTTGATGACTTTTGTTTAAATAATAGCAAAGCTTTCTAGTTTGGAACAAAAGCTTAAGGTGTGATAGATGGGTGGTTGTGTCACGGATGTACATTCTGCTGTCTTCTGACAAATTTTCCAAGATTTGGTCACTTAACTTTGCAGAACTGGTTTATATAGACCCACTGGAGACTTACTTGGTGCTAGATGATTTCCCAAAGATGTAACCTGCACTGGCATGTTCCAGCTTGAGCACATTCCTGCTGCTACAGTGTTGCCTTAATCTAGGCCTGGCCTGAACACTGAGCAGGAATGCTGATCTGATTTCTTTTTTTTCCCTTACACTTAAGACTGAAGCAGCATGGAAGTGGATCTGTATTTAGTGGAGGGGAAAGAAACATCTGCATCTCTATTAATTATAGCAGAGGGATGTGTAAGGGCACAAAGACTTATGCTGTGTGCTTAGAGAAACTGAGCTGAAGATGAATGAATGAAGAGCTGGGCAGACAACTGGAAAGGAAAGAGCAGGAGGACTGGAGACACTTACAGAATGGAGACTAGAATTGCATGAGCTAAATGTATGCTATTTGGGACAAAGAAACAAGCTGGCATAATGCAAACTTGGGCCAAAGCAGAGTGAACAGAACACATACCTTTCCAGGTGCTTGAGTCTTAAGATACTGCAAGTTTAGTTTTCGGCTATTAATGAAACATCAGAAATCTGCTGCAAAATGTCTAATGAGCCTCTGCTTTGCTTGTGCAGATGAAAACATCTATTCCATCTATGAGTTACTTAGTCATCTCTGCTAGATCTGTGCAGTTCACAAATAGATGCATCAGCAGTGTAATATGAGGAAACTTTTTTCAGCTTTTTTTTTTTTTTAAGACTGGGGAAGTTGTGTAGACAGCAAAATAAACACACAGCTAGAAGAAATGCTAGTTAAGATACAGTTAGATTTTAAGAAATGTTAAGTTTAGGCTGCTGATGCAGCCTTGGGGAGGTTACATTAAGGTGTATTCTCCATAACATTGTGTCTTTTCAGTAGAAGAATTATAATTAGGACTTACTCGGGACACAGACTGCATGGTGCATACGTAATGAGCATCCATTTGATAGTTGATTAAGTGTTTATTTCATTGTCCCCTGCATGCTGCTCAAATCCTTCTTTTAAAGACAGCTGGCAGTGTGCATGTTGCTGTTATGGTATCTGATATTTACATTTCCTTTCAAAAGTGAAGGAATGCGTTCCTTATTAAAGAAGAAAGCTGCCTACATTTTATAGAGGAATGGGAACAAAAAGGTTACAATAAAAACAAACAAAAACCGGTGCTGCTATCCAAACCAGACTGCAGAGTTTCTGAATTTAACCTATACAGCTTGAAAATAAGGAATGGAAATAGTGACCCCATGTAGAAAGCTTAGTTCAAGTGACGTAGCTGCCTTAGTCTGGTGAGGATAGAAATAGCCTATTGTGAATAATGTTCATTTTCTTTCACTATGCAGTATTGTACAGTCCAAGCCTTGTTCACTAGATGCCTTCCAACATTATCAGCAGGGATTCAGTACACGAGTCTTCCTGACTAGTCCTAATTAAACTTCAGAATGCATTTGTCATGTGTAGGAAACAAGCCAGGTTTGTTGAAAAAGACTGGCTGTGTGTATTTGGGTTATCATAGCACATATGTAATGGAGGCAAATTGCCTCAAGCAAGGTTACTATCCAAATTTTTGCAGTCACCATGCTCTTGTGTGCAATACATTGTCTGCGTTAGTTGTAAGTATGCAGCATAAGGAAGGAAAATAAAAGCAAATTGTATCTTGATGAATTAAGGAGGAAATATGCATCTTTGAACATACGTAATGTGAGGTAGGTAGTGATCAGCATTTCTGCAGAATTATCTTTCTGACTGAGATCTCATTTGTATGTGCTGAAGAGTATTTTAAGAGGTCTAGAACTTCTTGTTGGGTTTAGACTAGTGGTGAAGGTGCAGCTAGTTGTAATGTTCAATTTGCATTGGAAAAAAGATGGGAGTGAAAATCCTCAGTACTGTTCAGAAGAGGCAGGGTTTTCAAACTGGCTGTTCTAATTCTTCTTTTTAGTTTCTTTCTAAAAATAGTAACTCTTTGCCTCATCCTACCACTCCTCCTACCTCAAAATTCTTCGCTGTTAGCCAGCCTTTTGTTGCCTCCCGTTGGTCTCTTCTGTTGTTACTGGCTAGCTTCCTATTGATTAATCGTCTCCTGTTGTCATCAGTTCGCATTTCCCTGTAATATGGTTTTGTTTTATACGTCTTTTCTTCCATGAATCTGCACGTTCCTTCATATGCTACATTTGCAGCGTTGGCTTCCAGCTTATCAAAGCGTCTGTTTTCCCTTTTCTCCATAACTAATAACAGAGCAGGCCTGCACAACACACGGCTCCCAGGCTGCATGCTGTCCCTGAAGCTGTTCTTTTTCTTTTTTTTTTTTTTTTGGCTTAGCAGCAGCCAAGAGACAGGCTGAGGTGTGGTTCAAGGAGCAGCTCGTTTCACTTGGCTTTCCCAGCAGTGAGGAGGCAGGAGCTGGCTGGCCGGGATGCCTCTAATGCTTGGCTGTTTGCTCAGGCGCTCTGCGTGTACCACTCGGCGAGCTGGTATGCGTGTTCCTCTGGACCAGTCACGTTAGCACTGCCTCTTTACTAGCTCGTGGGCTGATCAAAGCTACAGGCGGTGTGGGAAGGAGTTTCAGTAGTATTACGCTGGGATCATAAGAGGGCATGTGAATAATCTGGGAGAATGCAGAGCAGGATGAGGCAGAGGAGCACCTTGATGTCAAAACTGCTAATATAACAGGGTTGAGCAACCTGCTTGTAAGAGCATAAAACAGGAGAAAGTACCTTTGTGTATATTGCTTTACAGATATATTTCTATGTATTTAGACACGATGAGTTTTGTAACTACACACCTTCCATTGGTCTGTGGGTTATGTAGAAAGTAAAACCACTTTTTTTTTTTTTAAATTGCTGTAAACAAAATAAAAATAGAGAGAAGTCATCAGCATTAAAGTTGGCAAGGCCAAGCAACGGAGAAGAATGACTCTTGCTTTTGCCATGCTAGTATTGGCATACTAAGAGTTCTTGAAAAGCCTGAGAAGTAGAGATCCTCCTCGCTTCAAAGCCTTGCAGCTGAGTAAACACAAAGGCCTTTGTTCCCATTGTTGCATCTGCCAGGAGCTGAGTAATAAAACTCTCCTTAACATGAGCATGCAGGCTTGTAAATGTCTTCAATTTTTAACTGTTGAGAGCCTGGTGGAGCTATAGACATGCTATTTTATATATGAAATTATGCAACTGTTTACATAATGCTTTTTGAAGAAATCCAGTTGTTTTAATTCAAACACTTGAGTGGGACGTGCTGTGAGTCAAATATGCTAGCCACCCAAGATGAGTTTTGGATCGTTTAGAAACAAAAGCGAAAGGTGTCACCATTAGTAGGTCACAGAATGTGACAGCTGAACAATGGCTTGTTTGCTTGTGGCAATCTTATTCTTTTGCAGTACGACTTCTTTTATTGTTCAATTAACATTGTTCCAAAAATTAGAGAAATAACTGAAATATAATTCTGGTAGAAGAGTATTAAGGTAAAGAGATGAACTTGTGACATGCTACAAAGTATTTTGAGATAATATACTTAGCACAGGAATGAATTCGAGGGAAGATTATTAAAATAGCAACATGATATGGAAATTGTTACAGTTGGTCTACTGTCAGTGTTGTCCTAGTCTGTGTCAAAATAATACTTTTTTATAAGACAGTAACTTGAGACAGTTCTGAATAGGAAAATTTTGGAACCAACAGGCTATCTTACGTCTAGGAGAGGAGATGATGATTGACTTTGACAAAAGTTTTGTTTTTGACACTGTACCTTTTCATGCAGCATTTTCCTGAGAGGAGATTTGTTATTTTGATTATTCCTCAAACACTGGGATTAAACATGTCCGAATGAGTTTATTCCTGCTCTGGTATTGCTTGAATATTCAGGAATTAACAAAGTATTCTGAAACTTTTTTTTATCACTTTTTCGTGAAATCAAAGAGGTTGTATTTTGTTACTGATCAGAGCTTCAGCAGTGGAGAAAGCTCTAAGCTTAGGTTAAATCCTTGGACTGAATGAATGTGATGGTTTGATTTTGTAGTAGCTTTCTTTTGAGATGTGAACAGAAACAACTTTTTAGTTGCCTTAAAGGGAGAGGGACAGGATGCGTGCCAGGCAGCCTAGTTGAATTTTAACTACTGCTTAAAGAACCTCAATAAATCATAGCAATAGGCAGGCAAAGAATTTATATGGACCTGAGTGACATTGGTGTGGCATTTGGTTGTGCCAAAGTTCTTTCAGTATTAGCTTCCATATGGTGAAAGTCATGATGCATTAAAGCAAGTTAAAAACTTGGTGTTTGCTTGCCTTGCCTTGCAGGCTTATTAAGAATGAATAGTTCATTTTCGTCTGTTAATGGCTTCTCTTACCTTTCTGGAGCTTTCATCTTTTGGGCTAGAAGTTCTTGTGCTTAGATTCTTCTTGAAATTGAATTTGTAAAAAAAAAAAAAAAAAAAAAAAATAAAAAAAAAATAGCTCAATGCTACTAAGAGATTGAGAAATAATATTTAAAAAACAAAACCTGTTATCAAGAAAACAGAAATAAAAAATATACCAAGTGCTATTTGCTATATTTTTTGTTGAAGACATTTTCCTGTTGACTTAGTAAAAATGAGGTAGAGAAATAGCCCTACTGAAGACTAAATGCTTTAGAGCATGGTGGAAGTCTTAAATATTAAAACACCTTAAAAATCCTTTGCTCACTACATGCAGGACTTTCATGACTAATGGTAAGGTAAGAAGCTTGTGCATGCGTAATAAATGTTGAACAAGATGAAAAATTCATGAAAGCGAGTGGTTAAGTGGCATTTTTCAACTTCATGCAAGCTACAGCTTTCAAGCAGTTGTTAGAGCAGGAGCTGCCCAGGATCAGTAAGTTTTATTTTTCCAGAATCGTGGCTCGTGTGAAATATGTTTACACCTCAAACAAGCCTTGTCTGCAACAGCACATTTTGATGTCCGTAGACTTAGGAAGTTCTTTGCACTGTGTTGTTAGAATACTGAACAGTGTGTTCCGCTGCAATCTGTCTCCAGCGTGCACACTATATATCTTTTTATTGATTGTATCAGCACAGATTTTCATTATTGCAGTCACATTTTCACATTTCAGGTCTGATTGAATGTTTAACTGCACTACTTGAATAGGAAAAATACTGTTGACAGAAGAGTGCTTGGTTCCCAGTTTTAGCCCTAATCTTAACCGTCTTTGATACCAGCCCAGATGTCAGTTGCATCTATCCCTGTTCTGACAGACCTTCTACGTTTTGCATTAAAATTGTTACAAATACCTGCATGTCAGAAATAGACATTAACACTATCAATTTTTGTGCAAATCTGGAAGATTTCCTTCATGTTCCTAAACCACTTCCTCTTAGAAGGATCAGTGTGGATGTAGCAAATACTAGGAAAAGAGGCACAGTAGGGACTCTGTTTTGTGAAAGTTTTAACACCTTTCTTGTTGCTTGACCAGGAAAAGAATATATTGTATGAACAGCTGAGCTACTATAATCCAGAAATTACTTACTATGTATTCAGTAGAAAATTTCTTGCACAATAGTTTTTATATACTGGTATTTTACAGTTAGATTTCTACTTGTATTTTGGAGTGGAGAGAATAGAAGCAGTAAGTTTACTATCAGAAGGACATACTGAATCAGGTCTGTGACCCCAGTGAGTTAGGAAACTTTGATTCAATCTCAGGACATGCTGTCTAGTACTGATCAGCCAGAGACTCGCTGTGACCACTTGGGTGCAGACTGGCTGATAATTACTTTAAGAACACCGTGCTTTTTGTACACGACATCTATACTGCAAAAAATAACAAAATGCCACAACTAACTTGTTATCTGAATACCAGAAACTGGTTGTTCTCACCAAAAAATACCAGCTACCAGACAGCGTGTAACTCTCTAGCTCTCTGTGTATAATTTTTGCAGTTATCGTAATTGGGCATGAAAAAGTCTGATCTGTCTTTCAGCCTCTGGTAAACTTATCAATATTATAGAAAGTTTGCACCAGATGAGGCAGAAGTTAAACTCATCTTTTGTCTCTAAATACTGATTTGTTTGCTAAATACCTTGCTGAAAACAGCTTGCAATGAAAAGTTTTAAATTTGCTAGGCTATTTCTTTGACTTGAGCTGTAAGTTTGTTCTTGTGGAGACAGTGGGATGAGCCTCTCTGAACTTGAGCAAAATTGTTAATATAGTGGGGTTTCATGAAATGCTACTCGTTTGTAGAAATCACAGAATCACAGAATTTCTAGGTTGGAAGAGACCTCAAGATCATCGAGTCCAACCTCTAACCTAACACTAACAGTCCCCACTAAACCATATCCCTAAGCTCTACATCTAAACGTCTTTTGAAGACTTCCAGGGATGGTGACTCCACCACCTCCCTGGGCAAATCAGTGAAGTGTTTCATTAGGGGCATCTTTTTTGTGGAAAGACTTGCTTGTTGATCACTGATAGTTTAGTGTGAGTTAAGGACAGGAGATAAGTGGCATTAAAATAGTGAAAGCATACAACAAATAGTGTTCCTCAGCTAATTCTTGAAAAAACTGGAGGTTAACACAGTATATACATATGTATATTACGCGTACATCTGCAAGTAGTCTACTACTGCTTCGTATAGTACTACATACTCATGCTGAATGAAGAGTTGTGTCAGAAGATCTTAGAAGGCTTGCTGTAATGAAGGAGCACAGATATTGAAATAAAGAAGTTGCATGTCAGTTGACAATAGGACATTGATTGAGCCTGCTGTTGAGAGGATAACAATAAGGCACCTGATTCGGTACCTACATTTTGCAAAAACTTTCTTGAAGTTACTTTCCTAACAGTGCATGATGATTTTTTTAACAACTTGCTTTCCACGTAAATGTACATCACATGTATCTAGGAAAAACAGTAGATTAAGTGAAAGCTGCAGCTTCTGGTGAAGTCAGTTTGAAAGTTGCAATTTTCAGTTTTATGCAGGATGCTGAGAAACTTTTTATTTTTAAGTAAACCTAACGCACTTCTTGCCACACAGGATGACACTAGCTTGCGTTGGTTCTCCTCTGTTCTTACCAAATTTACTTCAGAATATTGATCCTTCTGGTCAAGAACTAGATGAAATGGCACTGAAGTATTACATAGTAGGCTTCTTGCCATCTGCCACTAGTGCTGAGATTGGCAGTGGAAAAATGAAAGTGTAAAGTGCAACTCCAGTGACCAGTTCTGATTCTTAGTCTGTGTCTTGACTACTGAATTAGGCATGCCTGGAAACCATCCTAGAGACACTTGGGGCCAGCTGGCATGAAGTGGCCTGTTTGTGCTGGTGTACACTCACCCACGACAGCAGCTGCTGCATGCAAACTATCTACTTGAAGGGATCTCAAAGCTTTTTGCTGTTGAATAGTGCCCAGAAATTGGCTGGGAGACTCCTAGTTGATGGGGGCCAAAAGAATGCCTAGGAAGAGGTTTAAAAAAAAACAAAGCTCCAAGTACTATCACTTGGTGATGGAGAGGACACTTCCTAGCGTTGCTGTGCTTTTTTTCTTGTACTTTTCCATCTAGCTGGGAGACTAGAGGAGTAGAGGGACACTGTCTCTTACATGAAAGCACTGGTAGCTCTTCGAGCAGTGCTGCTTTCTGTAGTCCAGCTGATTGCTAGCTGGTATCTGTGGAGGAGTGCAGGAGAAGCAGGTGGGGCGAAGTAGGAATACTAAGAAGCTTTCAAGGGTCCTGCTGGTTTACAAGAATTGCATGATTTTGCTGAAAGGTACTGTTAATGTTTTTTAAAAAACAGACAAAAAACAATGAACTGTCAAATATACTAATTTGAATATTTTTGCTTAGAAAAGCTTCATATGGTGATTATAGTGTATAATACAGGGAAGAGTTATAATGATATAATAAAGGACTGGCTTACCTAATGCTGGTGATGTAAAGGAAGAAAACCAAAGATTTGGCAGAACCTCCCAAGGTAGAAGTAATTCATGAGGATAGTGTTTCATTTTAGTATACGGTTGGTTTTGGCTTTCATTGTTCTCATGTGAAATGCTGTATTTTACTAAACATTTTTGTCAACTATAAACCCTTCCTGAGCTTTCTACATACTGTTCTCAATTCATCCTAATATTTTGTAGTTTTATTTTATATGTACAATTGTTTTTATTTTTGCAGAGAATGACAAATAGCAGCAGCTCCCCTAGCCTTCTCAATGACAGTGCCAAGCAGTACGCAGGCCATGGTAAGCACTTTTAAAGTAATACATACGAAAGTACACTTGGAAATTTAGGAGATTCCCTTTGGCAAAATTGAGACTGAAGGTAGGTTTTCTCCTCTGATCTGATTTAAGATGCAGGAGAACTTCTTGTCCACTATAGGGTATTATATGATTTCAGCTTTGGACTACAAAAAGTAGTGCTACAGAACTCAAAATTTTCAGCCTTCTTTTTGCTGCAGTGGGGAAAAACTAAAACAACAACAGCAACAAGAAAACATACTGCTACTACAAAAAAATGCAATCTATTGGTCTTGTCGTTTCACATGAGATGCTAGTTTGGATATCCTCCATAAAGCACTGATAGCTTAAGTGCTTTTGTTGCTCCATGGTGATGTCCTTTTTTATTGTGTTTTTCAAGGAGGCTGCTGTGTGGAATGAATATACAGGTTTTTAATCTTGAATTCAAGGGTATACAATTCTTGTGAAATATATCACATAACTGACAAATCTTAATAGATCCCAAGTTTTGTCCTTTAAGCAGTACTTCAACTCTTACAATATTTTTCTTATTATTGGGAACATGTTTTTTCAACCAAACAGTGTCTCTATAGTGCAGGCCTGCACATTCACTAGATGACTGTGAAGGGTATATTGAACTTGTATAATGTGCTTTTCAGAATTCCTTTCCAAATTATAACAGGCACTGCAGATTATTTCAGCTGTAGCTGTCAAGCCAGCTTCTTTCAAGAAGAGCACTATTCCCTTATGGCATTTAAAATGTTGCTGTGCTGAAAATTGCTGTATTAATAATGTTCTAGAACTTCATTTGCATGTCTGAAACTATAGCTAGGCTACTTACACTTATATTTTTTGGTAAAGCAAGGTAGTACGTAGTTCTAGAAAATTAATTTGAAAGCCAAGTTTGTTTTTGTTTTTCTTCCTCCTAGTTCATTTCCAGTAGGTTTTGTGCTTTTGTCCCACTGCACAATTAGCTATTCAAGGCAGTGGAGTTCTACAGTTTTAAATGCAGTCAGTTTGACTGTGTGACAAGCCAAATAGTGATGGTGATGCATGCGAAGGAGAGAAACCAGACTGACTTTTGGAAACCACTTTAAATTCTGTTGTGTCTCTGGCCCTGCTAATTTTTTCCCCTCCTAAGCTGTTCCTCACTCGTAGAATTAGCTTATAAAGGAGTACTGATGAATGCTAAAGAGTGTTTCATTAAAACATAACAAATTAATGCTACCTGTAAACAATAAATTTGATAATTATATAAATTCAGCTTGGACTTTCCTGTTTAAGTTGCATCTGTGATTGTTCAATTTTTGGTGCTTCAATTTTGGAGGGGATACACAGGGAGAAAGAAAATCAATAAAAAACTACTAGTAGAGTATGGACTTCTGCTACATTTAGATCAGATTTAAATTTGTGTGTGACATAACATCTGCATCATTATTTGTAATGCTATGTTGTGCTGAAGGTGACTAAGTTCAGGTAAGTGGAGATGAAGGCTTTAAAATCTTAGTGGACTTTAAATAGTGTCAACAGCAATTAAATGTACTGCATTTATGCTAATGAGCACTATTTCATTTATGCTGTTGCATGGAATCTAATAAATGCTGTAGTTTTCAACAGTGTTGCTAAACGTAGTTTTGCCTGAGGGTTTTTTTTTCCATTCAAACAAATTAAAAATTGTAAGCTTTTTTTCGTATATATGTAGGTGTATAACATGTTTTACATTCTTTTTACAGATCCACTAACTTCACCAAATTCATCCTTGTTTAATGACTTTGCTGCCCTCACCGTGTCTCAAAGGAGAAAGGTAGGCAACAGCTAAATTTTAAGTGGTGTAATCGTGCATGAGTTGACAGGGAAGAAGATCTGGAACAACTTGAAATGCTAGGTGAAATAAGGATGATTCTTCTAGTGTTACTAGGTTTATTTTACTAATTTACTGCCAATATAAATGAGATCCCTTTCATTTGTGTTGCACCAGATCAGACTGTTGCTATTAAGAAATATTCCAAGCATTTGTAAATTGAAGATAAGAATGCTTTGAATATGAAAATTCAGACATGGTCCATTGCATTTAAAAACAAATTATTTTTATTGCACTGAGGCTTGCAGGTGGTTAGATTATCTTGTACCTTCATGGTAATAAGTTCTGAATACAAGAAGAATCATTCCTCCCATTTATTTGTCCATGCTGTCAAAATAATTCTTTGTTTGAAATGCCTTCAGTTTGAAAGATACTCTAATAATATTATGGGGAAGATAAGGTGTGGTATTTTTCCCCTCTAATCTTTATTGACAAGTCTTCTGCTGAAAGCTAAAGAGCATCTTTGAATACCTTTGACCTGTGCCAACTCAGGCTGTGCTGTTTCCTAATTACCCATTTAAAAGCACAGTGGCTGGAATAAGAGACAAAAGTTTGGTTTACCCCAGAATTACTTCTTTTTCCAAACTGTCTCTTATCAAAAAAGACATTATCTTGTCCCAGCCAGTTATCAGATTTTGCTTTCAGTGATTACTTTCATGTTTTGCTTCTTATTTGCCACATGATTCTGAACTTTCCTGTAGTCAATAATACCTTTTTTTTTTTTTTTGAAAGCATGCTGTATCAGTATGCTTGTGACTTTTCATAGAGCTTTATTTGCGTGTTGGCAATTAAGCTCTGTATCATTCCTGCAGGTGAAGATTGAGCATGAAGATAATTACCATAGTTGGTCCATCAGACTATTTTTCTTGAACTAAAATGAAGCTGTAGAATGATAACTTCCCAATATTATGCATCCAAACTAGATGGAATCTCTCAATTGCCTTTTTCCTTAATGCCAGCTGTATTGTACTGGAAGTTTGATGTAAACAACTATGTGTTTACCCAGTTAATGAGGACAGTAAGAAAGAAAATTGTATTCTATTTATATGTGTATGCATATTAAACCACATGCTCAAAAGAAAATGACATACAAAAGCATACTAAAACACTGCTTCTAATACTGACTGTTAATTCAAAGTTAATGAAACAGTACAAAATGGAAGCAAACCAGATAATGTTTGAATATAAAGCTCAAGAAACTTAAAGCTCAATTAGTAATGAAAAGTCTGTTCTGACTTGGTCTCTTTTTTTCCCCAAGAAAGAATCAGCAATTAAACCACTTACTGCAAAAATAGTATCAAGAGAGGCATTTATCTGTGAAACTGATTTATTTTTTTTTCCCTCCATTAATATTTCAGACATAACTGGCATTAATTGAAAGGGGTGTCGTTATGCTTTTCCTATTAAACTTTTATTGTTTATTATGGCTTCCATTTTGTGATCTATATTTGTGTAAAAGATTGTTAAATAATACTAGTAAGGGGGAGGTTTTCATCTAATATGATTGGAACTGTCTTAAAATCTAGGCGTCAAGGCTCCCTCTATAGTCAGTAGAGAGAGACAAGCAGTTTAAGCGAACACTTGGCTGACATTAAGAAAAGCAAGGTAGATGAGGCTAATGTCAATGAGTGGTGAAGTGGATAATACTTGATGTATAGAGCTACTAGAAATGAATCTGTAGTAGAAATGAATTTCTGTTGTGACTGTTTGACTTGACAGCCAGACAATACAATGCAAATAGTCTTGGATGTTGTTCCTTACCATTTTTAGTATTTTTTTTTTTTGAGTACAGCATTCAAGTATAGTCATACATTTCCTTGAACTAAATGCTTGAGTGCTGGGTATTTCTAAAAAAAAATTCTGTGATTTACACCCTACTCCAGTAACTGAGTTTTATTTAGAGCTCGAGCAACATGACTTAAATAGCCAGTGTTCAATACCTGCTGTAACACAAGCTAGATAACCTTCCAGAAGTGCACGTTTCTGTTCAATGACTCTAAAGGGAGCCTTGGTGGCTAGCTCAAATGTAGGTGTTTACAACATCTACTATTTGAAAAAACCTTTCAATTTTCTTGCTAAGAGCCCAGGGCTAAGGTTTTGTTTGTTCTGAACTAGCTGGCAAAACCAGCATTTCCTTCGTTTATCACTGACTTGGAGGACAGATATAATACAGTCTTGGTAAGTGAATAAAGAGTGATTGTTTTGCTTTGCAAATTAGAAATGTGTTATTTTAAATATTTGGAATTAAGTTACTTGCAAGTATGTAAAAACTGGATGTTTGTATAAAACCATGAATAGTTTCTAAAAAAATAAAATTGTAATATGTAGATGTCTTAAGTTTATTAATATTGTCTCTGAATATTACTGATTGTGTTATTCTGGCAGCCCTTTAACAGCGGGCAAGCCATGTGAGCTTAAATATTTGATAATAAAATATTAAAACTAAGACATGATCAGAATTCTTAATATCCTTGCTTTTTTAGTAGTGACTAGGTTACTGAAGTTGCTTATGATTATTTTCATGTTTTAAAACGTTGGTTACAGCTTTTTAAAAATTTGATCAATTTTACCTTTTGTTTGAAAAGTAAAGTAGTCCTTTAACCTCGAGAATGTTCATAAACCTTATTTTCTCTGTCTAGAAATTATTAAATTGCATTTCAATTTTAGATTCCAGGAAAGCTAAGATTACTATTTAAAGACATTTTATAGGATACTTAAAATGAAATCAAAGGAGCTAAGTATTTCTATAGATGGAGCCTTGGTGGAGGTTCTGTCAACTGTAAACCCTGCTGGATTTACTGTCCGGTTGTTGTAACTCTACATGCAGTAAGACAAGCAACCTTAAAGTGAATTTCCTATAAGAGATTTTCAGGTAAGTATTAATTTACAATGCACAAATAGGATTTGTGAAGCATGGAACAAAAGCTAGAGTTAGACTAACCCTCTTCCCTGAGAATAATGATGTCACTTTTTTTTTTGTTTTTCTTCAAATACATGTTACGCTTGCTAAAAATAGGGTAACATTCTGAATCTGAAGTTCTTGGGTGTTTTTTCCTAAATTGGCTTTGATCTTTATCTAGAAAAAGTTCCTCTGTAAACTTGGAAATAATCTGTCTGGAAAACACATTTGTTTGCATTCATTTTGGTGGTTCTGGTAAACAGTTCATAAAAATATGTGCAACATAACTGATGAGAATCTGATGCCAAGTGAATGACAGCTTAATGTATTAGAAAAACAAAGTGATGAAGCTTTTGTTTAAATTTGTTCTGAGACTGTTACCACCAATCTGGACTAAACGGTTCCACCACTATTCAATAGTCAGCCTTAAAGGATAGTGGAAAACATTGTTATTTTTTAAAGTTTTGTTTTATTTTTTTATACCTTCAATCCTCATGGAAACTGAACTCTTCTGAAAAGCTCCTGACACTGGTTTAATTTTTTAATGTTTCAGTCACACTTAGAGGAGGGTCGTTAAAGTGAGGATTGCTGTTAGTCCTCAGGTTGCAAAGACTGAACAGATTTGCTGTAGTGAACAGAACTTCCATATAGCTTTAAAGCTGTTTTATGTGTTTTACAAAATTCTCTTTAGAACTCCTTCCACTGATTTTAGGTGACTAAAAGCCAGGACAACATACTCTAATTAGAATGGAAATTATGACAGAGATTATTTGGACTGAACTTCACTGAGAACAGGATTCTGCTATCTTGATGTTTTCTGTAGAGAGATATTGCAAGTGGGAGTGGACAGCAGCCTTCTTTAATTCATATACTTTGATCAGCAGTACTAAATGTGCAGACAACATTATTTTGAAACAAAAGATTGCCAGTAAGCCTAGTTCAAAAAACTGCAGGCTTTTTTAATGAGGACAAGGAGAGTTTTCCTCTTAAAAGAAAACAATAAAGCTAACTCTAGGTTCTATAGAAAACAAGTTATTAAGATCTAAACCATTTCCAGCCTATTTTTCAGTGTCCTGTCCTCCATCTAGTTTTGTTACCTGTTGGGAAGCTGTATTTTTCTCCAGCTCTGTCTTGACACCTCTGGTACATCATCGTTATAGTTTTCAGTGGTGTTCATTGAAGAGCCTTGCATGCTGTTTGGTCTTGATGTATTTACCTTTAATGAAAAATGTTCCATGGTCCCTGGAATACCACCTCAAAAGCATGCAGCATGTTCTGAGTAGCTGAGAGGTCATTGCCAAACATCACCTCACATCACTGTGTTTTAAACTGCAAAATTTTGGCTGCACACACTTTATAATGCACCTGGGGGGCTAAACTTAACTTTCAAAACCTGAAACTTTCCTCCTGGGGTTATACATCTCTATTGCAATAATAAAACATCACAGTTGGTAAGCGATGCCAAAAAATTGTTGAAGGAAAAAGGAAAAAAACATTATGCTTCTAAAGAAAACTAGTAAATATTTGCAGGTAGTATGAAGTCTACCTCTGTCTAAAATGTGTTTTAAGGATATGATAATTGACCTGGTGTACAATTTTCTTTGGAATTGTTCTTTTGTTGTATACTGTTGCTATCTTAGTAAATACTACATAGTATGGTATGTGTATGACATGAGTGATTTTTTTACTCTCATTGAGTTTTGTGTATGGATTAGTGATTATTATGTAAGAAATCACGTATTTAAAGCACCTTCTTTTATAAATGTAGAACACGTTTAAATTGATGAGTCATTATATTTTTGTTGCCTCCCGTATTTGTGTATTTGAAGGAAAAGAGCAGAATAAGATGGATTCGCAACATAGCACTTACTATAGAACTGCATAAAAAAAGATCTGGTTTTGTGTCTAAGCAGGTCAGATGTATTGTATGACCTACAGACATCTAAAACTTCAAAAGCTACCCTCGCTCCCCATTTTTAGGTCTCTCTTTTTTTTTTAGTTAGCCACCTAGACCTCTGTCAGGTAACTTGAATGTGCAGGATGTTTTTGGTTATATTTACAAGCTTTTTTGACTCTTTAGTAGCCTTCAAGTAAGTTATTTGCAGTACATTAATTGGAGGATTTCTTAAGCTTGTGTTCACAGTAATTGAAAATTCTATGCAAATACCTAAAACAGCTAGAAAAGTACACCAGTTTTGAGAAATCATATGCTGAATAGAGTAAAAGTTGCACCAAAATCCTTAGTCCTTTTCCCTATGCTTTTGGTTATTAACTGTATCTTGGGATGGTGGTCCTCTGGTAAGTCTTCACTACATAGAGCTATCTGCTATAGTAATAGAAAAAGCCTACTTTTCTGCTAGCTTGTTTCAATTTAGCAGGTGATAGTAATTCCTTAGCAAAGAACTTCATCAGTGACTGTGGTAGCTCTTTGTGATTCATACACAGACCTAGCTTGGCTGCAAAATTTGAGTCAAGACTTCGATATGTCAACTTAGCTCCATCTAAATGTTTTAGGATTTTCACGTCTTCAACTTCCATGCTCCTGAAGTACTTTTTTGTATTCACACCTGAGAAGTTTTCCTTAACTGTAAGATGTAATGCCTGATCTGTTGGAGCTCTCACTCAAATTTGGTTGAACCAAGATTTTTGTTGCAATGATTAAACATGTTATGGGGTTAAAGCTGTTTCCATGCCACATGGACATTTTAGCTTTCTTTGAATATAAAATATTCAAATAATAAAATATTCAAAGAATAATAAAAATATTGAAAAGAATATTCAAAAACATTCAGAAGAATATTTTTTGCTGTCTCTATATGATACTTTTCAACTAGAGAAAATTTTATTCCCAGAGAAAACCAAGGTTTTATGAACAATAAAAAGAAGAAAAAAGGGCGCATGGAATTTCTATGTATAACATTATAAACAGTAAAATTGTTAAGTATATAAACATTGCAAATGTTGGTATACTTTCCTTGTTTTCTTAACACTTTTTTTTAAACTTTTAGACCGAAAGTTAGGCTACTATTCCATTTTCTGTGGATTTTCAAAGTCAAACAGGTTCCAAAGGTTCTAACATTCAGAAGCTGAGATAAATGAGCGTTGGCTGCCTGTGTACCAAAGAGAGGTTGCAATGAAATAGGAAGTGGAGAGAGTACTTTGGTTAGCCAAATCCTAAACCGTGTAAGGGGTTTGTAGCAATGTTAGCTGCAAGGCTTAAAAAGTAATGACAAGACAGCTGCCTTTTTTCATACTAACAGTTTGCAAATCTACAAGGGTATTCCTAGTGACCCCACCTAGTGTTAAGGTAGGTGTTAAGGTAATACTTGATGAATCCATTTGTGCAGTTGTACTTTTAATTAAGAATGCTACTCAGCTGATTGTGCCTGTATATGGATTTTGGCCCTGACTTGTTCTTTCCATGTTGAAGTTCATAATGATAGCTGGTTGTTTCCATGTCTTACTCCAGCTGATCTGCTATGGCTGTTGGGTGAAACTTCCACTGATGATAGCTGCTTGAAACAAGGAAGGAAGGAGGAGAGTTCTGATCTAACAGGAGTCATTTGCAAGCTCTGCCAGGGGAGTTCTTGGCTTGTAGTCAGCTTTTAGTTTTTAAGAAAGAAAATAAAACTGTTGGCTCACTAGATTAGCACAGTAGCTGAGCATTTAATCTTTTTCTAATGGTCTACTTGATACTAACTTCTGTGTAAAAAGCAAAACAAAACTGAAATACTACAAGGCAAGTCAACATATGAGACTAAAAACACATTTCTTAATTTTGTAGCAGTGCAAGGAAAATAAAACATGGTATACCCAGTTTTTCCTGTCTGACGATATAATACTAGTATATGTTTGTACATGATACAGTCAGTTCACTGTACAAGAGATGAGTCCTAGGTAATGCTACTGTGGTATCTTTTTTTTTTTTTTTTTTTTTTTTGCTATGGTAATTTACAGTAATGCTGCTTAAGTTAGCCTGCGAGAGAGAACCATGAAGTATTTGCTTCAGTATATGCACGTAGACAGCCTTAGATGATTATTACGGCTCAGGTTATTCACAATATTTTTAAAACACTATGGCCTGCTCATGTGTTTGTATGCTGAACTTTGTTGTGCATGTTTTGGTATAGAAACTGTCTTGAAAATCTAAATACTCAAAGCCCATCAGAGGATAAGTGCATTTTGAGGAGCAGAAATATAATTTGGGGCATGTGTGATCCCAAATAATCCAACTACGGATCTTCAGTGGAACAAAATTTTGGAATAGTGTGTCTTGGTTTTCTGCCTTATCCAGACTTAAATATTACATGGAGGTTATTAGACAGGAGGAGTCTTTATGGTTTGAATCTTCATAAACTTTTTTAGATTTTATTTTTTCCCCTCTAGGATAGCCTTATAACGTTGGTGTGTCCAGCCCCTGAACTGGAAAGATGGAGTGGGGCATTGCCTAATGTATGTTAGTTGCATTTTCTTGTCCATGAAACAGGAGAAACTAGGGGTGAGGCATAACCTTGTTACAGCAGATAGTAGGAAGAAAATAGACTTGCTAAACATGTTCCTAAGCTTCCTTTTGAATGAATGGGAGGCAAGTAATTAAGCTGACTTGAGAAAAATTTTCTAGCGTGGGCTAATTAAGTTACTCATCTGTAGTAGTATTCTGATATGAAGATGCTACTCAGGTCCTCATTGTTTTTAGAGTGGATTTCTTGTTTAAGTGTAATGTTTCTGAGACTTTGGGGGTTGATCTTTCCTAATATATAACACCTTCCCTCTAATCATGCCAACCAATAGCTTCCTACCATTAATTGCTGGCAGCAGCTTGGTTTCACAGGGCAAGGGTTATAATTACTATCTATGGTTGAAAATGCTTACCCTTCTCACCCTGGGGAGCCAAGCTGTTGCTAGCAATTAAACGTAGTTAGCTGTTCTCTGCTTCATGTAAACATTTGCAACCAGTAATTACTATTGCTTCTTACTTCTTTGCCCTGGAGGAACTCAACTGTTCCAGTAATGCCTTGTAGTAATTTGGCTTTGTATTTTTTTTCCTCTTAAACTATAATAATTAATATGAAATCTAACCTTTATTTTTAATTTTAAAATTGGTATTTTTGACCTTTCACAACTCATTTGGAACATGTAACCATCTTGGGAGTTGCAATGTAGTTTGGAAATGCTTGCTTAGGGATTATGAATTATGTAAATGCTTTAGCCACTTCCCTTAAAAAAAAAAAAATAAATATCAGTGTGCTGAATTATCCCTTCATCTATATGGTTGAGCAGGGTTTTTGTACCTTACAGAAAAACATTATGGAAAGCAAACATGCAATTGCTTTTGTAACTATCTAAAAGAGCTGACCCCTGCCAAGAAATTGGGTTTGTCTAGATGATCATGTCTCCTTTTCTTAGGTAGACACCTCAGTTCAGAAATGATCAGTAGATGCTGAGTTCTTGCTCTTTTTCCAAGGTGCACTCTTCTGCCTCTGCTTTATTTGCTGCTCTGTGTAGGAGGCAGGAGTGTAGACAACTTGATTGTCTTTTTCAAACTGCTCAGTCTATTTGTTCTTTCTATAGAATTTCTCCTCCTGGCAGATACTTTGTTTTCTAGTCTCATGTAAACTCTAATTGGATTTCTGATTCAGATGCAATTTTGCTCATTGAAAATCAGTGTAATTTAGAATGGTTTAAATGCAAATAGACTTTTTTCCCCAAAATGTTAATGTTGTATTGTTTTACCAATGGAATGCTGGGCTTGTAATCTGCTGATGTTTTGTAATATGTAATAAAAGTGAAATTTTAATTTTGTCTTTCCCACTCACCCTTTGGCATTTTAGTTTGACTTCTTTCTTTTCAGTAAGACTGTGAACTACTGGTTTAAGAGCTTATATTTGCTCAAAGTTGATTTATGGCATAGAATTAACCTTTGTTTCTGCCAGCCCCCTAACGTGGTCCCTCAAAGCCTAAAATAGTTTTGTTCTGCTTCCTGGAACCTGAATCACATTGAAAAGAAAATAGTCTCCCTCCACAGAAGCTCAGCTCTTCTTTTGTTTTGGCTCTCCTTCTTCAAATATTTATATACCACCTTTTTGTTATGAAGTATTCAAAACCCCTTTATGAATCAAAACATGACTGAAAGCTGGATTGTAGTCCCATAGCCTGAGGCAGATAGTGCCCTGTGCCTGGAAGAACATCAAGAGTTGAGGAAGATGCCAAGTGAGCTGCAGTAGATATCTTCATGATGCTATTATTTCCCATAACCAAGCTAAGAAAATAGCATACTATATTCAAACCTTGCCCTTAACTTCTGTGTTATTTATATATTTGGTTTCTCAGACTTACAGCTTTGCCATTTATGATAGTAGTAGTTTAAGATGGGAAGTGGTCCAACAGTAGAGTGGTTCTTCCCATAAACGACCTGTATTTAGCTCTACTGGGATCAGCTTGAGCTATGGAAGGACTTTCGTGAACTGTAGTGGACAGGTACAAATTTGTAATTGTAACTGAAATTCAATCTTACTGATTGTTATGAAAGTTGGTTAACTTGATCTTTATGCAGTTTCTTGCCTTTGTAGTTCATATTCAGTGTTGGGCTTCTTGTTCTTTTATAAGCAAATGAGCTACTAGTGATCTGTCTCAATGTTAACTTTTTCCAAAACTTTCAGCCTAAAAGATTTCAGGGGATGAGATCAGGGAATTTGTTTAAGCTATGACTTTGCAGCTGGTTTATTATAGTCTCAACATGTATTTTACCATTTCTTTGTGTATGAGTGGGAAGTCTTTAATTATATTGTCACCTTGTTTATTGAGGAACCACTTTTAAAATGCATATCAAGGTACGTCTTGCTAAGATTTCTTACCAGAAGAAGTAGATAACTGACTACAGGTAAGTTAAACTTCGATTAATAAAAAGTGGTCTTATGTCCAGACAGTGCTAATTTACACTTGCACATCAAAAACACAGCAAAAGAAAAACACACAAGCCCCTAGTTTTTGCTGTAATTGGTATAAAAAAGATCTTGGTCTAAATGAACCTGCATGCTGAAATATTTCTTGTGTTTGTGTTTACAGTCTGGGAAAGTACATGTACATGTTGGTTTGAAAGCATAGAGCAATTTGAAGAACTTCTGAACCTCACTGGTGTGAAAGTCTTTAACATTTTTTTTTCCAGTGTCTTTTTTAATTTAATGTTCATATCATGCTTTTTAAACGGTTTTATTTGTAGAGATCATTAGCAATGTAGTAGAAATTTAACTCCTATTGAGGCTTAAACATCTCCTGCATGTCTACTACTTAAAGCATGTTTTATTTTCTTAAGATTGTTTCCTATGCATTTATCATGGTAATTTGTTTGCCTTCACCTAAGACAGTACCTGAAGTTACTCTTTTGAATATTAACTTGAGCAGAAATGTTTTTGTTATTGAGTTCTATAATTGGCTACTCAGCTTTACCTTTTATTAATTAATAAATAAACAAACTGTTAATCTTCAGGAGATGAGTCTTGGGAAATCTGAACTTAAAAGGAAGCATATGAAAGTCAATGTTGGTTTCTTCTTCAGTAGAAATCTTAAGGGAAGTATTAGAGTTCAGTATTATGATGTGGTTGAAGGTATCTGTCAGAGAAATATGGATTTTTTTTAAAACTAATTTTTACTGAATTCCTGAAAATGCATACTCATATTTCAGTGGCTGACTTGTGATGGAAAAGTTTGCTTACAAATAATTAGCAGTCCCTGAAGTTTTTTTTTGAAAAACGTTGTTTATTGCAACTAAATAATAATGATTGAAAGGAAACAGTCTCAGATAAATTTTACTTGCAAATTGTTTCCTATTCCACCAATCCAGAAATGAAATCAGTGACGCCTGTTGTAGTGTAGCTTTAGATGAGGGTTGTTAGGAGTGGCCTGGTTTCTCTCCTTCTTTTTCGTAGCCCAGGAAGTATCGACTGGGGATGCTGGATGAGAGGATAGTTCCGGTGGGATCAAAAGCAAGAAAATCAAAGAATCCTATCGGCTGTCTGGCTGACAGGTGTAAAACAGGAGAACCCATCAATATGGTTTGGTGGAACAGAGTCACAGAAAACAATTTACAGGTAAAATTATTTTTTTACTAGTCAAATTTTCAGTACTTTGGATGCTTGATTTTAAATTCTGGAGAATGTTAGAAGGGGTTACTCCAAATATGCTTTGAGATAGGATAAAATATTTTGCAAAACAGGCATAGTGGCCCCCTGAGGAGAATGACTCAGATGTTTTATTTACCCACCCCTGTGTCATATACTCTGATTGTTATATTCTATGGAGGAGAAGCAAAAACAATCAACTGTGTTTTAAAAGCAAGCAAACATGATCTCATATTTTAATTTTCATGTGAGCAAAGTGTTTACTGTGAAACTTAGTAAGCTTTGTTAAAATGATTGACAAAATGCAAAAAAAATAAATAAATTTCTGCAGTGTGGAATGTAACCACTATGAACAGAAACTATAAGTTCTTAAGTTTCATGTTGGGATAGCTTACATTTCTCAACTTGTGCTGGAAACCTTTGTGTTACTTTCATTATTCCTGACTTTCTCTTCAAGAGCTGGACTTGAGCATATCTGATTCTGAAGTAGCAGGCTCTCCTTAGCATGATAATGGAGGGTGATTCTTGTCTGGGAACAATCTGCTCAATGTCAGGGTTTAGATGAAAATTATTGTAGTTGTCATAACTACAACACTGCTGCTATTACTATTTTGCACTTAAGTGGTGCTTTTGATTCTTCAGAGAAAGAACTTAAGTTCTTCAAAGATTTTAGTCATTGCAAGGATTTTCTTCTTTGTGTTTAAGTGATAGAAATGGGTAAATCAACAATAGACTTGTTTACAGCTAGAGTCTGTGGCCCCTTAAATTTCTTTAGTGTCGCTAAACTTTCAATGTGACAGAAGGGCAAACATGAAGTGGATATTAGAACTCTGCAATACCAACACGAATTTTGCTTTACTTAATGTTTGGACAGCTTTGCATTGCTGAAATTCGGAGTCATGGGCAGCACGTTGTATGCAAAGTGATAATATATTGCATAGTTGCCTGGGTGTAAGTCTTGGTTCTTTTGCTGGTGGGGAAGTAGAGAAGCCACTAGCAGAAAAAGATGAAGCCTTAAGCTTCATCTTCTGCAACCAGGCAAGGTTGCAGAAGAGTGGTTGGAGCTGGTGAAACACTGCTTTTCTCAAGTGAGAGAAGATTGACAGATTGAATTAACCACGTTTATCTAATGGGGAGTGCAAGCCCTAATTAGTAGGCAGCTGCTCTGAAAAGAGAGAAAGAGAAATCAGTCTTCAAATTTCAAGTGGGCATCTAAGGAGCAGGAAGAGCCCCATTTTTTTTCCTCCATTGTTTTCTCTTGCTGTTCTGTGTAATGTCAAGGGTTGTCATTGATCTACTCTGCATAACAATAAAGTGGAACTGCTTAGTGTTTTTTTTTTTTTCTGGAGGCTGGAGAACCAGTAGTCAGAGATTTGGAGCTTCTGGCCAGGAACAATTGTCTTCAGTATCCATGTCTTAAAAAGCTCAAGGTCCCTAAGCTTTCTTTGGTTAGTGGCACTGGTGCAATTCCAAGCTCCTTTATTGTGCCAGTCACTACTACATAAATGAGTTAACCTATGTACAACATACAGTTTTGTATTATAAAGTGCAATTACATGGTTTACCGTGGAGGTATGGGACTTGAACAAGTATGTATATGCATATCTGGTAGATATAAGAGGAGAAGGAAGTTCCAGGCATAGGAAATAGAGAAGAAAAGGAAGGGACAGCACAGTAATAGTGAAATTTGGCAAGAGTGAATGGAGAAGGGTATGAAAACAGGCTATACATGAGGTTCAGGGTATATAAAGCTCTATCTACGTAGATAAGAGACTGAATTTTGTCTTGATGTTACTCTGATCCTTTTAAGTCTTTGTATTCATGTGAACAGTTTTGAAGTCACTGCTGAAACAAAGCTCAAGAACTTTAAAAATTGGAAATGTTAATTGTAAAAGCACAAAAAATGGCTGTGGCTATTGGAGAAGTTTGGTACATGAAACTACACTTAAAAAAAAAAAGAGGTAGTTTCATACTGAGATTTCAGATTCACTTTGTTTTTTTTTTTAACTTCTGGACATGAACCCACAGATAGCATAGGTCTCCAGTATTTTTAAAGACAGGCTGTTTTTGCAGGTGTGAATATAAGTGGTACAAACTAAATCCAGGCTGATGAGTGCTAAGCAATGATAAGTAAAAAGGTTAAATTGTGATGAAGGCACATCTGCTTGAGGGCATCTTTTTCTCATTTGTTTGAAGATGAGAAGCAGACATATCTCAGAATTGCTGAAAGCTTCTAATGCTGTGCAGATGTTGAAGCTCTTGTGCCTATTTGAACGTCCACTCTTCCAAATGTGCGATTTAGGGTGTGGGAAGACCCTATTTCATGGCATGCTGTTAAATGCTGTTTTGAAAGGTGTAGAGATCTTTGTCAGAAAAATGGCTGTTCTACAAAACAAGGTAGTTTGCAAGATGCATTGTAAAAAGTTAAAGCTGTTTCTCATGCATGGCTATGGATTTATAATCCAGACCTATTTATTTTAGTCATGTAAGCATGACCCAGTCTTTAAAACTGGGGTCCACACAGTGGATGCACAGCATTCCGGGTTGTGCCATAAAAAGCAAAAGCACAAAGCCAAATTTATTCTTCAGTGATATGTCCTGCCCTGTGTTAGGAAATGTTCTGAGCTACTACCATGCCATGAGATACATACATGTATTATAATATCAAAGTATATATAAGGTAGTAGGATATGATTTTTTTGTTATACAGATCAGTTCATAAGCACAATGAATAGCATTTTGTCTTCTTGAATCAAAAAAATAAAATCTTAGAAATGATTTTTTTCAAATATTTGCTATCAAAAACATGGACTTAAAGTTTATAGTTTTAACAATACTTTCAGGTATTTTGTTAACAACAACAAAAAAAAAAGTGGAGCAAACACCGTTTGTCTGCACTTAAGCCAACACATTTTACTGAGTTTAAATGAAACTCTAACTTTTCTGAAAGAGCGATGTTGGATTATAGCTAGTCATGTTGGTGAGATTAAATTTTTTATAGGATCACAGAACAGTTTGGGTTGGCAAGGACCTTAAAGCCCATCCAGTTCCAACCCCCTGCCATGGGCAGGGACACCTCCCACCACACCAGGTTGCCCAAAGCCCCGTGCAGCCTGGCCTTGAACTGCTAGAGCTTATTGTGTGGGTAATGTAATGACTTGTGACAGTAACTACAATAAGGAAGCATGTTGCACAAATTCAGTAGTGGGAGGGAAAGAGATTTGTGTTGGAGTCCTTGGTAACCTCCAGTGTCTGATGGGCTGCTCTGACATCCCAGAATGTGTCCTTCTCTGATGTCACAGTCATCAAGGAATCCTTCTGGAGACGGAGGGATTGCCGCGATGCTCTCTATGTGAAGTGAAGCTCCTTCTATGGCATATCTATCCATTTGAAAAACAAAAACCAACAAAAAAACAAAAGCTCTTGCATGTTTTTGAATGAATAAAACATTCTGAAAGCTATGCCAAATAGTAGACTGGCAGAGAACTGCCCTGCTCGTAGCTTGGGTACAGTTTAGTGGTGGCTTTCTGTAACCATTACAGGACTATGCAATTCGGGATGTCAGAACAGATCAGCATGAATTTGGAGGTGAAGGACAACATAAAAAGAGGACAAAAAGGCTTGTTTCCAGTTTTTAGTATGGTAAGTACATTAGCACGTTCTTCTGAAATACAAATGAAATTTGCCTACTCTTTGCTTTAGGTAGCTGGCCTTTGGTAGTGTATAACTGGAAATAACTGAGTAGTGTTACAGCCACAGAAATGGAGGCTGCGGCTCTGCCACTGCTGTACAGCTCTGTTGTGAGGCACTCAACTGGAAATGAGAGAGAAGGGCAGTTTCCAGTACTTCTGTGTGCTCCCTGCATGACCTTTAAAAGGCTGCGTAGTCTTTGTCTTGGTTTCCTCCTGCATTACAGGGTACCTCTGTACTTCAAGGCAATTTGCAGATTAATTTGTGAATTCATGCACTAGAGCCTTAGGAGCTTATCATTGAGGTAGGTATAGAAAAACTGCATTGAAATTAGTTGATGAAATGGGAATTGTCATCCTCTAGAGTACAGAAAGCTGTTCATATATACAGCTGCAACATCCAGTGCAGGTGCATGCTGCTGTGCAGTTCTGTCAGCAGTGGCACAGCGGCTGAGATACCTCATCCTCTACCCTCAGCTTTCATTGCCATCTTTATTTTCATTTGCAATTTCCTTTAAGGAATCTTGCGTTTTTGTTCTGTAGTACTGACAGAAGGTGTATTTCTTTCCCCCACCACCATATTTCAGTTGTCTTAAGTGTTTAAAACATACTAGCCACTAGACAGATTAAACTCTGTGCTGAATGGTGATGGAAATGAATCATTTTATAGTCTTTCCCATCTTACTCCTCTTGTGGTTCCATCTTTTCTAATTGCATCATGACTAAATTCAGACTTAATTTGGACTTTTTATGTGTTTTATAACATTTTGTGCTCTCTTGCATACCGAAGTATAGACCTCTTTTTTTTTTTTTTTATACGGGGTTGGATGGACTCTATTTTGTGGACTCTTTGAAAGTTTTTTCACAAAGCTGACTAAAAGGATGTTCTTATCTTTTTGGAATAACACATTCATGAAGAATTTGAGAGCAGTGTACACTTTTAGTGAAATTTTCTTACAGAATCATTTTGGTAAGAATGCGTGATGCAGGTATTAATTCAGATAATGCCTATGGAAGACATGCCCCTGCTTTAGTTTGACAATATTTTTTATACATTTACTAGAGAAACAGGATGAGATTTAAACTGGCCAAGCTGAAAGAAAAAATGAATGCTGGCAACTTTAGTGGATATGAGTTGTTGGTTAGTTTATTTTGATATTTTTTGGAAAAATTGAACGTAGCTAACAGAGCCATGCTTGTTTCTGTTCTGTCTCATTTACAGAAACATATTAATTGGAGTTTGTTTTGAAATCATTTTGTATGTGCCTCTCTATAGACACTTGAAACTGGAAGATATGGTCTTGTCGCATAGTGCAGACAGCACTAGCTGCTTTTTTTTTGTTTGTTTGGGTTTCAGGAAATACATTCACTTTTGTTTTTAATGTCACCTTATTACTAAATTCATTACATGATTTCTTTCTTGCATCTACTTTCTTTTAATTACTAACAGCATTTAAGTCTTCAGTGCCTGTTTTTTCTTTTTCTTTTTTTTTTCCTAATCCTGATTTACTCAGACTTAAACCTTTAAGCCCAGTCTAGCATGAAGATCAGGAAATAAAGACTAATTAAGTTGAATCTGTCATAAAACCGGGCGTGTAGGAAATTTAAGTATAATACAGAATGGAGAAAATGTTTTTCACTAATTAGATTCTTTTCATTATTGTTAAAATGTAAGAATATTTTTGCTTACGCTTCATCTGGGAAGTTTAGTGAGGTTTTATCAAGAAAACTGTAAAGATAGCCTGTATCGTTGAAAGCATACTCCCCGTTTAGAATGAGATCTTCAAGCTTATTGCTGATCCAAATGTAAAACTAACACTTGAACTTTTTATTGCCAGCATGAAGGTAGGATGCTTTTCAGTATGAGGAACATAATTGTAGGAATCATTGGCCATTAAGAATGTGGCTTCCTCTTTTTTTTTTTTGCATGTTTGCTCACTCACTGGTATGGAATGTTGTCTACAGTTTTTGAAAAATAATTAAAAGATAAAGCATTAAAGAACTCATTCATATTCCATTCCCTCACTTATTTTGGATATGAAGAATCAATTGGGCTATGTTTGGGCTATGTTTGTTGGAAATGAAGTGCAGAAAAAGTGGCTTAGTTCAGATGAAAGCTTGTATGCTTTTGGAAATGTAAGAGCTGCAGCTTCAAATACATGTAACATGTATTTAAACATGGCCTGGAGCTTAAGCTTCAGATCATCTGACAAAGTATAAACTATCTTTCATCACAAATTCTTAAAATTTTGTTGTATTAACTTGATAAGTTTAGTTTGGATGGTGACTCTGAAGCTCAGATATTTTTTCTGTACCTAGAAAACAGCTTGAATGTGGAAAGTTCTGTTATTTAAGATTGGTTCCAATTATAATTTTTTGAGCAATGAGGAAAGTCTTGGGTTACAACTCCAATTTTGTAACCTCAGGAGTAAAACAGGCCTTTATACTAAAGGATCTAGCTTCACAATTCAAACCTGTTTTCAGTGAGGGCATTTTATATAAGTAGTTTTATAGGAACATCCCAGTCTTACCAGGATTTGGTTCTTACCCTGAATTGTGACACCTAAACATTGAGTGAAAACTGAGTTTCCATCAGGCTTTTGAGCCACTCTGTTTAATTCTACAGTGTAATCTGGCCTGCCCTAGCAGATTCCTAGGCTTCTCTTCCACTTGGCTAAACCAAACCATCTACCAGTTAGAGTTCTCAAGTAGTTTCATTCTAAAATGGTAATGAATATGTAAGTAACTGTTTTAGAGAGCAAAACTGCAAGTGTCTATGAGCACTTGTTGAATGCATTTAAAACAAAAAAGCTCTATTTTGTAGGCATGAATTAAATCAATTGGTGAAAGTAATAAAAGTTTAACCAGAATGGTATGGGATATCTTCTAGAAGGTTTCTTCTCTCTGTTTACATAATCTGAATTTTTTGCTATCTCCTGTCTTTGTTGCCGAATTGACAAAATTTTTAGATGTGGTAGGTCTGTGGATGTGCCAGGGCTAGTATTAACAGTAAATAAATTAATAAACAGTCTTGAGTTCCACAGTCATTTGAAATGCCTTTTTAGGAAGGTGCTACAAATTCTGTCCCTTGCTGTCCCAGTTGTTTTGTCAGAATTTTCAGCTACCTGGACAAATTCTGCTCAGCTCTCTACCACTTCTGTCAACTCCAGTGCAGAATTGGTTAACTTGTTGCATGCCAAATTTTATCTAGAGGAACATCATTCTTTTAGTTATTCCTGTACCTAACATTCAGATAAATCCAGAATATTACCTTCTGAGATTAGAAATCAGTTACAAATTTAGTCTGTATAGTGCAATTTACCATTTGTTTTGTTGCATTAGTGTATACTTAGCAAACTTCACTTAACTAAGTGGGATTAAAGAATTGTAAGATTCCTATGAACTTTTTACCCATGTAAGTCTTAAGTGTTTTTAATTCAATAGTCTGAATAATTGGTTATGGCTGTGCTTTAATATTCAGACACATGCACATATGGAATAACTAATGTGTGACATAAGGTGGTTAGTGGTCATGTGATTGAAGGTGGAATATTCTTAGTATTTGTTTTTAAACATGAGCATCCTCTTTTTTAAAGCTTTTAGAATCCTTTTTCTTTTCCAGTGCTTTGAAATACATCGATACTATGCTATTTGGCTGACCTGTCCAAATAAAGGTGTTTCAAAACAAAACAAAACAAAAAACACCAAAAAGCACCACTTTTCAAATACTCTTCTGCACTAATTTAGCATTTCATAATCACACTTCTTTTCTAACCTGACACTAACTTCTCTGTCACTTGTTCACGTTGGTAAAAATGTAAATTAATTAACCATTGAAATATTTAGTTGGTTTAAACCTGCCTAAAGCCAAAGTGATCCAATATGATTTGCTTTGGAAAACCATTATGGATTATCTTCGCAGTATCCTTTATCTATTGCAAGTTGTTACTATCTTCTCATTTTATTTTTTGTTTAGACTTCATATACCAAACTTTTGACAATACCAAACTTTTGACAATTAATACGTAATAATCTTCAAACACTTCAGTGTGTTCATATAATAATTGGTTTTGTTTTTGCCTTAATTTCTTTGCTTTCAATAATGTCTTGTGAAATTCCTATTCCCCTTATTCCTCCACCCTCCACCCCCCAAAAAGCACAGATTTTAAGAGAAATCAAAAGTTGGTTATATGTTTTATGTATCAGTAAATTTTAGATGTTTGCTAGTCACTTTAATGCTATTTCTTTCTGTTATACCAAATTTAAAGTCATTACTAAAGGATAAAATAGAATATATCATTAAAACAAGTTAATTTCATAGAAAAGGAACATAATTGTTATTGCTTTAATTTGAAACTGCTCCTTAGTTTGTGATGAATTCTCTGAAGTCACATAAGAACAGTCTGTGCAGCAGTGGCAAGGCTTTCTTACTGTCAAGTCTGTTCTCCAACTTCTATATTATAATGCTTATGGAAGGCCTTTTGCAAAGTGTTTATATGAACTCATACCTCAGCCCTTCATATGGAAAGCTTGCTAACACTACTTCACATCTAAGGCAGAAAACTATTTAAAATTGTTCATGCCGACCAGCTTCCTGTATCTTCTGTTCTTGTCAGCAAGCTGTATGTAACTTAAATATCCCTTGCTCATGGTAGGCTTGCCTAGAACGTGTTTTCTACCAAATAGGCATTGTCCATCTCTTTGCATTTAAAATAAACATTTAATTTACATTTGTTTTTAAACAGACACCAAACCCTACTGCAAGTGAGTTTATTCCTAAAGGAGGATCAACCTCCAGGCTGAGTAATGTATCCCAGTCAAGTATGTCTGCCTTCTCTCAAGCCTTGTTCTCTCACCCCTCCATGGGAAGTCCTGCTACCGCTGGGCTAGCACCAGGTAAGTTGAGAGTAATGATTTGTGGTACAGTTGCTTTTTTTAATTTATAATTATGCCAAACATAACCCTGGACAGCTTATAATCAGGTTTAATGTGTATAAATCTAGTCACCTCCTACTTCAACTCTTAATTTTGAGAAAATCTTCCAGCATATAAACTCCAAGTTGCGTCACTTCTATCTCTTAGTAGAATGGAAGTCACACTGCAGGCTGTGAAAACTGTTCAGCCACAGCAGCCCTGAAATTAACTAATTTACTCTGCTTTTTTGGAGAGAAAGAGGTGCTGAATTATTGCATACTGTGCTCTGCACTGTCCTTGCTAGAGCAGTACCTGGGTTAGTTTTAAACTGGCTCTAGAATAGAAATACACTGAGGTGTACAATGAATGTGTACTATGTATTGTTTGCTCTCTTGATTTGTTTCTAGAGGATGTAATCTAGATGCTACTACTTTCAATGTTTATAGTATATATACTATAGAGCTTACATTTTTGATCAGTAACATAACTATTGGAGAACATAAGCTTATCCTAATGGCAAGGCAAATGATTTGAACTGTTAGTGTATTTGTCATATCATGTAGTTTCACTTTTAAGATCAACTTCAGGTTGTTTCCCGTGTTTAAAGCTCTTATCTAAATGTGTTCTATGCAGTCAGAGAATTCACACTGACAAGGTTTTTTAAAAACTTTAACTTCAACCTGTTCATATATCTTTTGAACTTCTGATCTTTAAACAGTTAATTCTAATATTTGCTTCGTAGAAAAATGGAATAGTTTCAAGATAAAAAGATGAGCAGGTCTGGATGTTACCCATCCCAGATTCTTTAGCAAATTTCTGTATGTACTTAAACCTGTGGCAATCTATCTCAGGAAAAAGCAGCATTAGGTAGCTGCCAGAAGACAAAAGGGCAAATAATGTAAATGTTTAGTGTTTTTAAAAGCAGTACTGGCAATTACTGTCTGTTCAACAGAACTTCAGGCTTTCCTGATAGCAGCACTAAAAATCATTGTCAATACGAAAGGAGCCAGCACTTAGCTAGTGAGATGGTGTCGGAACAGGCTGGGAAAGCGATTGGTGCTTCTGCTGACCAACTGAGCATAACGCAGTACTGTCTGATTCATCCTGTATTGTGCTGTACAGTCTTATTGGAAAACTGTTGTGTTTATATGCCTCTCAGCCTTCTCACCTGGATTGAAAATTTTATAAAGGATTAAATAGAATACAGTAAAATGATCTACTTTTGGAAAGTGCCCAGGGGGATCTCAGAGGGATCCTTCACAGTCCAATTTCTTTACTATCTGTAAGTAATACTTGAAAGGATGAATAACACTGTTGATGAAAGAACTTCTTACAACAACTAGAAGTCTGAACAATACAGATGCCATTGCTGAAACCTAACTAGGTTCAAATACTATTGTTTGTTTAGGAGAAGAAGGTTTGGGAGTCTTCATAAGTGCTAACTTCAGGCAAGACTAGCTTGTTTTCTTGCTCTTTCTGTGTAGTTATAGAGAATATCAGTTCAAAGCAGGAGTCTGAGTTGGGTGCTTTGAATTGCTCTAGAAGCTTCTTTCTCGACACTGTGTGTAGAGTTTTCTGAACCAAGTATGCAGTGTAAATAATACCCACAGATACTTGTTTTTAAGTGGCTTAGCTGCCAGTAGTATACAAGCACAAAAACCTTCTGCTACCTCAAGGTGAGTTAGGAGCTGCTCTTTGTAGAGGACTAGACTCTTAAGCACAAAATCAGTATTTTTGTGGGGAAACTTTGCCATCTGGGTTATACTGGATATCAGAATAAAGAATTAGATGTATTCAGAAATTGTCATTAAAATGGTTGTTGGAGGTCTGGTATTGGTTTCATTTGAATTTGCTTTTGCTTATCGATGTAAAGAGTCTACACGATTTTTCCTTTAAATAAAGGTATGCACCGTTTAACTGGAAGGAGGCGTTCTCCAGTAGAACAGCTTTCAGGAAAATGTTAAGGATTTAAACATTAGCATAAGATTAAGATTACTTACATTAGTTTACAGAATACTGGAAATTAATATTTAGTTTTAAATAAGGAAATGTAGGAGGAATTCTTTAAAAGATCCATACTTCAATTCAACCATTGCACAGTAGAGAACATTTCCCTCTTTGATTTCCCTCTTGAAGATGGAACAAATGAAGTTCTCAGAAATCAGATATGTAAGAGATCTGCCTCAAGGAAGGTGTAAATCAAAAACATTTTTGACATCTAGTATTTCATAAGTAACTGGTCACAAAATTGAGTGTCCCTGGAAAATATTTTTTGCATCCGTCTTGTCAACAATAATGCAGAAATACTGGAAGAAGCTGAAACATAATCTGTTGTGATGGGTAACTTGTATCCATACCTGACATATCCGTTAGGGACACAGCATTGAAAAAAGCTACTCCTGCTTTTTCATGTATCTACTTAGATAAGTGCTTTCTAGCATAATCTCTATACAGAGTCAATCTAATCTCCATGGCTTTAAATAAAATGTTAAAACAGTGAGATAAAACACCATTTAAGAAGTTGGAGAAAACTAGTATCAGAGTTTTGAGCAGATCTCCTTCATCCTTTCCAAGCAGTCTTTTCTCAGGCTCCCCTGGATACTGCCCTATTCCCGCTCCTTCTGTTCCCGTGCTAGTAAGTGCTTTCTATTTGGCATTTGCATGGGAAATTTAGTCTTCAACTAGTCTGTTGAAGACTTAATCCTACCCAGTTCTCTGTAGCAGTTCCATAATAATAGCACCATTAAAGCATGGCAACAATGCGTATCAAAGAAATTAATGGATGTCATCAAAGTGGTAAGACATCACTGCCAAGTTAACCTTGAAAGAAAATAGATTTGTAGCCCCTGAAAGAGAAAGTGTTTGTCTGATTTGGTTTTCTTGAAGCTAGCTTATAGCTAAAGGGTGATGGCTTTGTCATTGGTGTAAATTACAGCAAATTGCTGATTCCAGAGCTTCTGTATTTAGTTGAAGACAGAATCTGAGCCTATACAGAATGCATAGATCCCAATAGATGTTAATAATGTGCGTGTGCCTAGATCTTGATTCTAGTCTTGATTCTAGCAATGTGAATCTGCAGGATTAGCAGCCAGGAGGCACAGAGCTTTCTGTGGCCTCCCATAGCAAGTACAGCACAGCCATGCAGCTGAGAAGGTTCCACAATCCTAGCAAAATAATACAAGGAAGGCAAAGATACTATAAAATTATATTTATCTTTAATAAATTGAGGAGGAGGAATTTCTGACTGTAATTTTTTGTGGAATTAAGCAGATTTAATTATCTTGAAAATACACAGCTACAATGCTAATGATCTGATAGAAAACGTAATTTTTACTGAATTTAAACGTACTGCTTTCAACAGATCCTTGAAATAGCTTTGAACTACTATTATTAAGCTCAATTTGTCATTTCTCAGTGTACCTAGTAGTGTAGAGTGTCGCTAAAGTACAGAACATAATCATGATAATATTAGACATTTGATTTTTGATCTGACTTCTTAACATCTTTAGTTGTACAGGGATTAACATCCTTAGTTGTATAGTGATAATGGTTGTAGTTGAGTAAATTTCATAGAATCACAGGATTGTAGGGGTTGGAAGGGACCTCTAGAGACCATCAGGTCCAACCCCCTGCCAAAGCAGGTTCCCTAGAGCAGGCTGCTGAGGTAGGCATCCAGACAGGCCTTGAATACCTCCACAACCTCCCTGGGCAGCCTGTCCCAGTGCTCTGTCACCCTCACCATGAAGAAGTTCCTTCACATGTTGGTGCGGAACTTCCTGGGCTCCGTCTTCTGGCCACTGCCCCTTGTCCTGTCCCCACAAACCACTGAAAAGAGGTTGCCCAAATCCCTCTGTCTCCCACACTTAAGACATTTGTAAACATTGATAAGATCCTCTCTCAGTAGGGAGAAATTTGTAGACAAAGGTTTAAAAATATACATATTTAAAAGGTTATAAAGTTTTGAAATATATACATTCTGGATTACTCTTTTTTGAAATGCTAGTTGTAGGGTAGTTGATTTCCATACACATGAGCTGAATGAAATCCTGCCTCATGGTAAACTTTCAGTGACTCTAAAAACTGTAGACTCTGAGTCCTTAATGAGAATTCAAGCTTAATATCTTTTCTTTCATGCTGCTCACCCGTAGAATTCTCAAATTCAAAATATAACTTGGCATTTAACTTAAGGCTTTGTAGTATGCAATGTATTTATTAAAAATGTACACCTTGTAAAATCTTTGAGCAGTGTCTCAAATGAATTTCAAAGTCTACTGCTTCTCTTTTGTCAGTCTCAATGAAACTTCAAAAATAAATAAACTTAAAAAAAACAACAACACAACAATGCAAGAAGAGAAAATGTAACAATAGAGAGGGATAATATGATATGATCTTTCTCTGTGTAAAATGAGTATAGCAGCAAGGGCTCCAGGTATGTGTAGGTAACCTGCACTGTCACAGTGAATATTGCAGGCTTTCAAGCTTTTTGCAACCATTTACATGTTGGTATGATTACTTTTTTTTTTTCTGTGTGCGAATAACCATGAAGCAAAAAAAGCTTTCTCTTGCAACTTAACTTTCAAGGTAGTATTTGAATTATTCGTTAGAATTCACCAATACAAGGAATTGAGTGTCATCTATTGGAAAAGAGAGCTCTTGAGAAGGATAATTTGAAGCACTTTACAATTGTGATTTATGTAACTGCACCAATACTGGTGCAGTTACATAAAACACAATTGTAAGTAGAAATATATTTGTATCTAGATTCAATCCCCATTTTTTCTTATGCCCTCATGTGAATAAACGTTTACATAAAATCGCAGTGTTGAAAATGGTCTAATGCTGTGAGCTGTGTTCCATGTTCACCACATGGTTATCATCATATGCTCATTACTCTTATTTTCCTACCTGTGAGTCAGTAGGAATATCACGTTCACCTTTTAAAGCAGCCACTTTCAATCATTTTTTTCTTGAAGTAATTTCCCCTTGCTGCCTGTTGCAGGTGTTTGGCCTGAGTTCTGCCATCTCATCCTATTTTATTGTGGTTAAATATTAATATCAGTGAGATTTTAACTGATTAAAATCCTAATGAAGTTGGTGAGATCTGTTTGAGTTTGTGCATCTAAGTTATTATTTACTTACATAGTTATGTAATGGAACTGACGTAGAGCTTAGCTTTTTTTCTTTTACATGTGACTTTAAGTATTAATAATTAAAAGTCCAGACCCTGTAGAGTTTAATGCAGATCTCAAAAGGATCTGTCACCTTGGGTATTTGCTGCCTCTGTCTGCCAGAACCCACCACAGTGCTTGCAGCAAATTTCTTGTAATGCATCGTGTAGTGTTCTAGCAGTATGAAAATAAACTCTAGTCAAATTTCTTTCATATCTTGAACTGATTATGTATATTGGCAAATGAGAAGCCCATATGTTTTGCCTGACAGATGATTTTCATTGAACTCTCAAGGTCCTTTCAAAATCAGACTTGAATGAAGCTAGAAGGGCATTGAAAAGGACTTGTGTAACTGATCATCTTTCTTTTATTTCACTCCCACATTAATACTCAAAGACATTAAAGATTTAGATTTGTAACTATTATTTGGCAGGAATAAATTTTTAAACTGTCTTGCAGTGGAAAATGTTTGAAATGATAGCTGTAAGAGCTGCTATTTAATAGTTTTATATTTTCTAAAAATAATAAAATGACTAAGGAGACCCAAATAAGGAGAAAGATCTCAGATTTTCATATGATTTACATGAAAAATCTTATTTCATCACAAATGCTTAATCAAAGAAGTAATTGCTCTAGTTTTTGAGATACTAATGAAATGATTGCAGTTAAATTTCACAAATATTCTGCTAATATCTTGAGAAATAACATGGCTTCAGATTATTTTCCTCAAGTACTGATTGAATTATTAATACCAAAATTGTTATTTGCCTTTATAGTTTGTGTTTAAACATCAAAAAAAAGTAAATGTTGGGGAGAGATCTCTGTTGTAGAGGTGAGACACGAATATGAGAACTCCTACACGTTACTGATGACGAGTATGTGTCAACTTTTCAAGTTCTATATCAACTTAAGTTGTATATCTGCTTAAAAAGACAAAGCGGAGCTAATAAAGAGAAGTAATTTAAGCAAATATCTGAGAAATTACCGACTTTTTTAGTTAGAGGAGAATTCTCCTCTGTACATAGAGATTAAATATACAAGTTATGTATCTTTCATCTTTTCAAAAGAATTTAATATGACTAATATATTTCTGTCGCTTAAGGTAGAGAAAGTACCTTCTAATTTGAACTGAGCAACATCAGATTTTAAAAGTCCTGTATTTGTTTTGATGGGAACACCTAGATATAACTAGTATCTTCCACCAGAAATACTACAAGTTTTCTGAAGGGTTATCTCTTCCTCAGTAGCACCCTGAAATGCTTTTTGATACCTAAAATTTCATAAATAGGCGTGTCTGAGTATTTTGCATACAATAAGTCTTGAATGAAATAACTAAATCAATTTTTGGTAACTAAAAAGCATGTGTGTGGTACAAGTTCCCCTTGTTTTTTTCCCTTGCTAATGCACTATGTTTAGAAGCTAAGCTTCTAAAGTTTGATTGCCAGTATTCTGTTAAGCCTAGTGTAAACAGTGATCAGTAAAATCACTTTAAACAAATTTGTATGAATACCCAGCAGATCTCATATTCTGAGAAGCTATCTATCCTTACTTAACAAATAGGTCTTCTGGAGGGTATTTTTTTTTTGATAACGACAGGAAAATAGGTGATTTCTCCCCTGAAATTATTAGAAGTAGTGTATTGCTTATTTATATGCTGTACTAACTCCATTAATAGTCATTCATAGTTGTGGAGTTACTTCTAGTAAAATGAACACGTGTAAGGTTAAGTGAATTAGAGCTTGGCAAACTTCATGACTGTTCCTGTAACTGTTACATAAACATTCATTTGTCAGGCAGTTGTTAATATTTTCTCTGTGCGGTTTAATAAACTCTCTTCTTCCAGACAAAGCATTAATTTGGTTCATCTCCCCACCTTCTACTGTCTTTCCGGTTCTTCGTGTGTAGGTCCCAAGTCCTTACCCCTTTTCTCTCTGAATGTAAAGTTTTTGTGTTTTTTTTAATTTTTTTTTTTTTCAGGAAAATGTATCTGCTCCAGTCTTGCTCTTACGGTTTTACACTTAATTCTTCATAAAGATGTACCAATCCTTAAACTTCTCACCTGCTCAGAGTAATATTTAATTCTGAACTGACTGTAATGAAGTTTGTAGCAATGACAGAGATTTGATCAACAGTATCTCCTTTTGTTTCTCTAAGGAATGTCGCTGTCAGCAGGATCTTCTCCTCTTCATTCCCCCAAAATAACTCCTCACACATCTCCTGCTCCTCGACGAAGAAGTCATACTCCTAACCCAGCAAACTATATGGTGCCTACTAGTGCCTCTGCTTCTGTTGCTAATGCTGTCTCCCAGCCTCCATCTACTGGCCAGGTGATCCAGAAGGAAACAGTGGGTGGAACGACATACTTCTATACTGATACAACTCCAGCACCTCTCACGGGAATGGTATGTTTGCTTTTAATGCAAAAGTGTATGTAGCTTCCAAAGACTGAACTGAATAATACTATGCAGGTTATTTATAATACCCTGGAACCCTTATTCTCTGAAGATTTGGCCTTTTAAATGTTGAAATTGTTCTCAGATCACTGAAATTTAAAGACCAGTGAACTTTGTGTATTCTTCATTTACCTTGTATAGAGTCTTGTTTTCGTAACGTAGTAGAGAAAGCAATTTAATATGTCTTAGTGGATTCGTACGTAGAAAATACCAATTATTTCAAATTGCTTTTATGTCTGATAGATTAAAGAAATCTTACATTCATAGTGGAGGGGAAAAGGCATTTACAAAAATGTTATGTGCTTGCACACACATCATTTAAATCATCAGTAGTGAACATCACTGGAAGAAACTAATCTGGCAGTGTATATGTAACATGCACTATACCTGAAAATTTTATAGTTCAGTAGTTTAATAAGATGACAAAACTATTTTCCCTATGCTTAAGCGTTTTCAACTGCTTTTTTTTTTTTTTTTTTTTTTTTTTTTTTTTTGCTTTCAGGTATTTCCAAATTATCACATTTACCATCCAGCTGCACCTCATGTTGCTTACATGCAGCCAAAAGCAAATGCACCTTCCTTCTTCATGGCGGATGAGCTCAGACAGGTAAGATAGAGAATTTAAAGGAAAGTCACATATCTTGGAGAAAAGCAGAAAATCATCAGTAGCAGAAGAGAAATAACCACTAAAAATAGGTGTAGTCACTTTTCCCAAAGGAGAACTTAAAAAATATAGTTCTGTGAAGGATTGGGATAGGTTTCAGCATACGTGACTGCAATCTAACCTGCGTGCCATGATTTCCTATTTAGGTATTCTTACTTGTTGCATATTATGTATTAGTATGCATGAATTATCTATGTAGCATTCTTTTAAGCTGTGATCCTATCCAGCTGTAAAGTCTTTCACTGAAATGAAAGGTGTTAGTTAATGATCCCTTCTCTGAGGGTTGGCTATGTCCATACTTTATTTCAGCTTTACTCTAGTAGATGCCTCTTCAATGACAGAGCTAATTTCTTGAAGGGAGGAGGTACAAAAGACTTCACATATTGTCATTAACTTCTTCAAGCTAGTATTTTTTTTTTTCCCCCACCCTGGGACATTTGCATCAACTTGCTATTCTAGTACAAGTAGCTGGTACTTCAAAGACAGCGTACTGTTAATTTACCTGTGATGGTGAAATGAGTTATAAGGTTCAAAACTTGACATAATTTATTCTTCAGGAACTGATCAACAGACACTTAATAACTATGGCCCAGATTGATCAGGCTGATATTCCTGGTAAGAACTTCTTATTAATTTCTTATTAAGTTAAAATGTGATCACTTTGTTCTGCATCTGTGTGTATTCAACAAGGCTAACAGTGTCATGAAACAAAACAATAACAAAAGAAAACCACAAACCCAACACACCTGTTCTTAATCTTTCATGAAGCTTGAGCTGTAGATAACAAGATACAAAGTATTTTAGAAATAGGAAATTTGTTTCTTGCTTCTATTCATTTTTTATTTCTGTAACTTTCTTCTGGTTTGAAACTCTGAAATGATGGGGACTACTTAAAATAAGTGGAAAGAAATAAACATCAAGGCAATAGAAAGCAGTATTGCATTACTCTGTACATGCATCCTCTAAAGGAATGCCTACTATGTGTTTTCAAATGCTATAGTAGCAAACTTGGTTGTTTTAAAACAAATTGGCTGGCTTATCCGAGAGGCTTTGTACTACTTGTTGGCAGGCAAGAGGAACATAATATTCATTGTATTTTTTTTTGAGAACTTAAAATTGATTCTGTTCAATTTATATTTAAACAGACTGTTTTGCTTGCAGTATCCTTTCTTTTCAACTGTGTGTTTAATGTGGTCATGCTACAGTATAAAATGCAGTTTAGTATACTAACCCAGCTAAGGTGCAAGTGTATCTCTTTTTGCAATCTCTTAATCTGATTTTTAAATCTTCAGTGCCTCTCTGTTTTTGAAACCAGTATGTTACAATGCAATATTCAGATTTGTTTTTTTGTGTGGATAGGGTTCTTACAATGATATGAAGTCTGTATGGAAATTGGTGCTTATCCATGAATCTTTGCAGGGAAAAAAACACAACACATGTCATTCAGAATGGTGAATTTTTAAGGCAAGTGAGAAAACTTCAGATGAAACTCTGCATCTATTGTTGATTTTTACTTGGTGTAACTATTTTTATGAGGACAGTTGCCAGCGTGGAGTCCATTTCAGGAACATACATTGATATTAAAGCAGAAATAGTGAACTTTAACTTTACATGCACATAAAAGATGCTATGAGCTTCTGTATTAGAGACATAGCCAATTTAATCTCTACTCTTGTAAGATTTTTTTCAAAGATATCTGATACCCAATATGTTTCTGTACGTACGCTTATTTAGCAGTTCCAGCGGAAGTGGACAGCTACCACAGTCTCTTTCCTTTAGAACCACTGCCACCACCCAATCGGATACAGAAAACAAGCAACTTTGGGTACATTACGTCATGCTATAAAGCTGTAAATAGTAAAGATGATCTGCCATATTGCCTTCGGAGGATACATGGTGAGAAAAATTGAGTTGACTTTTTTTAAATGCCAGTGCTATTTTTGTTTAAATATTTTGAGCTACATGTAAAGCTCAGAACAGCTTTGATAGAATTATTCTGTGGGGTTTAAGAGAGCAAGAGGATCCCATAGGACTAGCACTGCTAGGCATGCTAGTCTTATTTTAATGTTTAATTGCTTTTCAGTAATTTCAGAAGAAAAAAAATCCCTTTCCCCCAAACATTACATTTTTAAACCGTGTTTTTGGTCTTTTCTAGGTTTTCGTCTTGTTAACACAAAATGCATGGTATTGGTTGACATGTGGAAAAAAATTCAGCACTCAAATATAGTAACCTTGCGTGAAGTGTTTACCACTAAAGCATTTGGAGAACATTGTAAGTTTTTTGTTTTTTTTTCCCCGACTGATGTGTTTAGACTTTCTTCTAGATATGCTTGAGTTAGTAATTGTCACATGTTTCTATTTTTAAGCTCTTGTGTTTGCATATGATTTTCATGCTGGAGGAGAGACTATGATGAGCAGACACTTCAATGACCCTAGTGCTGATGCCTATTTCACGAAAAGAAAATGGGGTAAGAAAACACATTATCATACAATATTTCTGTAAACTATTTCCATTACTTGATTAGTAAATAACTAATCAAAAGTAGTTGTTGTCTTAATTTTTCAAGTTTCAAGTAGTAGTTGTCTTAATTTTTTAGCTAATCAGTTTTGTCATATCATATAAGCTGGTTGGGATCAGAATTTTCTTAATTTTCCTTTTCTGAATGAAATTTTTGAATATTTTTTAAAATAACTTTTTGTTTGAGTTAAACTTTTCAGTTAAGGTAAATGAACAGCTTTTCCTCCTGGTCGCATTTGACATCAATTCATTTGCAAAATTAAAGTCAGTTTGGAAAGGAATTTACAATTCTTTGTCAGCAGGGTAACAGGTTTGCACAGAGGATTGGGAAACAAGCTCTGGGTCCTAATTGCAGGTCTGTCACAGGGTGACACCCGACCCTGGAGATCTTTTGTAAGAGATGTATGCTTTGTCAGTGTGATGCTTGTTGAGGTGTTCTCCAATTATAAAATACAGAATCACAGAATTTCTAGGTTGGAAGAGACCTCAAGATCATCGAGTCCAACCTCTGACCTAACACTAACAGTCCCCACTAAACCATATCCCTAAGCTCTACATCTAAACGTCTTTTAAAGACCTCCAGGGATGGTGACTCCACCGCTTCCCTGGGCAGCCTGTTCCAATGTCTAACAACCCTTTCAGTAAAGAAGTTCTTCCTAACGTCTAACCTAAAACTCCCCTGGCTCAAATTAAGCCCATTCCCCCTCGTCCTGCCACCAGGCACGTGGGAGAACAGGCCATCCCCCACCTCACTACAGCCTCCTTTAAGGTATCTGTAGAGAGCGATAAGGTCGCCCCTGAGCCTCCTCTTCTCCAGGCTGAACAAGCCCAGCTCCTTCAGCTGCTCCTCGTAGGACTTGTCCTTTTTTTTTTTTTTTTGTTAAAGCATTCTGAGGACTAATTTCAGGCAGCGCTTTGTTTAATGTTTTGAAATATGAAGTACTAGTTGAAGACAAGAAATGGACAGAGAAAGTCTCTTAATGTATTATTTTCTGATAGAAACTCCATATCATAGGTCTGATTTTTTTTCTCTTTCAGATGTATGCTCTGACTTCAAAGGAGTCGTTCAGGCTACATCTACATTAATAAGCAAAACCTGTCACCACCTATTATGTGGCCCAGTGGAGTTCATATCCATATGGCTAAACTCTTACCCTCCAAAATAGTACGCTGTCACTCATGCTATTAGAACCAGTTCTTGACCCATATGGTCCCACAGAGTGAATTCAGGTGTTGTCAGGAATGCAGCAGGCCAAAACTGTTACAGGCCAATACCATGCTGAGAACAAAGCACGGTAACAGTTGAAAAGTATCACAGAATAATTTTGGGTTGGAGAGTACCCTTGGAGCTTGCATGGCCCAATGTCCTCTCACCTGGACCAACCTTGAAATCAGATCTAACATATGGATGAAGAGGGGACACTAATGATGCCTGTGACCTGGCCTTGTTTATTAGTGTAGATGTTGCCTTAATTGTCTTTAGGTGGCCAGTTGTTAAAGAGAACGAAAACTAAGGTTTCTACTTTATTGTGGCTTTTGAAATTAGAGCCTTTACTTGTGAATTCAATCTCTTTCAAAGGTTGGGAAACCTCATTTGGCTATCTGGTAGATCAGAGTATAATGGATTATTAGCATGTGAATGTACATTCAAAGGCTTGTTAGGTCCCTTGTACATTGAATAGTTCACACTGGCTTTGCACTGAACTAATATAAGTAAAGTTGGAACTTGAGTTCCACCATTGGTTTTGGTGGTAATGTCTCAAGACAGAAGAAACACTAGATTAGCTTGTCATATCTTGTGGCAAGTCAAAGAATGTAATTACAAATACAGTGAACTTGATGTGAAACTCATTTGGTAGGATAAACATGGAACGCCCACTGCTAGATTAATAGTGGTTATGTGCAGGACTAGACTTCTGAGTGTCTCCCACCTGTGGTTTTCAATTTCCATGTAAATCAGTCCTTGTTATGTTTTTACACCTCTCTAGAGTATTACATAGAGAAGACTGATGTCTGCCTTAGATAAATTAATAAATGTAAAATAAAATTATTTTGGGCACATTCATTTGTCACACTGGAAGAGAATAAGTTTTGCTGTTATAAAAAGCAGTCATGCCTCATCAATATATTGAACATCTTTGAAGGTAGATCTAGTAGATATCATCTTGCATTTTCAATGACATCTCTTAAAAAAAAACAAAAAAACAAAAAAACAAAACAAAACACCCCAAAACTAAGTGGTGATGATATGAGAGCAGTCCTCAGTTAGGTTAGTAACTGGTTAGAAGGTAAGAAACAGAGTGAACACTTGACTTTCACAGTGAAGAGAGGTCACTGATGGTCACAAGAATGTGCTGGGAGCTGTATTTCTTAACACATTCACTCATCCATATTGAAGATAGATAATGCTCTGTCAGCATCTGCTGACAACACCTAGTTATTTCGATTGATTAAAAACAAAGGCCAATTGTGATAGATTGCAGAAAGATTTTACAGGACTGGAACTCTTGGCAAAAAATCTAGGGGATGAAGTTCAGTGTAATAAATGTAAAGTGAAGAGACTGAGGGGAAAATAACCCTAATTTTAAGTATAAATTGATGGCCGCTGTCATGGCTGTTATAACTGAAAAATAGATCTAGGGTTATAGTTAAATGGATCAAGGGAAATACTGTCCTCTTGAATATGGATTAAGATTGTTGCAGATTAAGAAAAGAGTAAACAATGAAGTAAAAGATGCTGTAATTAAGATGTGGTTGTATCACAGATCTAATACCTGTAGGTGTGGTCAACTTTAGCCGCTTTGACTGACATAAAGGAATATAAAAAGCTCAAAGGTGACAGGGGTAATCAAAGACGTGGAATAGCATCAATACAAAGAACAGCAAAATAGGATAGTACTCCTGCTCTTGAAGATGGGAGAGGAAGATTGGGTTGAAAATGACTGGAATATGGTAGGTCTCTGAAAATCATCAGGGAAAATAAAATAAAAAGCAGCAACTCTTTTTTGTTTCTTTCCATACAAAAACTAGGGATTGGCAAATGAAATGAAACTAGCCAGGCAGCAAATTTGTCGCAAGCTATTGTGGATGTTTGCCTGGGTTCGAGGGGAAAGTGTTCTTACTCAAAGAAGAGGAATAATCTGAATTGTTAACTGCAAAGACCATCAGGAGGTCTCAGAGCTGCAAAACAATGAAAGATAGCAAAATATTGTGTTCATGATCTGTTATTTATTGTGAGCTACTATTTGGATTTTTAGCATACATCATTGAAGCAGGCTAGCGGGCTACCTATCTGACCCAGTGCAAATTTCTTCTTTAGGAAGGGGTAGTCTTCGAAACCGAAAATAAGGCATCAATTTCTGTTGAGCCAGGAGAAAGTCTTATTTCATTAAAACATACTATTGCATCCTCCTTTAATATCTCAAAGTTCTGATAACTCACTCCTGCCTGTGGCTCTTCCAGTCTTTTTTTTTTTTTTAATTTAGAAAAAAATCCCCTGCAGTTCACCGGTTTTGCCAAATCTTTCTGCACATCTTTGCTCTGGCTTTTCTTTTTTGGTAACTTGTGCTTTCTAGTCTGATCCTCAGTAGAAGGAGCAATTTAAGAGAGAAAAATAAGATTGCATACTTGATTTCTCGGAATTGCCTGCCTTCATGGATCCTTTCTCCATCCCCTCACAGAATTTCTTGGCCGTCTGCCTGCCTAGAGGAGACATCCAAGAGAAGCAGGGGAATGGATGGAAGTTGGGTACTCTGCAGCATGAGGCCCAGATTAGTGCAATTGCTTTTAAGGTTTTAGGAGGCACAACGCTGCCAACCTGATCAGTGAACTCAGAATTTGATTTCAGGTATGCAACCTTATTTATGTTGAACACTCCAGTTGGCAACACTAGACTTTGATGGTTAAAGGCTGAGGATTATGTTGTTTGTTTGTTGTTTTTCTGTTTTTTTTTTGTTTTTTTTTTTTTTTTACATGGCTGTCTTGCATGTCACTTTTGGTGTCAGTGTGATCAGTCTTGGGTTTTTCTTTTTGCCATGCTATTTGCAGATCCTGTTACAGTACTTCTTTGGAAGGAATTTTGTGTGGAAAAAAAATAGCAGCAGCTTACATTTATTTTTATTCTAAACACCTCTAAGCAAATGTCTTAATTTCTGGAATCTATAAAATTTATTTTTTGTGTTGTTCTTTTTGCAATGAAATATTCCTTCTCCAGGTGATAGAGTGGTAATCTGATGCTGTTCTGTAATATTCAACTAAATGTTCACAAGCTTTCAAATCAGCAATCTTCTTTTCAGCTAACTTGGAATACATTTATTTGAATAATTCCCTTTTTATTCTCATTCCTCATATTTCCTCAAGGCACTTTCGTTTTTATCAAGAGTCTAAACTTAGCATTAAATCTGTTGTTCTAGAACTTGTGTTTTCTCCACCTTTCTGGTATCAGTGTTTCAGATTATAGCACCCGTTAATACATTTATATCTGCAGAAATGCTATTCTCTTTAACGTAGCAAATTAACCTAAAAGTCCTGAAACCTTTTTTTCTTAACCATCCAATAACTAAACCACATCTTGAATGCATGTATTTTAAAGCTAATAGCTAGAAAATCGTGACAAATAAACAGTAACTCAATATTGCTGCCAGTTAGGTATTTTCTTTGTCCTGATGAGTTTTTTGAGGTATCGGCATCAGAGATGAGCATGCCCCTGTATGTCCTTTGGTCTGTGTATTAACAATACTGAGTTATTAAGTACGGTGTGCATGCACGTAATAGCAGTTTTCAGCACCACAGATTCTGCTTTATGGCAATTGAATACCTTCTAATGAATGTAGGCAAGCTTCCTGGACCATGAGTTCCTTTGGATGCATTATTTTTCAACGATCCTGGGAATCTGGAGAGGTCCCGGTAGACTGGAAGCTGGCAAATGTTGTGCCGATTTTCAAGAAGGGT